AGCAACCGAAAACAATGGACTGAATCTCGCTCATCGATTCTGGACATGCGTTCATCGTTTCAGTCCCAGCTGGGTACTGCCCGGTACCCGTAGCACGCACCACCACCACCGCCCGGTATGGCGGGTGTATCGAATTTGCGTAAAGCCGTGCTTGATATGGCCAAGACACGCATGAAGCAGCTGCAATGGGATAAGCTATCAGCAGAGCATGCGTCAAGCACAGTTTGGGGCAAGACGGCTTCAGACGAGCTAATGCTTCGAGAGATCATTCTTGAGCGCGGCGTCTTCGGTGAAATGGAAGAGGAATTCAAGGCTAAGGAAGCATCGAAGCGTGCTGTCTCTGTGAAGAAAGATAGCAAGGAGCTGCAAACATACCTAAATTATGCGACGCGGCAGGGCATTGAGATGGTCCTCAAAAGAATCAAGAGTCAGCTGACTGACAACAAGCATTGCACGCCCGAAGAATTGGCGCATATGATCATACAGTGTGATTCTCAGGTTTTCGACCAGAGCATTCTTACAGAGCTTCTGCGATACTATCCCGAGTCTGAGACAAAGGGCCGTCTAGGCGAGTACAAAAATGCCTCGGACGAGCAGCTTCGTCTCTTGCATCCAGCTGACCGTCTCGTGGTATTATTGATGACAGTCCCCCACCTTAAAGACAAAGTGAAGGGCATGCTGTACATGACAAGGTACGGCGACACGACGGACATTATCCGACATGGTCTAACGAAGATCCGCGATGGGTCAGAAGCCATTATCAATGCACCGAAGTTCGCCCAACTATTGAATGTGATTCTTCTTTTCGGTAACTATCTCAATGCTACTGGCATTAAGGGTGGTGCGTACGGATTCCGGATCAGCAGTATCAACAAGCTGGTCGACACGAAAGCTGCGGATGGCACAACACTCCTACACTTTGTCGAACGCACAGTAACTCGGTGTTTCCCCGAACTTGAGGGTTTCGTGGATGAACTGTCAGCAGCTACAGAGGCGTGCCGTGTACAGCTCCTAGATCTCAAGCATGACCTCTCTGAGCTCAAATCTGCCAACGTACACCACAAAAAAATCTTAGACAGATTGCACAGTGAGAATGAGGAGAACGTTGAGGCGCCGTACTCGAAACTCATGCTTCCTTTCTTGAACAAGGCAACCAACGAGCTGCATCGTTTGACTGACCAAATTCAATACACAGAGCGCGTGTTTAACGAGGCTATGCGCTATTATGGAGAAGGCCCAGACCCAGTGCGTCGCAGCTTCACTGGCCCCAAAACCATGCCGACTGAAGAGTTTTTCGGTATCTTCAAAGAGTTTTTGGCTGCTTACAGAAAAGCCAAAACAGACAACTCCCGCATTACTCAGCAGCGAGCGCTGGAAGCTGCGCGTATCGCGGCCGCCGAGGAACGAGAAAAAGATCGCCGAGAAGCTATGGCACGACGCGAAGCTGGCATTGATGACAGTGCTGTACTAGAGTCACTCCTCTCCTCTCTACGTTCCAGCGGCGGCACCTCACAGCGCCGAAAAAACCGACGTCGTTCAAGACAACCCGCGGGCCATACACGACCCAAACACGACGACGAAAAACCAGGTCCACAAGAAAATCCCTCGAGCGTGGCAGCAGAAATGCTCAAAAAGTTGCAAGGTGGCGAAAAGCGCAACGAGCACGGTTCCATTGGCATTTCGATGGCCCAGGCCACGGAAGCAGCTCGTGCCGACCGCCGCAGCGAGCGTCGCGAAAGAAACAGCATTCCTGTACTGCAAGATATCCCTCGGCGAACGCCTTCACGTGCTATAAGCCGCGCAGATACCCAAGATACGACAGTTACAGAGCATTCTGTAAATGCAACAACCCAGCAAATCGACCCGGATATAACCGCAGTCCGTCCCCAGAATGCACATGACCAACATGACGACAATGTTTCTTCAAAGTCTAGTGGGAGGGACTCTCCAAGCTCTTTGTACACAGACTCGAGTGAACATGAATTTCAAGATGTGTCGCCAGCGCCCCAAGAGATGACAAGATCACTTGCATCTTCGAAAGCCACAAATGATCCATCTACAACTCACACTCCTACCGATACATAATATTGTAATGATCGAATTGCATGTACACATAGTTACCATGTGTTTACTTGCTAATGGTTGTATATCTCATTTGGTTTGTACATTGGAGTCAGCTATTCGAAAGACAAAAAAATAGACCTTGGAGAGATAGCCTAAAAAATCACATCCGTGTCCTTATCCGCATTGAGCATATCCTTATGATCCGAGTCAGTTGCCTCTGTCGTTGTGATAGAAACTTTTTCGGCAGCGGCCTTCGCAGCCGCTTCTTCGGCAACGCGCTTCTTTTTGCCTTGGACTTTCTTGAGGCGGAAGAACTCTTCACGATCCATTTCGTCGAGTTCAGATACAATGTAGGCAATGGTATTCTCAAGGCGCGGTATAATTACATGCTCAATGGCATTTACCCGCCGATTTGTAAGACGTATGACCTCGTCGAGAATGACGAACGCCGTTTGCAAGCTCGCCAAGTCCACCAATACGCGCAAAGCCTTTGCATAGGTATCGCGCGCCTTGTGGACTTGCAGACCGCCACGTGAGAGACCTGTGAGGCTAAACTCACTTGGACCCGAGCTCTCCTTCCCGCCACTAGCTTTTGAGTGATCCGAACTGACGGAGCCATCAGAAGACTGAACTGCAAAAGACGGCAGCATCACACCGCTTATGTTTTCTTGGCGTGATCGCACCTTGAATGTCGCTCTCTTCACATTTTCGCGCACAGCATACCCAATATCACCTGTTGAATAGCCTACCTCAACCATACTGAATGCAGCGTGCTGTAGTACAGTACCCATTTGTTTCTTGGCATCTTGAATCTTACCAGTGATCATGCGGAAACGCTTAGAAATGGCATCTGCCTTACGCTTCAAGAGTGAGTGGCCATTCTGTGCTCCCTTCAAGCGAGTCTTTGTAGTTCCAAGCGTCATACGCGTCGGAAATACAGCCTCCCGCTGACCGGACGACGCCATAATTGAGGTAGTTGGTCCGACCGCACTCGAGGCGTGACAACGTCACAAGGAGCCGACGATCAACAAGTCTCATCACATCCGGCGGGCACCTGACTCGGCCGAAAACCCCACAGCCGTGAGGACTCCTTCACTTCTACGAAACACCTCCAGTGCAGAGCAGATACAGTATAGATAGGGTTATTCAGTATGCAATTTCTGAATATGATCGTTCACATGCGCGACTTTCTAAACACATCAGGTAGGTGTATGATTTGCGTGATAGAGACGTAGGTATATGTTGATTGGAAAGAAATTATTACTCTTAGAATCGTGTCTGTAGCATGCCCAAGTCGTGTTTGGTCAGCCAGGACCAATCTTGGGCATATCATGATGCTCACTGAGTGAGTCTAGGTATGCATTAAAAGAGTCCACTTTGTCCTTGTGAGACTTGCCGGCCTCTTTACGAGCTTGTTCGCGCATCTGGTAAATCGTTAATGCAAGAAATTGGCCACGTACACGTTTGCGCTGCACTTCTTCGAATTTTTGTTCAGTTTTCGTAGGCCCCTGGTGGACGGTTGTGCTAGAATCTGGAATATATGTAGATGATGTCGCTGAGAAAGACCGTGATGCAGAAGACTTCTTCTTTTTCCTAGGCCTGTAAGTGGATGGAAAGACAAGCATACCTTGTTTTGTCGCCCTTTAGCTTTAACGAGCCACCTGGCTTGATCGAATAAGGCGACGACATGCCCACTTCACGATAGGCACAAATGTGCCAGCCTACCGCCGAAGCGCGTTGTGGATATCAGACTCAAGGGGACGGTACGTCACAGGTGTCGTGTCGGAAGATGAGGAAATATGTCCCATATTGGGAGCTGCTTGACAAACGCGTAGCTAAGCGTCCTAAAAGGCCCTGCTCTTCACATGGAACTTACAAATGGAGCAACAAGCGCATCGTTGCGCACGAATCAACACCCTAACTTGGACAACTGAACGTTCAAAGTAGGCTGAGAACGACGCACAGCAACATTGGAGATAATGGGCACGCCTGAATACGATGCATCAAAAGTAGTTGTAGTATTTGTACTGGGAGGCCCTGGTGCAGGTAAGGGTACGCACTGTGCACACCTTGTGCGCGACTATGGCTTCGTGCATCTTAGCGCAGGCGATTTGCTCCGTGCAGAGCAAGCTCGCCCAGGCTCACAGTATGGTCAGATGATTGCTGAGTACATCAAAGAAGGAAAAATCGTTCCGATGGAAGTCACAATTTCGCTTCTGCGAAATGCCATTCAGTTGGCCATTGAAGAGCACGACCAGTCCACGTCCGAAGGATGGGGCAACGGTAAGGGCCGATTTTTAATCGATGGATTTCCGCGGAAATTGGACCAGTCGTACAAGTTCGAAGAGAGCGTGTGCCCTGCGCAGCTCGTGTTGTTCTTGGAATGCTCGGAAGAAATCATGCTGAAGCGGCTGCTTCAGCGGGGCGAGACTAGTGGCAGAACTGACGACAATATTGACTCTATCAAGAAACGCTTTCGTATGTTGAATGTATATGCATACTGACTTTCTAGGCACATTCGTCGAAACAAGCATGCCCGTGGTTGACCACCAACGCTCGCAGAATAAAGTCGTGAGCATCAATGCGATGAACTCAGTAGAACAAGTGTACAGCGACATTTGCCAAGCCCTCAACGACAAGTTCTCGCAAATAAGCAAGATTACTAGCGCGTAGACCATTGTTAGCTATTGATGACACTGTAGGAATTAGACAGCATAAGGATCGCTAGGCTATAAGTGAGTTGTAGAAGGGGAAAAATAATCGAGTATACAGTTGTTCAAAAACGAAGTATTCTGCCTACTTCTCTCGTGTAGAAAAAGAAGGTCCGTCCCGGGTTCGAACCGGGGTCAATGGAAGTTGACTTTTCAAAATCCACTATACTAACCACTATACGAACGGACCTTGCTGTTGAAACGGCGTAAGCACACTCCCAATTTATTCTGATCACGAACAGTTTCCCATCAAGTACGAGTACACAAGTCACGTCCGCGGGCAACTTGGGCTTGGCAAAGCGAAACTTGCAACGGTATAGACACGAGGGAAGCAAGAACAATACCAAGAGAGTCACCCACACCAACAGAACCGATTTTGAATTCATACTCTTGTACCGATAACGCTGAATCCCCAGAAGGACCCACGCTCGAGCGATCAGAGCCTCCGATGTGTGACATGACAGAAACACTTGAGTAAGTACAAGACACAAACGTACTAGGAAGAACCGCCTGCCAAGCCTTCCACGGCAATAAGAACAATAACCATTGAACGAGCTATCGATTCCTTGAACCAGTCAAACAGGCTTTCAGTAGATAACAAGACTAACAAGCCCAACTGAAGCACAGCCGGTGTCCAGAGCCATGACTGTGGAATCGGTGGCAGAGGAAGCACGGAAGTGTAAGAGCGAGAGAAAAAAACAAAGGCTTGGTATACGAGTTGATATAATGGATAGTAATCACGAAGAGTGTGGATCAGGGTTGCAAGGACTCGATGTTGCTTGGGATCAGGCACCGTAAAAAGAAGAGTCGGCGCCACACCTTGATTGATGGTATATTCAGCAAAGTACACCAAGACCAGAGGTAGGATATATGGAAGCAGCATGGGCTTGAGTAGTTTCATCTTGTCGGAGAATGACAAGGCTACAAGGCGAGTGTGGTCAGATTCTTGGTCAGGTAGAGACATCAATGCTTCTGTCGACTCATCCTCTGACGGCACTGACACAGGCATCTTTTTTGGCTCAGGAAGAACACAAAAGAAAGAAATAGCCGTTCCGAAAGACAGAAATGCCAACAGGCTTAGCCCTAAACGGACGCCTAGAGGACGTACAATCCACCAAGCCGATGCACCAACCAGTCCAGCCGCACCTGTACCACTAGCAAACCAGCCGACGCAATAAGTGGTCACTTGAGGCACATACCGAGTTGAGTACTGGAGATACGTAATCTCTCCGAGACCACTTGCAAAGCTGGCGATGGCGATGCCCAAAAGGCGCAAGAAGAGTGTGTCGACTAGAGCAATAGACAGCATACCGGCGAAAGCCAGCAGCGTGCATAGCCAGACCCGGAGGTGATACCGAATTTCGCCCCGCAGCCAATACGGAAAAACAGCTTTGGCCACAAGTGCGGGGGTTATATTCACAAAGGCCAGCACGCCTGTAGGCACTCGTGACGGCAGTAATTCGAGCGCAGCTGTAAGTATAACGACATACATCATGTTGTTAAGAAGGCCTAGTACGAAGAATGCTGCAGCATGACTCCGAAGGAGCGACCGACTATCAGGTGCGGCGTTCAGTCTTGGTCTTTGGCGGTCATTCATGAGGTCCAGATGAATCGACTCCGGCGTGGAGCGAGGCATGCAAGAATTAAGTGTAACATTTTTGTCCACATGGAGATAGAGAACGACCTTCAGTACCGCATCTGGTCTATGCGTTTGGATTGACCGAAAGAAACTGATTTTGTGGCCTGAACAGCGCAAATCAAGATTCATCGCACCACTTCTTCAACAGACAGCATGAAGAGTTTCACGTCCCTTTACGTAGTCTATCGAGGCGTTCCTGCAAAGCCATATCCTCATTCGCAGCTGATGAAGAGCCACCCGGGCCGGCACTCTCACCTATGGCGACGCGGCTTGGCGTCGATGTCATGAGAGGTGCGGCCAGCGCTCCTTCGGGGGCTTGGCGAAGCTAAAGTTAGACATATCCACACACGCACCTGTTGATGCATATCTAGGCCGATTTCATCGAGTACCTCTCGTAGAATTGCATCACTTTCTTCTCCTTCTCCAATCCCTTCGCCCATTTCATCTTCCTGGGTGCCAATAGCATCTTCGACAGTATCATTCATAATTTCGTCTTTCATGTCCATAGAAGTTGACTCCCGTTCAAATTCCTGCAATATCTTTTGTACAGCCATAATATTCATGGACTTATTCATGGACCCCAAAGTCTGCGCACATTTGTTAGCCATCAGTTTCAGGAGAAAGTTTTTCACATACTCGAGACGCGCCGCGCATGGCCTCGGCCATCTGCTGAGTACTGCGTAGTGTTTGCATGCGAAGCCCTACGGCTTGAAGTTGTGTACTCATCTGATAGAATTTATGTATGCTTCTTCTTGTTCGAACAAGATCGCGCGCCATAACCTTGCAGGCTGGCATTTGTCCCTGGCGTGCATGGCGCTTTATGTCAGTGACGAGTTTTTTTTCTTGCGCTTCTAGCTTCACTCGTTCGCGCTCGAGCTCGCGCTGTGCACGCTGGAGAGAGCGGAGATGCTGACGCAGTCGCTCAGCTGGCGTCACTGAGCGCCCAAACAATGCCTCCCATAGCGGCATATGTGTACGAGGGTAAGGGCGCTTGAAAGTAATGAGCCTCAGGCTTCACACCACACCTAGCGGGAGTCTCACGCCACGAGAAGGGCGGGCCCCAGATACTCTTGGGGCCTTACCCTGTAGGGTGTGTGGAGGGCTAATACCAACCGATGGTTAGCTAGCTGTCAGAGGGTGTGACGCGACACGCTGCGCAAGTGAAGCGACGAGAAAAAATATTCAGCTGACGAAGTCTTGAGGTGAATCGCAGCGTCTACGAGCTTTGACATCGTCATTTGACACGTCGGACAAAAGCATGGCATCGATCATACCGCCGAGGCGTCCAGTGCGCGCGGGAATGCCTAAACTAGTGCTTCCCACGCAGGCGGCGCCAGAGGACCAAGACACGTCTGAGTCGGTTGATATGTGTCAAAACGAAACTGAAGCCACAATTATGCCGAAGGCGCCTCAACGAGCTCCATCAGATGAGCTGGAAATTCACATGGACGAAATCAAGCGCGTGCTGGACCAGATGAGTTCTTCTATTCCGAGAGGAGACGAGGCTCTTGAGCTTGGAGGGAATCAAGGCATGTCACGGGAGGGGACAAACGGCCGACACATGCACACTCAATCGACGTCACTATCCAATGTCCAAGGCCGTGCATCCCCGGAAAAGATGCGTCGGAGTAATTCGTGCGAGCGCGACTGCTTGGTTCCCGGCGTTCCGCCTGTATCGGAGTTGGCTGGCAACCTCGACGTGCTTACCTCGTTAGGAGAGGGAGCAAGTGGGGAGGTGGCCAAGGCGCGAATCAGATCGACTGGGAAGATTGTGGCACGAAAGGTATGCAGATATTGTGATGGTTGTGTTGTCTTGACTTACACGTTTGCATTATAGGTTATTGCTACGTCGCCAGATCCAACCATTCATCGACAATTGCTACGTGAGCTGAGCGTGAACCAGACTTGCAAGAGCGAGTACATTGTGGAATATTATGGAGCATTTTTCGACTCAGAGACGGCATGTATCACAATATGTATGGAATTTTGTGAGGCTGGCAGTATGGACTCTATCTACCGGCGAGTCAAGTCACGCGGTGGCCGCGTTGGAGAGAAAGTCCTGGCCAAATTAGCCGAGTCTATCCTCAAGGGACTCGAATACCTGCATCAGCGGCGAATCATTCATCGGGATGTAAAGCCGAGTAACATTCTTGTCACGCGCAATGGTCAGATGAAGCTGTGTGATTTTGGTGTGTCGGGTGAGCTTATCAACAGTGTGGCTGGTACATTCACAGGCACATCGACGTATATGGCGCCAGAGCGCATTATGGGTCGTCCCTATACCATTACGTCGGATGTATGGTCTCTGGGTGTGACGATTCTAGAACTTGCTTTGAACCGATATCCCTTTGCCGAAGAAGGTGAGGCGCCAATGGGACCTATCGATTTGCTTTTTTTCTTGTTGAACTCGCCTTTGCCCACTTTGGAAGACACAGAGCAAATTCGATGGAGTCGTTCCTTGCGTGATTTTGTTGATCGATGCCTGGAACGAGATGGTGCTATACGAGTGGCACCGTTGACCTTGCTTGCGCATCCGCTAATCCGTCGAGCTGAGCACATCTCTAATACAGACATGGCTCGCTTCGTTGCGAGTGTTTGGAGGTGGGACTATAATTGATCCAATGCGTGCAAAACTCGCATGTTCGACCTTCGTTTGGCCTCGTGCTCTATGTTTTCCTTTTCCCCCTGTTACCCCTGCCACCCTTTTTTTCTCTTACGCCATGAAACGGCACATCCTCCCTTTTTGTATAACAACGATTCCCGACACCAATAGACCTTTCTTTGTTGTGTTATTGATGGATAAGTCCATGTTTATCAATTTGCCCTTGGGTGTGTGTCATTCTATCCACATGGCCTTCGTGACTGTTTGACGTGCTGGTGTAATTTCGGTCCTCCAAGCCAAGCCTCTGTGCACGCGCCTATTAGGTTCGCGAATACATTCGTGTGGAGAAGAACACATAAATGAGCGGCCGACCTGACATGCGAAGTGGTGGAGTATCACTTCGTGACAAATGGCCGCATTTTCAGTTCTGTGTGGCGAGGGCTAACACAGACGTAAGAAACAAAGAAACGAAAATTTCTCTTTCGCATTTCCCCGGAACAGTGTTGAGTAGCACATGGGCGCCACACAATCGAGCGACCTGAACGTGCAAGCCCAGCGCTCAAGACCACATAACAACCAAGCAGCTGTGGCTGCACTGCTCTTGCACCATCACCAGCTTGCGCTACAGCAAACGCCATCAACATCTGACCGCCCTGCTAAATGTCCAGTGCCCCACGGGCCGCGGGGTGCTATGGCACGATCCCTGGCTTCCGATCATGAAGCGCAGCTGAATCCACTAAACAAAATGCCTACGCTGTCACAGAAGCGTGCTCCAGAGCAGAAAATGGAGCTTTCACGCGAGCGTACGGTGTCTTCGATCCCACGAGCAAAGTCTTCCGCGGCGCCGGGGGACTCGCCGTACGGTGCACCGCAATGTCCAATTCCGCATGATCAGCGCACTAGGCACGAAAAAGAAGCGAGCTGTCCTGTCACGCACGACAAAAAGAGTCTCGACGACGGCGGCATCAACAATGACAGCGAGACACCTGGTTTCTGGGAATATCCATCGCCGCAACAATTTTATAATGCGCTTGTGCGCAAAGGATGGGAGACACCAGAAGAACACGTGGAAATGATGGTGCTGATTCACAATTTCTTGAACGAGCGTGCATGGAAAGAAATTATCGATTGGGAGACTCTGGCAGGCAGTGATGTATCACAACTACAGCTTGCGCGATTCCAGGGTCGCCCTGGCACGCTAAGTCCAAGAGCAAGGATGTTTATGTGGCTTGCATGGGCCTTTCCCAACAAGTTTAGCTCTGAGCCGCCATTTGACCGACACGATTGGATTGTGCGACGTGGTCCAACGGAAGCGCATCCTGAGGGAGAGGAAATTCGGTACATCATTGACTACTACTCGAACGAAGATGAGGATGCCCATTCGGATGAGAATGAGGCGAGCTTCAATCTAGATGTTCGGCCTGCTATATCAAATCTATCGACGATCCAGATGCGCTGGAAGAAGCTTCTTCAAGAGTATGAATCTGGCGAGCTTTTCGAACCATTCCGCAGTGATTCTTCTTCCGCACAGCCACGAACGTCGGTGCCTGTGCCCGAGCAACATCGTTCTGCTTCGTCGCCGTAAATACAGACCCACCTACAATGCAACGAATGTCTGCGCTGATTCGTCATGCCCATGGTCTTTCCCCCGTAGTGCACGTGTGCTTGCCATTGTTATTTGTTCGGAGATTGATGACATAATGCTATAGGAAGCTGACGAAGAGAGCGGAAAAAACACTTCGATCTGGGCGTTACGCACGAGCTGACTTGGTGCGCTGTCATCGTGCGTGTGGTGTAGAGAGAGTGTGCGCTGTTAGGTAAGCGCTACATGATGGAGAGACACGATGACCATGAACGGAATGATGCAAATCTATCTGTCAAGGTTACAAACGCATCTCTAGACACGGCACGGTCAGTGCTTCTTCGAGAGGCGCAGGCACTCCACAAACTAGCTGAGAAGCTGCAGCAGAATGACCAAGCCATGCGGTTTGCTATAGAGCTCGTGCTCGGACGAAGCTCGACGCTGGCAAGTGGCAAGATTGTTACTGTCGGTGTTGGAAAAAGTGGGTTTGTCGCACAAAAATTGGCTGCGACGCTCACGGCACTCGGGACACAAGCCGTGTTTTTGCATCCAATTGAAGCGTTGCACGGCGATATTGGCATACTACAGGCCGAGTGCGATACGGTTCTTGCGTTATCCTATTCGGGCGAGTCGCTCGAGGTGCTTGCGCTCATGCAACTTCCACAGGTACAGCGGTGTGCAAAAATTGTGATGACTGCGAATGAACACGCGCAACTGGTTCGTCTGGCCGACGCATGGCTGGACTGTGGCTGCCATGATCCTATGCTGAAAGGAACTGACGTTGTGCTACAAGGTGGATTTCACACATCCTCCATCGAGGGATGGCCTGAGATCCCTGTTCCGACAACGAGTGCTATAAGCATGATGGCCATAGGCGATGCGTTTTGTGTGGCTCTTTCGCATGCGAAGGGGGTGCAACGGCAGACGTTTCATGCAAACCATCCCGGCGGCAACCTTGGCAAAGTGTTGCTGAATATGCAGTGACCAGATCAGCGGGTCGGCACGCACACCACGGGGGATGCTGTCGTATGGATGTTGGTTCATGTTGGTCGTTGCTATGAGATGGATACGGATGTGTGCTCAGTCTATGGAGAGGGTATGTGATGATTAGCAAGGAGTGACGACGTTCCTGCAGACGTGTGAGTGACAAGAAAAAAAAGGCGGTCGGGGACGAGGAGAGGGACGAAGAGAGTAAACGCGTACGAACCGTGATGGGAATGAAAGATGTGTAGCAGCAGCATAGCTGCATCCACTGGCAGTTCTTGCGTATCGCGACTTTGCGTGATGGGTTTGTGTTCTGGCGTGTCTAAATGGTGAGGTAAGCAAGCAAGCAAGCGAGTTTGAAGCGCCAACGAGACTGGCCTGCCAACGTACTGTGGAGCAAGATATGCCGAAGGTGGGAATTAGGGACGTCTTTCGTCATGAGCCAATGAACATGAAAGAGACCTTTCCAGCGATGTCCTTCTGCCCAAATATTACTGCTTTGTGTATAGTCTAATCCAGATACCATTTGCGCCAGGCCACAGAAGCGGCCGCTCCCATTCACAGAGAAGAAAAGATAGATGGGCCCGCGTTGACTGCTTTTCATCCATGCTTTGTCAAGGCGGTGATTGCCTTTTTCCGTGCTTGCCCAAACACCGTGTGTGAGCGAAACCTTGACGTCGACTTCGGTAAAACTCTTGATGACAAAAGCACGCTCAGGGGCAGGCCATGGGAGTATCATTGGCACGGGTCGGTACATGTTCACGGACGGCACACTGCATGACCACGTTGGTGAGGCAGCAAGTGTGTTGTGAGGAGGCATTGTCGGTACGATGGCACGATGCGACTGTGTTGAAGCGGGCTCAAGCTTGGAGGGTATAGCGCCTGGCACCATTATATCCCGGGGGCATGCATGTGGGTGATAATATGTCGGGCGGTGCCACGTCAGGTGGCAGTGTCTCTGGAGGTATGGTGTCGGGCGGCATGGTATCATGCGAAAACGCGCAAGTTGCCGGCGGCGGACGGGATGTCAATGTGTTTTTCCACGCCACTGGTGTCGACTTGTGTGATGAAGGTGACATAAACTCAGGTGGCATCTCTGCTTGTGATAGCGAGAGACGAGACTTATTCATTTGTGATGAGGCAGAGTCAGATTGCGACAGGGTGGCTGGAGCAGATGTTATCTCACGAGATGGTGGGATAGACATGGGTACATCTGCATATTCGTAGCGAGGTACTTCGGGTATAGCAGCAGCAGCAGCAGCAGCAGCAGCGGCGGCGGCGGCAGCAGCAGCGACATGGACGGAGCGACGTCTGCGCACAGATTGTGACTCGACGGACTCGATGGGCGTCCACAACATGGAACCAGGCACACTCAGCGTGTCACTGCCCCGGCGCTGCTCAAGTGTGTTGTGCTGTAAAAGAGAGAAAGGTCGATCCAGGCTGTACTGGGGTGATGGTCGTGGCGACCCTAGCACACGTTCAGGCAGCACATGAGGTGCACTGTGGCGCGGCGCATGCAAGGGAACAGACGACATAGGTAAATCAGATGAATGCGATGTGAGGCGCAGTGGTGTAGACTGAGGTGGTGGCTTCCAAATATCCGGCATCGATGAGCCTCCCTGCGTGCGCGATGAACTAGGCGGTGGTAAGAGCTGATTCGACTGAATGGATGCGGAACGCGAGGATCGACTAGGAAGCAACATGATGTCGGAGAATTGAGTGGGCTCACTGGCACGAGAAACCGAAGCCGTCGAGTACAGAGAAGGGTCTCGATTGCTTTCCATCTGTACAGGGAGCGATGGAGATCGAGATGGCTTTTCGCCTTGCGCACGTCTTGTGAGGCTGAGCTCGCTCATGCTCCATAGAAGCGAGTCAGCAGGGTCATGCCGCACACCTGGCATAGAATACGCGCTTTTGCGTACGTTGACGTGAAAGCTCTTGCGCTCGTAAGCAAGCACGCGCCAGCGATGCAGGTGGTCTAGGCAAGAAGCCGAGGATGGTTGAATTTCCTTTTTTTTTGGTAACCAATGACGCAGGTCAGCCATATGATGCTTCAAGCGCCGCAGGCCACGTGGCACAGTCAAGCTTGCCAAGGCCAAGGCCAGGCACATCACGCGTGACATGTTTGGATCGGGACCAATCTATGGGAATCGGGCTGCGTACAGGGGGAAGACGGGGGGGGGGGGGAAGATGGGGGAGCCGGATGGGCGAGAGCGTCTTGTACGTCGACTTCGTAGCCATCAAAGAGGGGGCTGCGTAGGCTCATCCGTCCGCATAGCAGCAAGGCCGCGTGCGCAGAGCCTCTGTGGACATGGACATGCGTTTGTGCACGCGATCGGGCGCTTTTGACTCCACCGGCTCGCGACGGAACTTGGCCTTGAGCTCCGCGAGGCGTGCATCGACGCTGGTGGATGGCGTCGACGGAGGCGGCGCTTCGTCATCGGCAGCATGGTTCGCTAGTGCGCGCTTGATGTAGCGCTGGAAAATGGGGCCTGTGTTTTGCAGCGAGCGCTCGATGCTAGCTTGCTTACTTGGATGTCGTTTTTGAAACTCGTACAGCTCGCGAATGGCTGCACGAGACTGGTCTTTTTGTGAGATACGATCAAAGATGCCGCGCAGTTCCTCTGTGAGTGCCTCTTCTGCAGATGACACAGTGCCTGTGTGTTCTTTTGACATCGAGGACGATGCAGGGGCGGCAGGCGGCTCTGTGCTGTGGCCATGCGACGCGGAGGCATCGGGCGCCGGTACCTCGCCCGTGCGAGAGGACGACCGTGACGAGGCTGAGCCAGAGCGTGCGCTGGCGCTGCCATGCAGAAGCCGTAATAGGTAGCGATACACGTGGCTGGACTCAGGCTCGGGCCATGTGTCGGTGAGAGCCAAGGCGCCTTCGCCGAGCGTATCAGTCAGTTGCTTGAGTACGTTTGTGGCTGTGATTAGAGGGATGTCCCGGAGGGGGACATGCTGCCGAGCACGAACGCCCCACTCGGCGGGTGGCACCGCTTGGAAGAAGCGCTCCACACAAGCAAGAAGAGCCTCTCCATGCACCTGCTTGGCCTCCAGCGCTGCGGGAAGCTTGCGTGCAACTTTCCACAGACACTTGACCACGAGCTCTGCCTGCTGAGCCACCTCGGCAGACGAGGGCGTCAGATCTGCCGTTGTCGATGCGAGAAGTGAGAACAGCGCTTCGTACACGCAGTCGCCCTCACAGGTGGATAGGATGCGAAGGACGACGGCGTTCAGCTGCTTTGACAGCGTTTGCGAAGCCTCGTCGTCGTGCACCGTTGACACAGCGGTCAGGCGACGCAAAAGTCCGTGTAGCAGCTGGGCGACCAGGCTTCCGTCCAAGTACACGTCGCCGTGCTGAGCATCTAGGAGTACAAGCACACTCTGCAGCACGTGCCTGACGTATCTATGATCGAGCGTGGCCGGTGCATCGCTGTCATTTGCGGTCCTGCCCCAGGCAAGGAGTAAGGCACGGACGATCACGTCAAGCTGACGGCGTTCTAGAGCCGAGGATGCAAGCTGTGTTTGAAGCGCTTTGAGTCCCGCAATGCTTGTTTCCTTGTCGTGACTGCGGATGAGTGCCAAGTCATCAAGCGGGCCTGACGTCGTGGGCGATGCTGGAGCGGCGCCCACGCTGGGCTTGCGCGGCGTGGGCGCCGCGGCCTGCGTTGGCGTTGACATGAGCTTTGGTGCTGGGCCCGTTCCTGTGCGCTTGAGTCGTTCCTCCAGGAGCGCTTCGTCTTTCGGTGGTAACGGACCGACCAAACGCCAAATGCCATCGCCCAAGTATTTGTACGCCTCGCTCAGCGCATGAAGAGCACCGCCACGCACAGATGCATCACGGTCGCCGATGCACTTGGCCACGGCCGGCAGCGCTTTGGACGGCGTGCACACGTCGAGGCCGTGTCGTGAGAGCAGATGAGCCAGTTCGCCGAGCGATTCGGCTCGCGTTCGAGCGTTCTTCGACGGCACACCCTGGTCCAGCAGCATGAGAAACACGCGCGAGGGAGGGAAGAGCACGGTCGTTTGGCGCAGGATCGAGCGTGCCTGGTCGCGAAACACGGCTTTGGGATCGCCCATGCGTACGATGAGCGATGCGACGAGGGCCTGGGTCTCAGACTCTTGCAGGTGGTAGCTTTGGGCGACAAGGAGCTCCATCAGCTCATGCAGCAGCTCGAAGCATCGTAGCGCGACACTTGTGTTTTTGTCGAACAGACGAATACACGCATACTTGATGACCAGGTCGGTGTGTGCGACCACGTAGGCTGTGACTTGCTCCTGGCTCAGCTGCGCAGTGGCGGAGGCTGTTGGATTTGTAAGGAACGCCTGCAGCTCCTGCAGACCTTGGAGGTAATCGCGTTCGGCGTGATGGTCTTGGCTGAACAGGGCACCCACTAAGCGTGGTGCGCAACATGCCTCCATCTGCTGACGCAGCACGTCGACTTCATGTGGCCGCACAGAGCCGTCTACGACAAACGGTGTGCGACTTGCCTTTTCGCGAGCGACTTTGTACTTGGGGTCGGATGTGAGAAATGGTATACTGGGTTGGCTGGATGCATGGGCGGCTGCCGCAGGAGCCGACGCCGATCCCGATTCTGCCGCGGACGTGTCCGCCGGGCGTCTTGCTGACAAGGAACGGCTGACTGCGCTCGTCTTGACAGGGCGCGGCATAGGCCGCCGGGCAGTGGGGACTCGTGCTGGCGACGATGACGACAATGGCGGCCCCGCGGGTCGCTGCGGTGCCAGCGTTGTGGGCGCAGCGGGCGCGCGCGATGTGGGCCGACTTGGCGATGGAGCTGGCGCGCCAGATGCCGTGGACGATGAGGCTGTGGCGCCCGCCGCATGCACGGAGCGAGCCGCCTCGGAGCGAGCAGCGTCAATCAACGGCACAGCTGTTGCGCGAGATGCTCCCTTCAGCTGATTTGCTGCGTCGTACAGCGCACGATGTCCAGCGTACTGCACGAGGAGCGGCAGGAGCGACTGGGCCGCTTTTCGGACGGGTGCGGAGCGGTCGTCTAGCGATGCAACGACCGCCGGCAGAAGCGGCTGGACATCACCAGGTGTGCCTGGATGCTCCGTCATGTACGTGTGTAGCCATCCATATAGGTCCTGCTTCAACATGGGGTTCGCATACTTGCCGTCCAGGACGTGGCCCATAGGCGCAAGAAGCGGTGCCAGCTGCTGTCGCTGTGCCATGGCTGTGAGCGTAGCTGCTGCTGTGGCCCGAAGCGGTGCCTTGGAGTCGGCCAGCACTTGCGTTACTGGTGCGCCTAGCACGCGGGCGAGTGGCTCAAAGAGCACTTGCATCCCATTCGCTAGGAGCGTTACAATGTCCAGTGCGAGCGTGCGCACCATGAGATTCGTGTCGTGCAGGCGCGGCTTGAGTGCCTGTGCTAGTTCCATGCCACTTCCCTCGAGGCGTACATGGGGCTTGATAGCCGCATGCACTTGCTCCATCGCCTCCTTGCGCACCTTCCACTGTGCATCGGCCATGCCTGCCAGCATGCTGGGCGACACGAGTGTATCGACATTGACTCGTGGAAGCATGGCCTCGAGCGCTTCCTGCTCTGCGGCCGTCGCTGACTGGGCCGACGCGCCACGGTGAGTCGCAGTGCTCGCATCACTCTCGAGATCTCCGACAGCGCTAGAGCCGCCCACTTCGTTCGTGGCGGCCCGCGGAAACCGGCTCGGTGGTGGCGGCGGCGACACGTCCTGCACTTGGGTCTCGAGTGTCGCCATCAGCTGGGGATTCACGTCACTGCAGGAGGCGCAGGAGTGATGGCCCCACATACCGAGCGAGCGTCACAACCACGGCTGTCGCACCGGATCGGACCGCTGCATTTGCCGATTTCAAACACGTGCTGACGAACGCGACAAGTCCCGGCATATCGACCCCTTGCACGCCGAATGCGAGAAGCGTCTGGTCAATCCATGCAAGAGCATCGGCCTGTGCTTTCGGGGCCTTGATGCCTGAGATGTACGGCAGACTCTGTGCAAGCACAAAGCCCAGTGACGTCACTTCCGCATACTGGCACAGCGTCTCGCCAGCGGCGCCTTTGAGCTTCATATCACCTAGCTTCTCACTCAGCGGCTGCACCGTCAACGCGATCGCTGGCCGGTCAAACGACGGCAGCATCGTCATGCTTTGCAAGTGCTTTATAACCTCGCCCATGACTTGGAAATTGCTTTCTTTCCAGCCCGGCCGCTTCGTGAGGAACCGCGCCACGAGCTCGGCATCCGGCTGCTCCGTCTCGAGCCACGGCCCAAGCGCCTGCGCACCCTCCAGACGCTCTTTCCACTGCGAAGATGCTAGTTGCGCTTGGATGCGCTCTGGCATCAATTCTAATGCGCGTGCCTCTGCCTCTTCTGGCGCATAGCGGAAACGCACCGGCTCGTTCTCTGCCGAGCGCTGTGCATGGCCCTTGCCCCGAGGTGCAGCGGCAGCAGCAGCAGTAGCAGCAGCAGCGGTAGTAGGAGCCGTGGGAGCCGCCGCTCCAGCCTTGACACGTGGTGGCAGAGCTTTCGAAGCAGGTGGACCTTTGGTCGAGGGTGGTCGTGTGAGAGGAGCAGAGGCTTTGGATGCAGGCGCCGTTGGAGCCATCGGCGGCTTGGCCGGCGCTCGTGGAGGCGCCGTAGACTTGCTAGGCACAGCTGAAGCTTGCGACACCGGAGCAGCCTTCGGGGCGGACGTGGCTGGTGGCACTTTGGATGATGCCGTCGAAGGTCCGTTGCTGATCGGTACTGCTGCACCGACGACGGCAGCCGCCGATCCTGACGCTTCCTCCCGCACCTTGGCACGCTTGATCTCATCGAGCTTGTCCAGGTAGGGTAGGAGTGGTCGCTCGCCGACCACACGGAGCAAAATTCCCATACTAGACGCTGCTGCATCACGCACATCGCCGGCGCCGTCTGACATGAGCTGCACAAGAAGCGCTGCGATCACTTTCACGTCAGCGGCTTGCAGCGGCGAAGACGTTGTCGAAGACTTAGCGATGCATCGGCCCAGAAACCGAACCGAACCACCCTTCACCGCTGGATTCTTGTGCGTAGCTGCTGACGAGACAGGCTCCAGGATGTCAGAAAGCGAGCCACATCCATACATGGCGTCCAGCGTGCTTTGCAGCACATCCACCGTCGATGGCTTCCGCTCCTTGAGCTTCTCAAGGAGGGTCGGCAGGACGTACATATATGCAGCACCTTCTTGACGCAGGCCACGGCACAGAGCGTCAATACACTTGCAGGCCTGGAGTACGACGTTGATGTTCGCATCTTTGTGGATTCGCACTTGCAAGGCTTGGACATAGGCATCCAGGCCCGGATCCGGCCATATACGAATAGATTCCGTTAGGGCCGCATACAGCGACTCCAGTGCATTCATTCTGTCTTGCCACTTGGTCGCACACACCAGCTCGAAGAACTGCGGCGTCAAGTGGCGGCTGCGAAGAGGATGGCATGGCTCTGCCATGTCATACGGATCCGACTGTGTTGTGGCCGCAGCACTCCCAGCACCCCCAGCAGCAGTAGCAGCAGCATAATCATCATCATTGAGACCATCATGAGTGTATGTCGCTGTGCGGTCTGTATCCTGATCCGACGTGTCAGCCGAGCGTCCATGTTCTCGGCTTTGTTGCTCGGCTTGCCGCTTCAGAGATGTCAAGTAGCGCATGGGCTGCTGCTCTGGAGCTGGTGCCTCGGCAAACTTCGCTTCGAGTTCCTTTACCTGGATATCCTTGAGCTGCGACAAGATAGGCGATAAGGCAGCTCCCATCCATCGATGCAGCTGAACGGCTAGCTGTGCGCCTTCTGCTCGCACATTTTTGTCGGCGTGCGCAAACACCACGGGTATACACTTAGACACTGCACGCACATGGACCTGCTCACCGCCAAACTCCGTCACCAAGGCAGCTAAAGCCGCCACGTTCGCCGCGACAACTTTCGGCTGCTTCGACGACAACTTGTCCGACAAATCCGCGACGAGCCCTTCACATCCCTTGACGTCTTCTTTCTCCGCATACAAGAGAACAAGCTCTCTTGCAGCATTTCGTGTACCTGTGCGCATCGATCCTAAACACTTTTCCGCCACACTTGGCATCACAGCTTCTCGAGTCCTGTTCGGTAAGAGGGTGATTTGCAAATGAGCACAACGTACCGACCAGCCTGAATCCCACCGTAACGCACGAAAGAGCACAGAGCCTCTACACCCTTTTCCTGCGCTGCAGCATTCGAGTCAAGTGCCATGTCTCGCAGCAGGTCTGCATCGCGCGCATACTCATCGAAGATGGGATCGTCTTCGGATGGCGTGCGTTCAAATGTCTTGGCCATCTCTTCATACGCTGATAGCCGCGCCTTCCACAGCTTGGACGCCAGTCGGTCCCGCACCGGCATGCTCATCACATCATCGGCACTCCCGCCAGCGCCGCCGCCTCCTGACGCCGCCGAGTCTGCCATGACCGTGGAGGTCGTCGACGCGTTTGTTCGTGCCGACGCGTGTGTGGGAGGTGTTGGTGAATGTGAGTCATGTGACTCCGTGCGCGGCGCCAGGGCTCCAGTGGAAGAGGAAGCAGGGCGCGCTTGGCCTGTATCTGTCTTGCGCGGCAGGGCAAGCACGTGTCAAAGCGGGAGCCAACAACAACAACTACCATTATATTACATAGGCTAGCGCAGGGAAAAGGCTAAGGGGAAAAGAGGTACCTAAGAGAGAAAAAAAAAAGTAGTGGTAGGGTAAGCAAGCAGTCATCATACCGACTTCTGCAAAGTAGATGCATTCCCCTTGGAGCAACGATACAGCCGCACTAGGGGAGGACTGAAAGGGGGGGTGGTGGTGGGAGCCGGCAGCTCGACGACAGGTCTTGACCAGTGTCTCGTGTTCGCTAATGCCAAAGCCATTGCTCAATGGGCCGTAAGAGACAGTAAAGTACAAACGATAGACCAAGTCCGACCTCAAAGCCTAGATCACCAACATGGCGGCCCAGCGGACCAGTGAACCACGCCTGGTCCATGAACGGGATGATCAGACCCAGGGAGAGAACACTCGCTGTGATGGCTGCTATGCCAGGTGGTAATTTGCGCCAGTCATCCCAAATTGTCAGATCGTACGAAGACATGCGACAGCGGCGGATAACCACAAAGTCTGCACACACGACTCCGATGAACAAGCATGCCCAATACGCAATAACGCTCACAAAGTTTGTCAGCGCGGTATAAAATTCATTCTGCCCCACAATGGCTATCGGCAAGACAATTGCCATCGCAAAGATGGGAATGACAAATCTAGGCAGCACCATGAGTGGCGGAAAGGCTGTCTGGATACACAAACCCATCGAATAAAACGTGGTCATCATATTGCTCATGGCGGACAACGCTATTAGCACAGTGAGGAATTTGCCAAAATTGCCCAAATGCGACGACAAGACCAGATGGATGATGGGACCGGGCGATGGGTTCGAGGCTATGGCCTCGCGCCATGCAGGGACTGTATCAGCGGATGTCGCGAACGCGGCGCCAAGCATCATGATCGGCGGCGCAGAAAATATCAACGCCACAAATACTGCAACGAACAGCAGCCATGAAGATCGGTCTCGATGGTAATACATGCTCACATCAGACGAAAACGACGCATACGTCACGTAGTAGCCAGCATGCAGGCAACCCAATGCTAACACTGACTGCGACGTTGGCCGTGTCTCGTTAGGATCCGTGTGCAAGCCAGCTGGACCTGACTTGGCCTCGCCGGCCATGATGGCGAAGCTGATTAAGACTGGCAGCCAAAACACACAGTCTATCATGTTCAGCACGCGTATGCCACAAAACGACACAAGAAGCGCGAGTACGGTCACAATTACAATACCTACCGTCGCAGACATGGAGCCATGGGGCGACACTGCCTGCAATGTTTCGCCGGCAAGAATGCCATTTAGAATCGTGTACCCGATGCCTGTAATGGTTGCAAGTAGTGCAACTATCGAGGCGCCGACGTATCCAAAAGAATACCGGCAGTGCACCATTTGTCGCAGTCCCAGCTTATGCCCAAAAATCGAGAAACATGCCGGGAAGACGCCCCAGGCAATAAGAAAACCAAGCGTTGTGTAGGAAAAGTAGCGAAATCCGAAGCCCATTTGCGGTGCAAGCATACCTGTCGAGAAGCTTAAGACATTCAAATTCACACTGAGCCAGATGAGGGCGATGGAAAATGGATGCTTGAGCTGTTGCTCATCTGGCTTGATTGGCTCAATGTTGGTCCACTCCAACCAAGCAAAACCAGTCCATCTCGGACTGCTAAGCACTTGCCTGAATCGTTTATAGATACGTGGACTTTGTGAGTTGCGCTCCATGTCGTGCCCAAGATCTGCATCGATACTCTTCGTCTCGAGTGCACTCGCTTTGTCGACAGAACCAGCATTCGATATCGAAGTGTCCAGTGGCGCCATGGGTGATGCCTTTCACTGCTGAGCCACGAGTGATGGGTCTTGGACCACTCGCCATCAACCTAGGTCTATGCCTAGTCAAGAGGCTGGCTTCCTTGCCGGGCAGCGCTACTGACGATCAGGACTCGAATCGGTCACACGTTACTCCTCCTTTTCTCCACCTTGGCAATTTCGTCATCGGGGACGAACTGAGGGTGTGCCGTATGATCACCAACGTGCCGAGACTGTAGAAGACCCTAATCACGTGCGGATGAGCAGGGATGCAGGTATGTGCGGGACGCGAGGTTCGACACGCTCTGTGAAAGCGGTCCACAATTCCGTTATCTATGCAAGATTTTTCTCCATCTCTCTTGCATGCCAATGGGGGTAAGCGGGGTGCAACGCCCAGTGCGAGGGAAGAGGGGTTTATTTTCAGCTAAGCTCGTACATGAAAAGAACTATAGACTCAGAGACAAATCGGTATTTACGCCGACTTCTCTCCTTCCGCAGCAATAGCATCCTGGCCACGCGTCCGCGTGTGCTGTTCAAACAACTTGTCAAACAGCGCATCGTGACTGACGTCCTGTCCATTTTTGATCGCACGGTGGAACACGTGCAGAACTGAGTCAACATCTTCCATAGTCTGGTCCTTGATGTCGGCCATGACCTTGATACGGTTCGTTGCAGCCTTGACCTGCTCATCTGTCAGGTCCAGACCCAGCTGCTGCGCACGGCTCTTCACCGCATTCCAGCCAGTGAGACGGTGGCCAATCGACACGTAGCGGCTCATACCAAAGTCTTCCGGCCGCAGAATCTCGTACGTGCTGGGGTTGGCAAGGATGGCCTTGGCATGAATACCCGCCTTGTGCGTAAAGGCACAGTAGCCTGTTACTGGGTTGTTGAAGGGAATCTGCACTTGCACTGCATCAGCAACAATGTCTTCCACCTCACGAAGTGCCTTCAAGTTGTACTTCTTCATCACATAGTCGCGATCAGCTGCATACATGCGTGCAATGAAACCACCCAGACTCGGAATACCGTTGCGCTCACCAATGCCCAGTACGGATGTGTCGACGTGTGTGGCACCAGCCTCCAACGCTGTGTACGCATTGGCGATGGCGCAGCCAGTGTCGTTGTGGAAATGGCATTCAATATCACAGCCGACGACTCCGCGAAGCGTACGCACAAGGTCGTACACCTGGCGTGGATTCGCGACGCCTACCGTGTCGGCAATGCCCACACGGTTCACGCCCACCTTGTCGACAACCTGGTAAATGCTTAGCAAGTCAACCAGATCAGAGCGGAAGGAGTCTTCCGTTGAGAAACGGATCTCAATTCCCTTGCTCTTCACAAAGTTGATCACTTCGACAGCTGCCTTTGTAATGTACGTCATGTCCTTGCCGTGCGAGTACTCACGGAGGAACTTGGATGTTCCCATGACCACATCCACGCCGTCTACACCTGTTTCGACGGCGATCCGTGCATCGTCCATGTGGCAGCGGATGTGCGTGATGACCTTGGTGCGCAGACCCAGCTTGCAAATGGCCTCGCAGTCCTTGCGACTCTGCTCCGAGGCCGCTGGCGATGTCAGTTCAATGCAATCGACGCCAAAGTTGTCTAGGGCCTTGGCAATTCGAATCTTGGTCTCCGTGTCGAAGAAGGCATTGGCAAACTGCTCACCCTCACGAAGAGTCGATTCAATGATCTTGAAGTTCGACACATTGCTCAAAAAGTCACTGTAGCGGGATGCGCCAAAAGGCTGTACACCCTGCAATGCTGGATTCTCCGGGCGGGCTGGCGTTTCCACTGCACTGGAGCTATCGACAGCCACATGGTTGTCCTTCACATCTTGCGAGGCTTCGCCTTCGATGCGCTGCATCTTGCTTGGTCGTGAATTTTGACAATCACACATGATCAATCGGGTACTTCGTCGCTGGAGAAGAAACAAGACTCGTGATACCTTCTAGCCTTTTGGGGTAATCAGTGATAGATGACTCGTCCGATAGTTTTCATGAAATTACAGATTTACCATTTACTTGGAACTTCGCACACCATATCACGTGGCGCACGTTGTGGGCGCCAACCTTCTTTGTTGCGTGATAGCAGTGGTGGCGTGTATCGTTGCACTCACGTTGGACTCAAATCTAGTGCGTGCCTCGCTCATCATGACGGCAGTTTGAAAGGCTGGTCTCATGAGTGGGTCTACGTGCTTCGTTGGCAAGAGTGTATGCTCATGTTGCGGGCGATGCTGCAGATACACACGTGTTCCTATTTAATACATATTCTGTTTGTCATATAGCACTGACACAGTTCGACTGAAGTTGATACGTAGAGAGCGAAGTGATTCAAGTGGCTTTCTTTCATACCGGCCATCTGCGCATATTGAGATCCGTACTTTATGCTCACAGCGATGCACTCACTAGTGCCTCATCGGACCCACGGCTACAAATTCATAAGCTTTGGCAACCTTGTACGTCCATCCAAGCTTCGTTAATCTGCATGCTTCCATGCTAAGGAATCTACGAAAACGCTTTCGACATCAGAAAAAAAAAACACTTTGGGTTATTTATTCAGACTCAGGGGCCACACGGAGAAGCTTTTCATCTGCGCCCTTGCCGGTGAAGTCCCAACGGTTCTGTCGGTTAGAGCCTCTCTGTCCGAAAGAACGGACATGTAGATACGACGTACGTTAGAAAAGGAGCACAAGAAGAAGGTAGCAATTGGCACACCAAAACCCCAGAACGCAACTACAGGTGCATTCCTAGGCGTCCAGCGGAAACGCTGGTACATGGTGTTGTGCTGTCCAGTGTAAGCTCGTCTCACACTTGGTTTTACGAACCATTTGCTGCCACCGCTCAATCGCGGGATCAATCTTCACGGATCCTGCCATGTTAGAATTTTCTTTTGTATCTCTATGGAGACGTACGATGATGACCACCAGCCATATTGTCAATGTAAAGCGGACGACGTCGAAATACAGAAGCGAGTGATAAAGTCAGCTCAACCTGACGTGCCACAAAGCCCAATCTAAAAGGAGGGGGTGAGGGAGCTAGGGCCAGAGCGACGGTGCGTGTGGCCCGCTGACTAAACGGTATCACATGGCACACTACCTTCTTCCACCCCCTCCGACGCTGGTACTCACCTTCAGCCTGCAGCAAGCCGAAGGCGAACGGGTCGCGAGAGAGTCTTAGAGAGTGGTTGTCGTTGCTGGCTGTTCGGCTTATGAGCTGGCGCCGATCGCGTTTACAGTATGATGACACGGAGCCAGGCCCGCTGAGTGAATCTCATAAGTACCGGAGGGAGCGAGAGTCTGGGTATCGTGCGTCAGCTGGCCCGTCGTCGCGAGGTAAGGAATGGTCTAGGGAGCCCCGATCTTGGCGCGAGCGACGGGATCCAGAGTCTCATTCATGGCGCAGTCGCGATCGATATCGCGAAAGACATGAAAATGATCAGGGTGGGTGGCGCCGCGATCGCGAGCACAGTCCAAGACGATCACGCGAGTCACATCCGTACGAGTCACGATCGCATGAGCAACGAATGCGCGAACCATATGCACATGCATCACGGGCGCAGTCGTCCGATTCTGCGCAGAATTCTCATTCCAAACCATATACCCCGCCAACAGAGACGAATGCAGACTCGACTATGGAGCCTGATGCCGATCAAATAGCAGCGATGATGGGGTTCGGAAATTTTGGCTCTAGCAAAGTAGGTCCTCACGATGGCAATGCATCACACTCACACTAATCAGGGCAAGCACGTGGAAGATAATTCAGAAGGATTTGCGGATATACGAAAAGAGCACAGTTGGAGGCAGTATATGAATCGGTATGTACAGATTATCACTTATGTATATCACAGCAAAGGTGGCTTCAACCGGCCACTGGACAAGGTGTAAATGGGTTATGCTGTGCGTAAGGATGCTAGGGACGTAGCAAGGTCCTCATCACCTTTAGATAGAACGCCAAATGATGTTGACGACGAAATGGAGGGTGATTGCTTTGTCTCAGCGGTGCCAAAAAACTTGTTCGTTGCAGCATTGTTCGTGCTCGTCGTCGGTACCCTCGTGGGCTGGAGAACCATTCTCGCATCGCCATGATGTGCCCATCCAGGCGCCATTTTTTGAAGACGCTCCCGCTCCCTGCGTTCCCGGGCAAGTTGTTTCTCTTTCAAGAAAGATTCTTGCTCACTTCGCATTGCTCGAAAGCGCGAACTCGACAGGTTGGACGATGTTCTAACCAAGTCTTCAGCTCGATACGAATACACACAGTATGCGTCAATGTCCTCAGGTAGTGGGTGCATGTCGGCAGGGAATGTGACAGGTGGCGGAATCTGATACTCTGGATCCAGAACGAGCATCATATGCTGCAGCCATGATTGCTGAACAGCGTAAGGGACCATGTCTTCTGCGACGAACAAAGTGGATTCGAGCGATCCAATTCTTAGCTGTGTCTTGATTCCAAAGCACAAATTTCTGTGACTTCCTGAATTTCTGTGTCGTCTCTTACGTGGAGAAAGAAATTTGTGAGGAAGAAGGTGCGAGCAACACTTGCCGTCGCAACGATACTTTTCCTTTTACCTGCAAGTTTCCCTGGGCGATACGTCCCGGCTGCGCAAGCAAAGCAAGCTTCGCAGATTGATAAGTCAGCGGGAGGCAGTCTCAAGCAACGTATGGATCGAATAGCTCGTTGCTTTTGGCTACGAAGACCTACAATTCCACTGCCAAGTTGCGGCATTTCCTCGAGGATGTCTGCCACGCGCGAGCTCTGCACGGAACTCGAGCCCTCTTCCAAGCGCATAAAAACTGAGGACTCTAAGTCAGAAAGCCTCATGCCGTCGCAATCTCATGCGCTTATGCCACGATTCGAGCACGGACTATTTCTTGCTCCTATGGTACGGACAGGCTCGCTCCCATGCCGTCTCCTGTCGCTCGAATATGGTGCGAGTCTTGTATGGGGCCCAGAAGTCGTTGATCGAGCTATTATGGAGACTGAGCGCGATGTTGATCCAACCACAGGTGTGGTTGAGTTCAGAAAGGGCGACAAGCCCGTGTTTTCAACACATCCCATCGAAAGGCCGTATCTCATATACCAACTAGGCTCAGCCACGCCTGAGTTTGCTGCAGAGGCCGTAAGGATTGTCACTCAGCATGACGATGTGGCGGGTGTTGACTTAAACTGCGGGTGTCCCAAGCCATTTTCAACACTTGGCGGCATGGGTTCCAATCTGCTAAGCACGCCTGATTTGCTCTGCGATATCATCAAGGCCATGCGACGCGCAGCGCCACCACACGTGAGCGTTTCGTGCAAGATACGACTTTTGCCGACGCAGGAAGAAACGTTTTCCCTGGTCGAAAAAATTGTGCGTGCACGAGCGATTCGTGTGTTGACGATTCACTGTCGAACAAAGCCCATGCGGCCACGCGAGGCAGCACTTCTTGAGCGGTTTCGTGCAGTAGCAGAGCATGTGGCCAAGATTGCTAAAGAGACAGAACAAGATGTCACGGTCGTATGTAATGGCGACTGTTTCAGTGTTGCGGATATTCCCCATCTTCGTGAGCTCACAGGAGCGTCTTCGTTTATGATGGCCCGTGGTCCCGAGGCCAACATGTCATGCTTCCAGTCACAACGCGAGTGTACGGCGACGGTTCTTGCGCCGAAATGGCTTCGTTATGCAATAAGGACCAACAACCTTTTTGGTAACTCTAAGTACTGTATTACGCAGATGGCTTTCACTACGACCGCTGGTGCGAAAGACACGGACGCTGAGAAAATTTCGCCTCTGAAGAAGCGAGATCTGGTTGAAATACGCTCAGCACTGAGCGCGAGTCAGACACATGAGGACATGGCTCGAGCTTTGCACCTTCCGTGGCCGCTTGATACCTCCGATGTGCTTGAGCACCTGCAACGCAAGCTGGACGAACGAGCACGCTAGCATCATCGTTTATGTTCTGCGTACGCTCATGAAGAAAACTCGGCTGCACGAAATGAGTTGTGAATATTCCCGCCCCTTCCCCTTCAAACGCAAATGGTAGTGAAGGACTTGGATCTGTGTGTATAGGATAAACCAGACAAGATAGAGCAAGTTACGCCATGAATGAAGTGTGCATCCAATATGCGTCCGGCATTCTCTGCAAGGAAGGCCCTGATTCTTGCTTGCTGAGGACCTTGTCCCCTTTCGTTCTCATTTTTCCACAAGCTCCTCCTTCCGTTCTGACATGCCAAGAAATGTTGCGTTCTGACGCGCGAGCTCATGCATCAACTCGTCGTGCGCTGGCTGATCGACTCCACATACACACCTCCATTCATTCAGGTGCACGTACTGACCATCTTGGGATCCCACGGCCTGCCTTCCTCCTGTCGATTCGTAATGAGCCAAGTCAGCGGGGGCAAAGTGCCATCGTACCACGCACCTCCGTTTGACTCGCCGCTAAGCGGCGCTACTATTCATGAACTACGATGCTTGGATACAAAAGTCCAGCTCGGATTTCACCTTGTGCCGCACATTGCCAAGACGCTTATAACGGAGCTTCCGTCCAGTGCATATGTGCTTGTGACTGATACGAACCTCGCGAAGCTGGGCGCCATTGACAAGTTTCGCAAGGCATTTGAGGCGATACCAGGGGCACGGCTCCTCGTGTATGAGCTGGCACCTGGAGAAGAAAGCAAGAGTCGCGAGACCAAAGCGGCCATAGAAGACTGGATGTTGGAGCACCGTCTCACTCGCGACACTGTCGTCCTTGCGTGCGGCGGTGGAGTTATTGGTGATTTAGTCGGTTTTGTGGCCGCTACGTTTATGCGTGGCCTGAAATATGTACAGATTCCTACTACCCTGTTGGCTATGGTCGACTCGTCGGTTGGTGGCAAAACGGCGATTGACCACCCGCACGGGAAAAATCTGATCGGCGCATTCCACCAGCCACGCTATGTATTTATCGATGCTGCTTGGCTCCTTACCCTACCTGAGCGAGAGTTCAGCAATGGCATGGCTGAGGTTATCAAAACCGCGGCGATTTGGGATGCGGCTGATTTTGAAAAGCTTGAGAGTGAATCGGCTTCGATACGCGCCGCTGTGATGGGTGATGAGGCCCGTCAGCAAAGTGCAGCGCAGGGACACACACTTGCCACGCGCACGTCGTCGCAGAGTTTGTTGCTCGATGTAATTCGTGGAAGTGTGGGAGTGAAAGCCCACATCGTGACCATTGACGAAAAAGAGACAGGCTTGCGGAACCTCGTGAATTTCGGCCATTCTGTTGGCCATGCAATTGAAGCTGTCTTGACACCCGACATCCTGCATGGCGAATGTGTGGCTGTGGGCATGGTGCTGGAGGCAGAAATTGCGAGACTCGTGCATGGTCTTCCGCAAGTCGCGATCGGTCGGCTCGTTCGCTGTCTGCGTCTGTACAATTTACCAGTGACACTTGCTGATGCACGCATCATGGCACTGTCGAAAGTGCGCGAGCTCACAACCGCCCGAGTTTTGGATATTATGCGTGTTGACAAAAAAAATGCTGGTGCTCAGAAAAAGATTGTCTTGCTCTCGCGCATTGGTGCGACGGTGGAAGAGCGAGCAAGCACTGTATCAGATGCAATGATCGAGCGTGTGCTTGCGCCCGCCATGTTGGTGCGTGAATCCGTCAGTGCGCCAAGGCCCCCCCTTACGATTCACACGCCCGGGTCAAAGAGCGTGTCGAACCGTGCACTGGTTCTCGCAGCTCTTTCTGGCGGAACATGCCGCCTGCGTCATCTTTTGCACTCTGACGATACCCAAGTGATGATGCAAGCGCTGGCCCAGCTCCGCGCTGCGGACTTTGCTTGGGAAGACAATGGCGCGACGCTTGTGGTACATGGCCAGGGAGGCCGGGTCCTGGCGTCGGACGAACCGGTCTACCTCCAGAATGCTGGTACTGCTGCGCGCTTTGTGACTGCTGTTGCATGTCTAGCTTCTTCTGCTTCTTGCAGTGGCTCGGACGAGTCGTCTTGCCATGGCGTTGTACATCTTACGGGCAATGCAAGAATGAAACAGCGTCCTATTGGCCCATTGGTTGATGCGCTCCGATCGAATGGTGCGAGGATCGATTACGTGGAGCAGTCAAATTGTTTGCCACTGAATGTCACTGCTTCCGGCGCACTTCAAGGTGGTCGTATTGAACTGGCAGCCGACGTCTCGTCCCAGTACGTATCGGCGGTGCTACTTTGTGCGCCATACGCACAGAATGATGTTGAACTCGCACTTGTCGGTGGCAAAGTCATTTCCCAGCCGTACATTGACATGACGATCGCCATGATGCAGTCTTTTGGCGTGCGCGTAGAGCGAGTGGCAGAGCATGTGTACCGGATTCCACGCACCACGTACGTGGCACCATCAACCTATGAAGTGGAATGCGACGCTAGCAGTGCGACTTATCCACTGGCCATCGCGGCCATCACTGGCACGACCGTGACCGTGCCGAGTTTGGGCCGGGCAAGTCTGCAAGGCGACGCTGCGTTTGCTCGGAAAGTGCTTGCGCCTATGGGATGCCAAGTCGAGCAGAATGACGTCTCAACAACGGTGACGGGTCCGCCTGTTGGCATGCTGAAGGCGCTTGGCGCCATCGATATGGAATCGATGACCGATGCTTTCATCACAGCCGCCATGCTATTTGCTGTTGCCACTGCCCCGTGCGATGAATATGCTTCCTCGTCGACATCGGCTTCGCCATCGTCCACCCGCATAACGGGCATAGCCAACCAACGCGTGAAGGAGTGCGATCGTCTGCGTGCTGTCGTAACGGAGCTTGCCAAGCTCGGCGTTCGTGCTGTCGAGCACGATGACGGCATCGAAGTGTTTAGCACACCGATCTCACAGCTCTTGCCGCATGCCTCGATTTACTGCTACGATGACCATCGCATTGCCATGGCATTCAGTGTGTTGGCATGTGTCGTGCCAGGGGCAGGCACTGAGATCCAGGAAAAGCGCTGTGTGGAAAAGACATGGCCGTCTTGGTGGGACGTGCTCGGCGGTCCGCTGAACGTTCCAATCGCTGGTGCACGTCTGAACGATGCGCTGGTCTCTCTCGTAGCACGATCGCGTCAACGTGGCCCTCCCACTCCTACTACGCTGTACGGAAGAGACGCTTCTATTGTGCTGATCGGCATGCGTGCGTCGGGCAAGTCTCATGTGGGTCGGTCGCTTGCAAAACTTTTGCACCGGACGTTTGTGGATGCCGATGTGGTTTTTTCGGACATGTACGATATTGGCGCGTTCGTGCAAGACCATGGCTGGGACGCTTTCCGTGCAGAAGAATCGCGCATCCTAGAGAGTCTACTAACGCAATGTAGTGTGGGTCACGTCATTGCGCTTGGCGGAGGCGTCATCGAGTCGGCAGCGAGTCGTGCACTGCTGGCTCGTTTCCGCGAGCATGTGGGCCCAGTCGTACACATTGTTCGTGACTTTGCACTGATTGAATCGTTCCTCGCAACTAGCGATCGTCCTGCCTATGGCGAGCCGCTCGCTGATGTGTATGCGCGGCGCCTGCCTCTGTATGCGGAGTCATCGTGCATGGAGGCTGTAAACACGGGCAATGATGCTGCGCTTGCTCTGTCGCGTCAGCTCCGCACACCCCTTGGCACACCTGTGCCTATATCGCCCGCATTTTTCTTGTCGCTGACGTTCCCACGTGTTCAGGACGCGTGGTCAATCTTAGATCATGCTTCCGCTGGTGTAGATGTGCTAGAGCTACGCGTGGATTTGCTGCATGCGGACGGTCAACCCAGCATCGACGACGTCCGTGAGCAAGTCGCATTGCTGCGACAGTACACATCATTACCTATCCTCTACACCGTCCGGAGTGTATCACAGGGCGGTCGTTTGCCAGACGAGGCGAATGAAGCCTACTTTGCACTCACGCGCCTTGGCCTGAGAATGGGCTGTGAGTATGTGGATATCGAATTGACGCGGCCGTCGGACGGCATTGAAGAGCTCGCACAAGCAAAAGGTCAAACGCGCATCGTAGCTTCGTTTCATGACACGTCTGGTACCATGCACTGGATGGCGCCGGCCATGCGTCGGCTGTATACACGAGCGTGTGTTTTGGGTGATATCGCGAAGCTCGTGGGATTCGCACGCACTTGGCAGGACTCGCTGGATCTTGAGTCTTTCCGCACCCGCGTCGCTCAGGAAGCGCCATTCCCGCTCATTGCCATCAACATGCAAGCCGCTGGTCAGCTATCCCGCATCGTGAATCCACTCTTGACGCCCGTGACACATCCCGCGTTGCCTGTGCCCGCAGCGCCTGGTCAGATGAGCGTGCGTGACATTCACCATGCGCGACACCTGCTCGGCCTGCTACCCAAGCGCCACTTTTTCCTGTTTGGCTCACCCATCACGCATTCTCAAAGCCCTTTGATCCACAACACTGCTTTTGAGCTTCTTGGTCTTCCACATGTGTATGCGCGACATGAGACGGATAGTGTGGATGCCAGTGTGGAAGCACTTGTGCGGGCCGGCGACTTTGGTGGCGCGAGCGTCACGATCCCCCACAAGTTGAGCATTATGCAGCTGCTTGACTCTGTGTCGCCTCATGCACAGGTCATTGGCGCAGTGAACACAATTGTTCCGCATCGCGACGAGACAACAGGTCATATGGCTCTTCATGGTGAAAATACGGATTGGCGAGCTATAGTTGATCTTGTGGCGAAGCACGACGGCGGCCGCACCCGTGCATGTACGGCTCTCGTGATTGGCGCTGGTGGTTCTGCCCGCGCCGCCCTGTATGCGATGCACAAACTCGGCGCTTCGCGTATCCTCTTGTACAACCGCACATTCGAAAAGGCTGTCAATTTAGCAGAGCAAGTGCCGGTGGAGTGGCGGGTTGAGCCGGTCGACTCGTTGGCTCTTGCCGCTAAGGCAAAACCAAATGTGATTGTGAGCAATGTACCAGCACAAGGCACGTCCTTTACCCCTGGTGGTGCCGACATTGTGCTTCCGCTTGATCTTTTGTCATCCGACGGTGGTGTAGCGATCGATATGGCGTATCGGCCAGAAATCACACCGTTGCTGACGTTGGCACAACAGCATCAGTCATGGCATGGCGTACGAGGCATCGAGATTCTACTTGCCCAAGCATTCCATCAATTCCGCTTATGGACAGGACTACCGCCTCCGTGCTTGGACATTGAGACGACCGTATATGCGGCGTACCGAGCTGCAGCGGCGTCTATGTAGTGTATGATCCTTTGATTCTTGGTTTTTAGTACCGAACTCCGCGTCTTGAGTGCACTAGCGAGTGGTGTGTATGTGGGAAAGTCACCCAGATTAGCTTGATCCTACATGCATGACGAAGGAGAAAAGTATAAAAATAGAAAGTAGCCTCTCATCAAATCGGATTGGACCCTCTTTAGTGGCTTGCTCCGAAATAGGTCGCACTTGAGGACATCCGTCTATATGGGCGAGGCGGTTGTGTACGTCTCAATACTGGCCCACATTACCTGACCACGTGACTTTCATGGCGCTGTGGGGTTACTATGCTGAATGAGTGACAGTGGAGGCCCCACGCGCTCGTCCTGCTACCCGCCTCGTGGCCTGGCCGACCGGACGTCGCCCGCCAATGAATGTGTGAATACAATCCCCCAGCCTAGTCTTGGAAACCCATATACCGCCGAGGCACTGACCGACGGCCTGTGGCGTACACTTGACCAAATTTTGAACGCCGCGCCAGATCGTGTCTCCCTGGGCGCGTCACAAGTAGCATCTAGCCCGAGACCTATGGTGCACATTGCTCCGGCGTGCCTACCACGAGTAGGCATGCCTTACATGCTCGGGTGTGCGTCGCATCTGGGCATGGCATCGACCACACGGTTTGCCTCAGTACGCACCGCCATGACATCTGCATGTTTGCGATGGTCTGGTAGAAGCACAACGAGTGGCCATAGTATCGGTCGCCTAGTTGGTGCTGGTGGTGGTGGTGCGGGATTCCCCGTCTCGACACCGTCTCTTTCGCGCTCGATCCATACTACTCGCACCGCACACCGTGTGTCAGGAACCAGCGATCGCGAGACAACACCATTGAATGCGAGCACAGGGGACAAGCCAAAGACGCCAAAAGACAGGCCTAGCGCCTTCTCGCAGGTCGTCACGACGATGCGAGAAATGGCGACGTCCCGGCGTGCTGATGCCGGTGGTAATGCGTCACAATTCCCGGCGGTACGCCGATTGCTAGCGCTCATGCGTCCTGAGTCGCGGCGAATTGGACTTGCTTTGACTCTCCTGTTTATTGCCTCCAGTGTGTCGCTCTCTGTGCCGTTTACGATCGGCAAGGTCGTTGACTTCTTCTCGTCACCAGGTGCAACACTGCCGCTGGGCCTCAGCATGTCGACCGTTGCAATCCTACTGCTCTGTGTCTTTGCCACAGGCGCCGTTGCTCGTGCGAGCTCGAACATTTTGCTCGAGCTCACGGGTGTGCGTGTGATTCAGCGCATGCGTGAACGAGCATTTGCGAGTGCATTAAGGCAAGATGTCGCTTTCGCTGACAAGGGCGCTGGCGACACTGTGAGTCGGATCAATATGGACTGCAACCTTGTGGGCGGCGCGATTACGACCGATTTGGCCGACGGACTCCGCTCCACGCTCACTGTCGCTGCTGCATGCTCGGCTATGTTCTATATTTCGACCAAGCTAACATTGGTGATGATGCTGGTGATCCCTCCAGCCGCGCTCGGTGCAGCGTTCTATGGACGCTTCCTGCGCAATCTGACGAACCAGACGCAAAATGCTGTCGGCGAGATGACTCGTACGGCCGAAGAGCGCTTGTCGCCGCCGGCGTTCCGCACGATCACGGCCTGCAACATGCAGGAGACCGAGTCGAGGCGATTTGATGCAAAAGTGCGTGACATTACCGCGCTGCAGACGAAGGAGGCTTATGCCGGTGGCATATTCCACTCAGGTCTCGGGTTTGTAGGCAATTGTGCTATTGTCACACTCCTGACGTATGGTGGACACCTCGTGAGCCTTGGACAGCTTACAGTGGGTGATCTGACGTCCCTGCTCATGTACACGGCATACCTGGGTGGCGGTGTAATGCTTATGACGAGCTTCTTCACATCGCTGATGAAGGGCGTCGGTGCCGGTGCGCGTGTCTTTGGCTTGCTGGACCGGACGCCTATGATTCGCTTGGGTGTTGGCGAAAAGCTCGACAGTTCGCACATTGACAAACGCGGTGCTCGCATCCAGTTCGATGATGTGCACTTCCGGTACCCCAGCCGGCCCGACATGCCGATCCTGGCCGGCGTCAACGTCGATATTCAGCCAGGGACGAGTGTAGCGTTAGTTGGCGGCTCTGGTGCCGGCAAGTCGTCGATGCATGCTCTCATGATGCGCTTCTACGAGCCAGACGCTGGAACTGTGCGTCTGGACGGTCACGATATTCGCACATACACACCCGAGTCACTTCGCTCCGTCATGAGTATCGTCCCGCAGGAACCAGTGTTGTTTGAAGGCACGATCGCCGACAATATCACATATGGCACTTCTGGCGTGACTCGTGAGCAGATGGAGCGTGCAGCTCAAGCAGCCCATTGCATTGAGTTTGTGAGGACGATGCCGCAAGGTTTCGACACGGTCATTGGGCCCCGTGAGCTCAGTGGTGGCCAACGGCAGCGCATCGCCATTGCGCGCGCGCTTGTACGTGAGCCGAGTGTGCTTCTGCTCGATGAAGCGACATCGGCACTCGACTCGGCGTCAGAGCTTTTGATCAACGAGGCCATCACGTCGATCATCAAGAATGGTCGCACGACGGTGTGGATTGTAGCTCATCGTTTGAGCACTGTGCGTGCCGCCGATACCATCATGCTGCTGGAGAACGGCCACATCGCTGAGATGGGCTCATTTGAGCAGCTGGATCAGCCGGGCACGCGCTTCCGCTCGCTCATGCAGTCTCAGCTGAGTGCGCCCACTTCGACGGCATCCACCACGTCGACAGGGCGAGCATTCCCACCCTCCAACGCGCGTTCCTATTCGACAATGCTGCCGCACTCGCCGTTACGTCGAAGACATGTGCCTCAGACCCCTGCATGGAGCGTGAATGATGCACTTGCATCCTCGCTTGAAAATGAGCATGCAAAGCCCACGCTAGATCATGCCAAGTTGGAGCGCTTGCACCGACTAGCTGCTCTTGACCTGCCAGCAGACAAGGACAGTATGCAGCGGCTATGTGCCGAGCTCGAGACTCTTGCTGCAGTCATGCATTTGGCACACCAGCTTCCTGATGATGCGTCGCTTGACGAAATACCGAATGAACCGCCCATCACTACGGTTCGTGGAACTCGGCAACGCTCGCAGCCTGACGAGGGCACACAGCCCATCCCTCGTTCCACTCTGGAAGCAGGGGGTGGTCAGTGGCGCGCCGGGTACATTGTATCCAAATAAGACTGGTACAACACTGCATATCTAGCGCAGCGGTTGTCCACCGTAGGTAGGAAATGCATGGAAAACGTCATAATCGACGTGCCAGGACATGGTTGATCAGCAAGGAAAAAAAAAAAAAAAAAAAAAAAACATGGCTGCCAGACGCGCATTGCTCACCTCCCGACCTAGTCGGCCACTTACGCTCACTTGCTCTTATGAATGCAGTGTATTTCAACTCTATTTTACATGCAAAAAGCGCACAGAACGCCGGCTTGTCGCATAGTCGACGCCTGTCCATAGCGTCGTGCCGGCCACTACGTATTCAAGTACACTCACAGTTCGCGTGGTGTGGGGATGTGTTTGTACAGACTCGGGCAAGAGCGGGAACAGCGTCAGGACGCCCACAAGCACGAGCTGCAGAAATGTGTTGAACTTGCTCAGTTGCGTCGGTGTCACATGAGCACTAGGGAGGCGAGGATTAAAATACCGCGCGAGCGTACGAGGAGGCGATAGAGAGCGGTACCGCATAATGAAGGCCAGTGCCACCAAAAATACGTCGCGGCCCAAGATGATCGCTGCGAGTGACCAATGCATCCCACCACCGATCGCTAGGGAAATCACCATGGTTGCCATTAGCATCTTGTCGGCGGCTGGATCTGCAATGCTCCCAAACACTGTCTGGCTTTGGTACCGTCTAGCGATCCATCCGTCGAGCAGATCCGTGCATCCTGCCACACCAAGTAGTGCAAGCGTCAATGGAGCTTGATGCGTCGCTACAGCCCATCCAAGAATGGGGCAGAGCGACATGCGTGTGAGCGTCAGAATATTGGGGATTGTCAAAATATCTTCGGATAAGGTGACATGTGGTGGTCCTGCTGCTGGTGGCGACCGCGGCGAAGTGGACGATGTCAACGGGGATCCAGGTGGCGGTGATGGCATCGAAGAAGTTGCGGATTTCTCCACGGTTTGTACCGGTAACTTCGGCATCGCCGATCGCGACGTCTCTGTGCGCGTCTGGACACGGGTCGGACACGACGTCGCTAGTGTGCGCGCGCCAAAGCGAATGCCATTTCGAAACGCGGGCCAAAGTGGTCGTTCCATGTACTTGTGCATATGTGTGCGGTGGAATGCGACAGGCATACACCTCGTAAAGCGCTGCAAACCCTGGAGCCCAAGTCTGCTCATGCTAGAAAGACTCAGGAAACAATGCCGCAGTGAGTCAAGCTAGATCGAAAGTTCGTGTCTCGCGCGTTCGAATCAAGTGGAATCCTGTGTCTCTTTGCCAGCTTGTGTTGGTCGACTCGGCTCAGTTTTCTTGCGTCCCTATCCTCGCGTCTGCGCCAGCCCAGTCTAATATGATTTTTTATTTCTTTGGGCGCACAACGAGAGGATGGGCGACGTCTTAGTCTGCAAGCACAAATGAGCCTGGTAAGGCCTGTTGGTCGGACGCTTACCTAAGACAGGGCGCTGGGATCCAAACGGCTCTCTCCCTCCCTCACAACTTCTCTGAGACGGCACCGACGAACCAAACGATGGTGCTGATGCCATCGCTGCATGCGCAGCGATTCCAGCCGGTGATCTTCAGTGATACTGGGTCGAACTTGTACCCGCTATGTGACTTTCCTAATGACACGCTGCCCAAAGCGCTAGTGCCTGTGTTGAATCGCCCTATGATCGCGTTTCCCTTGCAATGGCTTGTATCGGCGGGCTTCCGCTCCTGCCTGCTTGTCGCACCTATTGCTGAGCATGCAGCCTTGTCCGATGCACTGCGATCCCTTTACCTGATACCCTCCGGCATGGGCCGCGAGGCTGAGCAGGGCCTATCTAATGCTGCTCAAGTGGCTGCGAGCGCGTCGTCAGCCAGCAATGTTTCTGTCTCCTTCGGAAGTTCGACATCTAGCATCATTTCAGGTTCTGGCACAGGCTCGCTTGTGGATCCCCAGCCCTCTTCGCCTATCATGCACGTGGAACTCGTGCCTTACGGCCCAAAAATGGGCGAGTCGGTTCGCAGCCTGCGCGAGCCATCAAAGACTGTCTCACGCACACGCTGGGGCACCGCACAACTTCTGTACTGGCTCGCGGCGACTCGGAAGCTTACACAGGATCCTTTGGTTGTGCCTGTCGATCTCATCGCCCCGCATATGCCGTTGGCAAACTTCCTGCTTGCCCATCTAGGTGCCGTGCCGAATGAGCCTACCGTGTCATGCTTGTTCTACGAGCGTGGCGCTGGTGAAGGCACCGGCAAGGAGCGTGAACGCGATGGTCCAGCAAACCTATTCGTTGCATACGATCGCTCGCCCGTGCGTGTGCACGAAGGCATTCGGTCCTTGCCGAATGGCGCTAGGGACTCGCTCCCGGTGCATGAACCGTTGCTTCTCATGGATTCCGACGACGTATTTGACAAAAACTCATCTGATCTCGAGCTTCGCATGAGCATGCTATGGACACATCCGTATGTGCGTGTGTCCACTTCACTGCTCGACTCACATGTGTACGTGTTGCATCTTGCGCCACTACTCCCGCTCTTGGAACTGCACCCCGAGCTGAACAATATTACAGAGCAGCTTGTGCCGTTCGTGATCAAGTGCCAATGGCAAAAGCGACTCGGTGCGAAGGCTGGCTGGTCAACTGTTCCCGACTCGTTGACTGAACATGCCATCTCATCCAGCTCTACGCCTTGGGGCAGCATGACCGACGCCGATGCGCACAGTCTTCCTTTCCATCCACACTGCGAAATGCTTGTAGCTCGCATGCAGCCTGACATGCGTCGTCCGCTTCCTCCGTCGCAATTGCTTGAGGCCGAGAAGCCCCGCACCAATCCCGACGACGCCTTCATGGCGCGTGCAAATACAGTGCCGACATACCTAGATTGCAGTCGCTACTTGCTGCGTCTTACAGGCGCCTCCATCGCACTACCAGCACCGTTCCCCTTACCCGTTACGACAGGCTGCGGTACGGTTCCGTTTGAGCCGCCCAAAGACGAGAATGGCCCCATTCACCCTCGTGCACAACTGTCCAACGATTGCTTAATCGGCTCGAACACCTACATCGAAGAGCGCGCTACGCTGAAGCATTCCATTCTCGGAAGGAACTGCATCATCGGAAAAGGTGCACGGATTCTACGGTGTGTCATAATGGATGGCGTGCGCATTGGCGACAATGCAAAACTCGAGAATTGCATCGTCGGCATGCATGCCGATATTGGCGAGCGCTCTCAACTTCGTGAGACGGACGTCGGTCCTAGATACGTCATGGCGCCCAGCACCGAGTCCAAGAACGAGAAGCTGGTGGCTTATGACGACGATGACGACGGCGATGACGATGGCGATGATGAAGAAGTTGATGGGGGGTGACCATGTCAATCATCATGGTAGTGCTAACGTGCACACATAGCAAACTACTGTTTGTAACATTTTTTGGCAGCATCATAGCAGAACCCGCTGAGCGAGTCCTGGTGTTCCAATGTGCAGCCAATTCCTGTCGGTCAGGCCGCATGTGGAATGATCCCATTCAATATGGCGGTGGTGGTATTCCATATATGTGATGACGGAAATACATCAGTTAGCCGATAACACGGTAAGTGCTCACAGGGTGCCCTACATGGACCGCATGCCAGTCAGCCCCCTTATGTTGGCTCGGGTTTTCTCTCTCTCTCTCTCTCTCTCTCTCTCTTCCCTTTCTTCTTGCGTAGGAGAGAAACTGTTACGAACGCCATGCAGAACCATTGGCTCCATTAGTATGAAGTATTGAGTCTTTCATACAAACTCAAGCGCTTGCGTCCAAGCGCCCAAAGTCATCGGATCAGGTGTACCGTGCTCTCGTAGACACGTGGTTGTCATTCTTTTATATGGAGCGTCATTGCAAAACACGTCAAGCCTGTTCTTCTCGCTCCCGATACGCTAACACGTACGCTTTAAGCTGCTTCCTTTCCGCTTCAGCCTGCGCTTGTTGCTGACGCGCATGTACAGAAATGGATGCTTCCGACGGTACCTGGATGTCCTGTGTGTGCTTGCGTGATAGAAGGGAGAACACCATATGCTGATCACTAGCTGGCTCAGCTGCTCGGCGTCGAGGCACCTGTGTATCAGATAATTTCAGGCGCGTTTGCTCTAGAGCTGCGCCCGATGGAGCACCACTCACATTGCCGCCTGAGTCTGCCATCAGCATAGCTAGTTCTTGCTCCAGCTCTGCGTCGGCTTTTTCATCCAATGCCTCTTGTCTTAATTGCTCCTTAACTTCCTCATCATCAAGCAGCTCATCTTCCTCATGGTCATCGTCAAGATCCACCGACATTTCATCATCCTTTTCGCTCTCACACTCTCTATCTTCGCCTTCATCTTCATCCTCATCCTCACCCTCCTTGACATCGAAATCGACCTGTTCATCTGAAACTTCTGCATCCATGTCCTTCTCATCCTCCAGCTTGACGTCGATTTCACTTTCGAAAGCATTCTCGGTAGCCAATTCGTCTTTGGCGTCGGTTCCACGTCGTTGTCTCGACAAGACCATTTCATCATCGAGACGAGTCTGGTTGTCGTACAAATCAGGCTCAACGTCCATTATACTATTCACGCGTGCGGACCCGCGTGGTTGATTCTTGGCCGAATCTCCCGTCTCGGGTATTGCTTGCGTCATTGCATCTCTTTCAGTCTCAACTTTTGTCTTTGTTTCGGCTCCTTCAAGCACATTATCGATTACACTCGCTTTAATGTTCACATGCATTTGGGACCTTTGGGCTTGCATGTATGCTTTTCGCTTCTTCCACATGACATATGAAGACAAATCTTGTTGTGAAAAATAGCCTACTGCATCCTCCACCACCTTTTGTAAGTGCTCTCGGTGTGTGTACATATACTTGAACAAGCCACAGCGTTGGACCGTATCCTGGAGCAAGTAAGCAACTTCCACGGGCGGCTCCACTTTCGTTTGCACATAGTACTGAAAAATAGCTGTGATCAACCGCAAGCGTTTGTCATAGGGGCGGTCAAAAATGAGGGAGTGACAGTATGGAAGCAGCGTACACACGAGTCGAACACGCGTAAAGTCATCTCTTGGATCCCTCCGACGGTATCGACGCGAACAAAAGCGCCAGACCTGATTCAGCAGCTCGTTAACACTGACGATGCCAACCCGATGAAGCTCGCCCAGGTAACGAACACGCGAAATACGCCGCTGGTGCCAAGTGAAATGCAGATGCAGTAGGTCCGCTTCAATACCTTCGCTCAAACTATCCAAAACCTGGGTCGTGAATGCATACCGCATTGGCCGCAACGCATTCAACAGTTCTGCCAAGTTTCGGACATTGTTGTGTTGCACAAGCCATGGTGATGTGAAATGCATAAACAGGTGTGCTCGAATCGACTCATCATGCCAATCCAGCTTCAGGAGCAAGTCTCGTATGTGGGGAGTCTTGTTCGGTGAAGGTAGATTTGTAAAGAGGTACGTAATGAACTGCTCCATAACAGTTGGCTCCCGATGCACAATCACCGGACGCTCTGGTGGAACACACTTGTAGTAGGCATTGTCAAGGAGCAATGAATGTTGCTCAGACAGGTTGTGTGCCATACGCTTTCGGCGCATCAGGTCCAGCATGCTCTGCATGCGCGTCATCGTCAGCGGCATACGATACAGGTATCGTCCGCACGTCTCGATTAGGAGCGCCAGCATTTCAATCGCAACTGGGGAGAAGTCGTCCAGCAGGACCTTCATCGTGTGAAACACAATGTGATCTGGTACCAGACCAAACTTTGTCAATTCACCCATGCAAATCACGACGTTACTTTGCATCTGGCGATCCGGCTTCCGATAAGAGTATTGCTGCCGGAATTTCTGGTTCACTTGCTCAACAACCATGTCTGCAAGTCCAGCACGATACGGGTGCAGTATAGCAATCATTCTTGCATAGTATGGCAACAAATCCCATCGGTGTTTAGGCGCACTCATGAAATGGCTCACAAGCCGCTTGTTCGTCACACTTTTGAGGTGGAAGCCAAGTTCGACTGCCATATCATCTACCATCGTTCTGTTTGCCAGTGTTGGCAGACGCTCCAGAATATTTTGAAGCGACTGTGACCGATTGTCCATGGTCGTTTGCATCTCAGCCTCTTCGTTCAACGCTTCTTTCTCCTTCTCCTTTTCATCCGCCTGAGGCGCCTGATCCAGCAAAGCCGTCGGTATGCGCTCACGGAGATCGAATATGTCCTTATAGAACTTCCGCGTTTCTTCATCTTCCCAAGGACTTTTTCCAGATGCATACTCTTGCTCGATCTTGGCCGTCATCTCCGCCAGCGCTGATGTCGCCTCCAAGTTAATGCCCAAGCGCTGTGACACGGTCCCTTTGTCAGATGCAGGGAGGTCCGGAACAAACACATTCAAGGACGAAGCCATCACTTGCATCGCATCAATCATCGTCTGTAGTTCTTTCGATCGGCGTTCGAAGGCTGCCTGTCGATCCTCAAAGATCATGCCCGACCGAATATATGCATCATTGTTTCTTCGCTCTTGTTCATTCAAACGCTCATATTCGCGCTTTACTCGTTTCACAAGTGCAATGTAATACATTTCGAAGAGCTTACGGAACTTCTGGCTTTGAGTTTCAGGTACGACCGGGTCGAATGAAACCGCTGCCGCTGTACCACCAAGATGCGCCTCTGACTGTCCAGCTTCATGTTCTTCCATCGGGATCAGCAGCAAGCTTCCAAATGTGCGCATCATACCTTGGACTAGAGGCAGATAGGCGAGATCGCGATCTTGCCCAAGTAAAGTTCGAAGCTGTTCGTACAACCAGTCCCAGCCGGCTGCACACACACATCCATTCCCTGTTACGGGACCTCCCAGTCCAACGAGCACCAGCTCGGTGGCACCACGCAAAAGATTCCGCTGGCGCGTCACCTTCAGGGCTTCTTCCTTTTGCGCCTGTTCATTGGGAGGTTCGGCATTATTTCTTGGCGGCAGGGGCACAAGCTCCTGCGATATCGCTTTTAGCATGGCGCAGCTGAACTCTGCCCCGCCAAATCGAGCATGAAGAGCGGATAGGATTTCTACTACTGCGTAGCGATCTTTAGGCTGACTGTTTTTCCATAGAACTTCTGGCACACTTGGCACAAGCTCGTCCAAGTACTTTGCGAGGCTTAACGTGTATACCTCTCGCAACAGTGCATCTTTTGCATCGCCCAGATTTGGCTGCTTCAGTCGTTTGATAAATGCTGAATTTCGCTTAAGGGACGTGTCCAAGTTTGCGTCAGAGGAACTGGGCCCTTCAACCCAGACCTTGCAGTTTGCGTCACGCAAAGCAGCGCGCCACTGCTCACGCTCCGCTATCTTCGCTGTCTCTGACACTTCTCTTGCAGGCACATGGGCTACTTCGTTCTCAGCCTGTGAATCAGACTTTTGGGGATCATCGTTCATGGCCGCATGTACGAAGACGAACTCGCACAGAGAAACAATCGTCTACGTTTAGTCATATGACGTGGTTGAGCGTCTCTTCGCTCAAGTTTCACTCTTAGCCTTCCTCTCCACAATCTTTGTCTATGGTGCTACTAGTCCTTCGTGTAGTATTGCCGGCCGCTAGCGATAACACCACTCGATTAATTCCACAACGACGGAACAAATCATGTGTTCGCATGTGCTAAAACGATTGTCTCCATACGTTGGGGCGAGGGAGATCTGGTTTGGAGTGACTGCCCCCTCGTAGGTACACTCAGATGAGCTCTCCGCAATGAAGCATCCATGGTCAGCCATGTTCACCGCGTCACATCTATAATTTTTCCTACTTATGCACGGGTTCTGCATATACGTGCACGAGACAATTATATTCCGAGCAAAGAGTAGTTGATGACGAATCGTTTGGGAACGCTTGGGCTATGTAGCTGCTGATTGTGCATTGGCGCTTATTCAATCATTACCCGGAATTCTTCAGCACGTGCCTTAAACGCACGTCTTGGTCTTTTCCTGCATCTCCACGCGCGACTTGCACAGCTATGGCTATTCCTGCCTGCACTGCTTTCGGAGATGAATTCTTCGTCCTTTCATACACTTCATCGATCAAGGCTTTTGGCGCTGAAACCTCTCTTATTTTACTCTAAACCAATCCCCTCTTGAGGCTTGTTGCTTTCGTTAACAGCTGCTGTGTTAAGTTCTCAGTCTCCATTTCTGTGCTACTCCTTCAACCTCGTTGTCGTGGTCTCTTCACTCCCCTGACCCGTTTTCTTATTTTTGTCTATTCTAACCAACTCAACCGCGTTCAAACAAGCATCAAAATCTTGATCAATCCCTAATTAGCACCTCGTTTGCACGTATTGTCTTCATGAGCGAATCTAATCCAACAATCGACCCCATCAAGCAACACAGCGCCGACCTCTCAAAAAACTCCAATGACTCACCTTTCAACGTGTCAGTCCCTCTTTCACAGACGCCAGTCTTGTTGGACTCTTCTAACACCAGTATTATGGTTGAACAAAGTCCCTCTTTGTATGCATCTGCTCCTGCTCTTTCTGGGGTGACCAATACGTCTACCACCCAGTCTCCCTCTTCGTATACCCCATCTACGCCTGGGCCTATTGTGATGCGTGCGCTCATTATAACCAGCGATGCTAGTGTTATAATCGGAAAGCAAGGTCGCCACATCAATGAGATTCGTGAACTTAGCAATGCTCGATTGAATATAAGCGAGAGTATCCCGTCTAACCCTGAACGTATTCTCACGGTTTCTGGTGCACTGGATGCTGTGAGCAAAGCGTTTGGTCTCCTGGTTCGTCGGATCAATGACGAACCATTCGATCAGCCATCGCTTCCAGGTTCCCGAGCTGCGTCCATCCGGTTCATTATCCCTAACTCTCGTATGGGCGCAATTATTGGTCGTCAGGGCAGTAAAATCAAAGAGATTCAAGAAGCCAGCGGTGCTCGACTACATGCAGGTGAAACTATGCTACCTGGTTCGACTGAACGCATCTTGAGCATTACAGGCGTAGCAGATGCTCTTCATATTGCGGTATACTATGTGGGTGCCACTTTGCTTGAACATCCAGACCGTGGTTCGAATAACCTCCCGTATCGGCCAGCTGCTGTAAACCGCGCCTTGACTCCCTCACTCGTTGGCTCGCCCCTGAATTCCCCTAGTGCGAGTATGCTCGCTTTAAGTGCAACGAACAGCCCCAAAGCTTTGGCGTCAGTTCTGACGCCGGGCTTGCAGACTCAACAAATATTTATCCCAAACGACCTTGTTGGCTGCATTATTGGCAAAGGTGGTCAGAAGATCAACGAAATTCGTCAATTGAGTGCCAGTCATATCAAAATTATGGAGCGTAACGCTGGCATTGCAGCAGGTGGGAGCGGTTCAGAACGGTTAGTGACAATCACAGGTCCACCACCCAATATTCAAATGGCTGTCACACTTTTGTACCAACGTCTTGAGCAAGAGAAAATGCGCCTGGCGCATAGTTCTCCTGCCATCTAGGTTTCATTCCAATAAGAATGCTTTGCTTTGAAGACTAGGCTTGCGGTAGACCGACGCCAATACAATTAGATCAATATGTCCGCCAGACGGAAGTAGCCGTGCCCATGCATTTATTATATAAGCAATTCTCCTGATAACGTAATATTGACCCGACTAATCTCGGGAGCGATGCTCTACGAATTCAGACCTCTTTCCATCATATTAGCACCATGCCTCTGACGTGCGTGATGAAATCACAACTTACATGGCTCCAGTGGCTCCGACGCAATCAAAATCATTCTAGCCATCATTTTGCCGCCTCTCGGTGTGTTCATGGAGCGCGGCTGCCATTCGGACTTTTGGAGTATGTCGCTCTACATTGCATGTGTACTGACAAAATAAGTTAACATTCTATTGACCTGCCTGGGTTACATTCCCGTATGTTGTGTATTCCAATTCATTCACTAACACGTCCTTTTTCTCAAACTCAGGGTATTATTCATGCTGTACGTATAATTAAGTCTGGACTATAATCTGACGTCACTAGCTGTACGCATTTTTAACTGTCATTGCGGTTTTTGAGCTGCCTTGGCACTTACTTCATTGGTTTACGACTGCTAACAAGTACCACTCGTTCCGACTCTCTTACTTTTTTTCGCTAACCCAGATTTGTCATGTAAGTATTCGCTTTTTAGTCGCATTCTAACGTCTCAGCGTGAAATATTAAGAGAAGGGCCATTCAATCTAGGGCCGGGTTTTCTCGCCTGCTACTCTTTGATAAGCTGTAGTTTTCAACTTTTCTTGATCCAATTAGAAGCTTTTATTGTCGTTAATCCCATGACCCGACGCTTTCATCGGGATTTTTGGGAGTCAAACACCTATCCCCATGTCTTGGCGTGATAGGCTTCACGTGCCAATTATGCGCATTTTTGCTTAACCTATGCTTGTCAGTTTTGCCCAGGCCTTCGCAACATGACAACAGCGTAATTCCTCTCTACCTGTCGCATCCGCTAACTCAAGTCCCAGTCTATTAGGCATGAGACATTAACAAGAAAAACGCAAATTAGAGACTACATCGGGCGAATTTATCAATAAAAACTTAAATAGCATCAGGGAAAGGCGCCTTACTATCATTATTCACAAAGTCGTATGACCTGAGCAAATTCTCAATGATTTCAACAGCACCAGCAGTGCCACCTGCTTGAATACACTTCAGCTTCCATGAGAGCGCTGCATGTCTGAATGTTTTGTAGTCAGTCTGCAGCAAACGAACAAGCTTTGTGCTAATATCTGTTGGATCGAACTTGGGCGACTGATCAGCCCATAATCCAATGCCAGAGTGTGTGATGTAAAGACCAATGTCATGTGTATCAACCCATTGTGAAACACAAAATTGCGGTACACCATGGGCGAGAGCTTCATTGTAGGAATTACCACCGCCATGGTGCATTGAGGCTGCGAGAGATGGGTGTGATAGAACAACCTCAACGTCAGGGATCCAATGTTCCCGACGAATATAGGATGGCAAGTTAGCTTCTTCAACAGTCGGTATTGGTTGAACATTCTTTGGATGGTTCGACACCTTCCAAAGAACAAGGACATCAGGAACTTCTCTGTGAAGTATTTCCAAGGCATGGAGAATGTTGTTGTAATCTTCCAAACTGTAGAAGAAAATGCTTCCCATGTTAATGTATAAAATGCGCTTGTTTTCAGTCATCGCTCGATCCATCCAAATTTTCACGGGATCTTGCATCTGCGCAACTGCGTGGGCTGATAGCATCTGTTTTTCTAGAAATCCATCAGCTACGACAGGCGTAGTAGCAGTCGAGACGCTAGGGGACAAATCCATCGATCTGAACGAAAGCGACACTGGACTCGATGGGATCGACCTTGCACTGGGCATTAACAATTGTTTTGGTGCAAAGCATGGTCCGACAAAATATACAGAGTTGTGATAAGCTTCCGGAGGATAAACGTCCATATTGGCAACGTTAAACGAAATGGTAGCAATTTGCTGAGGGAGCATGCCAGGTGTTGGCGTCATGACGGAGTCGCAAATGGTATCTGTTGGCTTCAAGCCCAGAACATTCCTGCGGAAACGGCGACGTTGAATAGGCCATTGGTTAAAGTAGATAAAATGAAGCCAAATGACAATGAATACGAGATTATGGATAAGCATTAAAATGCCACCATGCGCGGATCTTCCGCCACTCATAGGCATCGGGCTGCGAAGAATATCAACATTACTGGCGACAGCAGAGGCAGCTGCAGGCGAAGTTGCAACAAAAGGGCGCTTCGTCAGGCGAACTCCGTCCACAGCAAATGGACTAAAATTGTCGACAATAATCAAGTCTGGATTCAAAGATTCGATCAAGTCGCGAATCATAACCACCACATCGCGATAAGTATCAGAAGCACCAGGAACATTTTCGATGAAGGTGCTAAGCCAGCCCCATATTTGCCCAGGTTTGGAGCGGCATAAATCATGGAAGCGATCAGTCATTTCGAATGCCTTGTTCGTATAATCAGACACCACATCGCTTTCTCCGAGAGAATAAAATGTCAACGGGACACGCATGAGAAACTCCGGACTTGGGATACTTTCAGGCTGAACGAGGAGTCCCATGCGAGACTGCATTTTTTGAATCTTTTTCAAGATAGGTGCCGAGGACGAGAAAACAACCTGGTTCCCTCGGTTCACAAGCTCTTCAGCCAGCGACAGGAGGGGGTTTACTTGTCCAGTCGCAGGGTTGGTTAAAATCAAATAGCGCTTCGGCGAAAGCACGAAAGACATTCGGACAGCTGGAGTAGTGGAAGGATGAAGATAGTGCGCGAGATGACGGGACGAAAAAGGACTCAGCGTGTGAATCCCAAATTTTGCATTGCATCTCAAATTTCCGAATCTGACGCATTTTATTGCACGCAGAAATTGAAGACCAGCCAGGTGCGCACGGAATTAATATTGTCTTTCAAGATGCCACAGAAATGGGTCATGTGGGCGATCTAGCGAATAAAGAATAGGACTGGAGCCTACACATGCAGACCAAACTCCCTGCGCTGGTCAAGCAAATTATTTTATCTCGCTTCCAGGTTGCACTAATTCACGTCTTTAATAAAAGGGCCAGGGCGAAGGGGGGCTGCAATTAGATAGTTGACTTTGGTCCTGGCGCAAAGTTTTTCCCGACCAGTGTCTGGCCCAAGCATCGAGAATAGAGGTACCAACATCTATGTTCAAGTGCTTCATGTGTCTACTCACTGTGATTTGGCCGGGATGTCATAGGAGATCCGTTGTGTATTAATCAGCATCGTTAGAAAGAATGAAAATCCACCAATTACAAGATTCCAAGCAGGGTTTTGTAAAACAATACAAGAAATTTGTAAGCGCACGCTGAAGTATCTTGCATGACCAACGACATATTCCTGTCAGGGCAATTCGAACAGACCAGTAAAACAGCGCCGATTCTAATGTCCATGAGTTCGGGCACGCGTGTGAATTTAAGACAGAATCCCGACCAGGGTAGCGTCACTATTGCACCTCCGACTCTCTCGACAGATTACCTTCCACAGTCGATATGGCAGCATCCGCGTTCATCTCGGGTGCAGATGTGCTCTACCTCGCTGCGGGTCTGGCGGGTCTCCTAGTTGCTGTACCGCTGTTGTTCATCTTGAACCAGCTTGTGCAAGCGCTCTACCGCATGACCATTGGTGAGCTGATCAACCCTTGGAAGCACATACCTAAGGTGAAGACCACTGATCCTCTGTCCCTCATCTTCGGTGATTTTCGTGCTATCAAAGCTGCAGACCCTGCTCAACAGCATGTCATCTGGATGAACAAGCTTGGCCAAGTGTACCGCTACCGCCATATGTTTTACGTGCAGCGTGTTCTTCTTGCTGATCCCAAGGCGCTAATTCACGTGTTGAGCCCTGCGAAAGCGTACCAGTATCCCAAGCCCGAATACACGAGCAGTTTCTTGGCAGCTGTACTTGGAGATGGTCTCGTATCAATCGAGGGTGAAAAGCACGCACGCCAGCGCAAAATCATTGCGCCTGCATTTGCGCCAAGTGTTGTAAAAGACTACCAGCCAACAATTCACCGTCATGCTAAGCTGCTTGTCGAGAAGCTTCGCCTGATTGTGCAACAGGAAATTGATCGCCACAGTGGCAAGATCCCGGCTGACACTCACATTACTGGCCAGTCAGAATCTGACCGCAGCGTCGTATTGAAGAACCCTGGAAGCGAAGCTGTGATTGATGTACTATTCTGGCTCTCTCGTACTACGCTCGACATCATTGGTGAAATTGGGTTTGATGCCGACTTCCGGTCGCTTGAGCGTGGAAACCGTGACCCGCTTGCGAATTCAATGGCGACGCTAATGGAGGCAGTCCTTAACATTGACCTTGGCTTGGCTATTTTCCTTATTCTTTCTGAAAAGCCCGGTCTTCAGTGGCTCCGTAAGATTCCGACGAAGCGTACTACGACAATCCGTGATGCTAAGAAGACGGTTGAGAAGCATGCAGAAGAAATTGTCGAGCGCATGCGCAATGAGATTCTTTCTGAAAGTCAAGGCTTGTCAAAGGAAAACTTTGACGATGGCTCCGCTACGAGGTCGAAGTCACTAATTTCGCGTATGATCCGTGCCAACATGGCTTCGGACCTGAAACCATCAGAGCGCATGTCGAATGCTGAATTAATGGGTCAGATGACGACTTTGATCATAGCTGGCCACGAGACAACTGCCACTCAGAACAGCTGGGCCCTTTGGCTTTTGGCCATGCACCCTGAGGCGCAAGACCGTCTTCGTAAGGAGCTCCAGGAAGCTGTGGCGAAGGAACGCGCCGAAATGGACAATCTGTCGGAGGAGGAACGTGCCATCTATGACACCCAGCCCGTTCGGGATATCAACTCGTTACCATATCTCGACAACGTTGTGAAGGAGAGTGTGCGTATGCTTCCCTCGATTCCTAGCACTGTGCGTGTCGCTCTCAAGGATGATGTAGTCCCTCTGTCTCGTGGTTACAAGCGCGCTGATGGTAAGGGTACGTACAACTCGATCATGATTCCAAAGGGTCACGAGCTCTTTATCCCCCTGAATGTGATTCAACTGTCGAAGGAACTATGGGGTGAAGATGCTCAAGATTTCAACCCCAGCCGTTGGGACAATTTGCCCTCTTCCGTGATCAATGCAAAGATGCCACCGGGTCACCTGTTCGCTTTTCTCTCAGGACCTCGCTCTTGCGTTGGCAAGCAGACAGCTATTCTCGAAACACAGGTCATTCTGGCGCATATGATTCTCAACTTCCGCTTTGACGTTGTGCCAGGCTGGGATCTCGTTCAACGCCAGCAGATTGTTCGTCGTGCCTTCGTCGAAGGCCAATGGAAGGAAGGCATCCGTATGCCACTCATTATGACGCCATTGAACTAAGGCCTGAATGGTCAATTCTAAGATGTTGCACTTGACATCATGCCCCTATTGACACAATATCTCCGGTGAGAAGATTTGGTAGGCAAGAATGAAAAAAAAAAGTAAAAAAAAATGAGCAAAAGCACAGTATCGGTCGAGTTTCAAGACCGTGTATGTAAGAATTCAAGCAATGGCACTAAAGACACACGCGCGTAAATGCATGTGTTCGTTAATCCTACCCAAGGTTTTCTATGTCGGGCGCGTAGAACTGGAAAATCCACCTGTAGATCCAAATCCACCGCTTCCACGCTCCGTTGCCTCTAGAGACTAGTCGTGAGATCAACCATAGTGTTTAGCATACCTCAACCTCCTCGACTTCAGGATTAGATATCTTTTCAATCACCAACTGCGCGATGCGGTCACCTGCGTGGACTATCGATGTGAAAGAAGCATTAACACGTTCATCTGTACATACACTGGAAATCTTCCGTCCCAAAGTTAAACAAGACGATGCCTAACAATCCTCGGTAGTCTGAGTCGACAACACCTGCCCCAACGTCGATCCCATGTTTCACAGCGAGGCCGCTACGCGGAGCCACTCGCCCATAGTGGCCTTCGGGCAACGCGATGTGAATGCCTGTCTGCACTACGGTGCGTCCTCCTCGTGGAATTGTAGCGTCTTCACACGCATAAAGATCGTAACCAGCAGCCTGCGCACTTCCACGCGTAGGCAGCTTCGCGAGCGGGTAAGCTGGATTTCGTTTCACAAGAAGCCGCATTGCCATCGTGTGTGTTAAGTAACCAGCTGATATAGCCACTGTGGTGAAATCTTTCCAATGTCTCCCACCCCACTTGACGCGACGCATCAGTTACGTAACTACATAATGGTCGCGCGACGATCATCCAGGAATGAACTGCGTTTCGGCCGAAAAAGGTTTGGACGAACGGAGCCTTTGCTACTACGTCAAGTACTAAGATGGGCGGTGAGTCCAAAAAATATCATGATGCTAAGTAACTCGTATTGCTACAAACGCCGTAAACCCTGAACGCATAGCAGGCGGTAGCATGTATTCTTCCAAATGGTAAAGCTTAAAAGATGGAAAGCTATTCCAAGTTTCCAGGAAATTCCTTGTATTATCAACATCCCTTAGCTGGATCATCAGAAACGCTTTGGTGTAATTAGGTTTGCAGAAGGTGTGAATTGTTTTGACGAGCGGTCGATGAAGCGCAGGATTATAGACGCAGTCCATGGAGACAATAAGTTCTGGATAGGCTAAATCTTCTTGACTAGCTCCGTAAAAAGACAACACGTGTTTGCGTATTAGATCGAGTGATCTGCCCTGTGCTGCGTCTAAATTAAGCCAGTCTAACTCGCATACCGTCACTCTTACTCTGTCATTGCTCAAACGACAGCGCCCCACATTTTTTTCTAGTAATTGCATGTTTTCTGAGCGATCTGTTGATATCCACTCCAGAGGTTGGACCCCTGGTTGGACCCAGTCAGGGTTGGCAAATAGGCAAGCTGGTAGTATTCCTGTCCCCGCGCCCAGCTCAAGCACGCGCCTAGCGGGCAAATGATGCGCATTGACCAACCTTGGGATTGATAAATCGAGCGTTTCCCAAAGCTGCTGTAGCAGAAACTCAGCAAATAATGAGCTACAGCGCCATACCACACTACCTGTGTCGCCTGATTTTGATCGTAACGCCGTGCACTGATGTCAGTAAGGCATAAACACCTACATTCTGCAATACATTCACACGAATCTCATTAGGACACTGAGATATTTTAGTTTCCTTGTAGGAGCTTTTTTTATTGGAAATGCACAAAACAATTTCCAGGTTGTCACGCTTGCTGTCTATCAAGCCTAGACCTTTTGAACTTTCTGCACTCTGACGAATCTGAAGAAGATATACCTAAACAGTGAGCACGTGAAGCAAGCTCACCTCCTCTTCCACATCCTCCAACAAATGGGCTACTTCACTAAAATCTCTGCACAATGCAAACGAAGGGAGCGACGCATCACCAACTTTCATAGCGCTAAGGATATTGAATGTGTCCTATGAGAGAACAATATATATATATATATATATATATAAATATTTGGAATCTCGCACGGATCATTGTTAAAAATTTCGTCCACTTACACGACCATATATCTTTTGCAAATTCTGCTCGTGGGCGTTTATTTTGGTATTTTTGAAAGGTGCAACTCTCGTTGAGTCTATGTTCAGTTTCCACCACGACGACCTTCTGCCATGATCTTGTCTTTTCGAAACTGTGATTCTTGGTGCTGAACAGAGTCACTTCCTCCGAAGCCAAGAGACTTGGCTACTGGGTTTCTCGTGTCACGAGAATCCAAGACCTGGTAATCTTGCACAGAAAACTGATCATTTGAATTATGTAAGGGTATACCGCCAGAATTGAACTTGTGCGAGCGCCAGTCCGAATCGTCATCATCGCTATCGCCATATTCGCGCATGTGTGCCTCGTCTCCCCAAACTTCAGTTGAAGCGGGTATTGCATATGCATCTGAATTGGAATGTTTTAGCACTTTCACCTCGGGCGCTCGCATCTTCCTTCGGAATACTTCAAGTCGGTGCGCGATGTCATGTTCATCTTTGTGTTTCTCCTTTTTGTACTCTTGAACAAAAGAAGCCAACATACTTTTCCCAACACTATTGGTCTCGACTTTGGACCGAGAATTTTCTGAGAGTGTACTTTGCCAGGGGTCCTTTTCGCGCGCTGTAATCTTGTTCAAACTAGACTCTTCCATATGACTTTTTCTGTGTTCATCATGGATTTGTGACGATGAATTTGCCACTGAGACCTGGAGTTCCAATGGATTCTGCTTGTTCTCATCTTTCTTCTTAAAATCATATGTTTGCTTACTTAGTCTCTTGTCATTCAGCAAATCGTGACTACTCATCGGCTTTTTTGCCTCGGGTTCAGGTGGTACGTCTTCCTCTTCTCCAAAGCTTAACAAAGTAGTATTCTTCTTCTGTTTTTTCCGCTGGCGCTCCATTGACGCCAGACGCTCAGCTGCCAAAGAGCGCGCAGAGTTCTGAGCTGCACGTTCAGCAGATGTAATACGAGGTACTAAATCCCTGAATGGGTTGTGCACAACCTCTGCTTGAAGTAATTTCGGTGGGAATACTGGTCTATCAGGCACAGAAGTCGAGAGTTCAATGTTAGCCAACGACAGGACATTGTATATTGTTGATCCAACAACGCGACCAAATATTGTGTACTTGTTTTGGAGCTCTGGTGTAGCGTCGAGCGTAATCTAAGTGTTGTGTTAGATCCTAAGTCCTAGAACTTACAAAAAACTGGCTCTCATTTGTACATTTTTCACCTGCATTGGCCATAGCGACAAGGCCCCTGCGATTAAATCTTAACCGTTGATGAATTTCATTTTCGAATGGAGCACCAAAAAATGACTCTCCTCCGTGTCCTGTAGAGGATGGATCCCCAGTTTGAATGATAAAGTTCGGCACGATTCTATGCCAAACACAAGAATCGTAATATCCCTCCAATGCAAGAGCGACAAAATTACGACAGGCTTTCGGTGCCTCTTTTGACCAGAGTTCAATTTCTATCTCTCCTTTTGCCGTATGTAATATGACCTTGCCATCAGTTGGCGGTTCTGTTACATATAGACTCGACATTCGTGACAAACGAGGATAGCGAAATTTTAGAGGTGCACCAAAGAAGAGATGCAGTCCGCCTATTATTATTAACACACTACCTCCACACTAACATAGTCTCAGAGAACAGACGAATTGATAGCGTCAAGACGAGTGATCCTTGCCCGCAAGGATCGAGGTCTCGGGTTCCTTAGGAACTGGAAATGCATCCGGATTAGTAAAAGAAGAAAGTTTCGAATCAAACAAAGGGGCGTCGGATGTGCGCTGGAAATGCCCGCTCTTACGATCATTCGGCGAGCGAAGTGACAAGGACTTCATACGTCCGTGAAGTGACGATACCTTTGCCGTTGTGTCATTCTTAGGCGATGCACTGAAATTCATTGTTGGCTCACGATGCTCTCCCAGAAAAAGTTTCTGCTGGTGAAATAGCAAATAGTAATCATGAAGGAGCGTCCACACAAGTTCAGTTGGCATGCGAAGCGTCGCACTAAACACGATGTTGAGGTTCTGTAACGACATTTTATTCATATGCGACATCGTAGCAACATGGTTCAAATGCAGGAAAAGCAAGGAAAGAACCGAATAGTTCTCTGCTGGAAGGTATGCCAGAAGGCGTCGAAACGTTTGTAATTTGTCTTCATGGTTCTCCTGCTCGATAGCAGCCACAAAATCGGGCATCAACACATCCGTACACAGAGGTTCAGGTAGATCGCGCAAAAACATTTTGACCAAACCTGTCACAGCATGGGAATCGAGCAGAGAGCCGTTTCCAGTTCGCTTGGCCTCTTGGTACTCAGCTACAAGATGGATATCGCCAAACGTGGAAAATCTTTCTTGCAAAACTTTGATGGTAGATAAGCTGCCATTCACTCGATAGAGTCCCTCATCTGATATAATGCTACTTTGCTCGAGAAAGTCAAAGCTGCGCTTTAGCAAAGCCGGGACCGGACCAGCTATACCATCCACAAACATGCCTGTGTCACGAACAACGTCACTGAGTGGTGCACCGAATACAGCTTTATGCGAGGTTGACGACGACGTTGACAGTTCGTCGGGGGTGTTGAGCGGAAGAATGCCAAAAAGGAATCTTCGCTTGTCGGTAGGAACGAATGTTGATGATTGATCATTACCATGCCACAAGCGATTCTTGATTGCTGATCCTTGTCTAGACAATTCTGTAACGGATGAAGATTCAGGCACAAGTACGGTACGATCCGTTCGGAGTGAGGAATTCAGATGTTGCATTTCATCGGACTCCTTCGTCAGAACAGTTGAAGCAAGGGCTGCAGACGAATTTACGTCTTTATCCAGCATACCTTCTGAGAGCGATCTGTCTGAACGGTTATCTTCACCTTCTCGTAAAAGAGCAGCCATCCAGGTGGTGTGCTGGCAAAATGATTCTGTCGCAAGCTTGATCTGCGGCTGCTGCACATTAGGGGAAGATTGCATCTTCTGAAGAATGATCATAGCTGTACGAGAATTTGCCTCCCGGCCTGGAGCCGTAGTTTCGAACTGACGACCAATACGAGTCTTCCTGAGATCAAACAATAAAGGGGCTTGTTTCTTATAAGGATCCTGCATAATAAATAAGTTGGCGAACAAAGCACAATGAACGAAAGTCCAGCCTTCACCAGTGCCAAGTAAAAGACCATCTTGTTGAAAACAGGAGCCGTAATGCGAGTCGACCTCTGAATCAGGTACTAGGTTTGTGGCGAAGAAATGCGACATAATATCTTCAAATAGTGAAGGGAGCCCCTGAAGTGAATGTAAGAATGCAGTAACAGCTGCATTCCGTTCGGCAAGATGCAATGGATTATAGGGTGGCTCAAAATAATTCTGATCAGGCACCGGGCACAAAGATATATTTGACAGGCCTGGCTGGGAGTTTATACGAGCAGCAATGAGCTCGCGCAATGCGACTAAATCTGACCATCTTTTTTCCACACGAATGGATTTTTGACGCCGTCGGACGCTTGCTTCAGAAACAGACGCTGGTGGCTGTAAACGAATACGAACTGCCACAGCATCAGGTCCTTGAAGCCCACGTACCATGGAGCCGCATACTTGGATATCAACCAGTGAAAATGGGCAATACTCTGTAACCAAGTGCTGGAAAGAATCTTCAAGTAAGCGACCAACAGGCGTTGCTGGGCGAGAGTTCGATTTGCGCCCAAGCGTGCGAGAACTAGATATAGTCGGGGAGCGTGAAGGCATTTTGGGAGATGTTGCTGCACTTTGACGGGAAGGCAAGGCCGAAGATCCGCGCTGCGACGGAGATTCAGGCATGCGGCCATGAGCATACAGGGCAGACGAACTCGATTTATTCCATATCCGTGGGGAAGGACTTGTCACTTGCAGTAAGTTGTTAGTGCCTTGATCACGTTTTGGCGAAGAAGGCGATGTTAACTCCAGTGACCCTGACGAATTTTCCGCGCTAATGTCATGCACTTGTGATGCAGCGTGTGTCACACTAGATTTGTTCGAATCGCCACGCAGATTCTTGAAGCTTCGACGACGCAAGTTTCGAATGCGACCAGTAAGGGATGTTGGGGGTGCAAGAGCATCAAAGCCAAGACCCAATGTTTCACTTCGATCTAGATTCAGATCATTCCCAGTGTGAGAATGTGTGTACAAGTGTGTGAATTCAGATACGAGATGGTTGTACTGTGAGAGTAAATAGAGCAATGCGGTGTGCGGCTCGGTTGTCTGCGCTTCTAGGTAGACATCAGGAAGCGAAAGAACTTGAGGCATATGGTTTCTGGTATGAAGCAGAGGGTCCGCTAATTCTTTACGCCCCCCCTGCTCCCCTGTAGTATGCCCGAAGGGCATTCAAAAACGCGCTACGTTTTTTCTGTTTTCCGATGACGCGTCAACGGGTCGTTGATAAATGATGTTATCCCAAGGGTCCTATCCGCATTTTGTTACTGGCACGTGATCCAAATGCGCACGGCCCGGCCGAGTGGAGAAGTCGCGGCACGTAGAACGCAAGTCAGTTTCTCCAAGTGCAGCTTCAGTGATGGGGGAGACCAACAGTGTGGATCAGCAAACATCTGGCGCAAAGGGCGAAGTATTCGAACGCGAGATTCATGCACAGAAGCGCGAGCGCGAGGAAGATCCAGAGAGAGCTACTGCAATTGAAAGTGATAAAGATGCGCCACCGAAAAGGCACCGCGGTGAAACACTGGGAACCGTACAATCTGTGTCTAGTTCAGAGACTGAGGCGAAGGACGATCATATGGAATCTAAGTCTAATCATGTAAAGGAGAGCAAGGCTGAGGATTCTGACGCTATAAATAAGGAGAAGATTGAGGAAAAGCTGCAATATGCTGGCAACAAAGACGAGGCAAAATCAAAGGGCACCCGTTCCGAATCGCTCACAACCTCGGCATGTGAAGGAGTTCAGACCACAAATGCGGGAGTCACATCAATAATACATGGAAATAATGAGAGCCTGGATCAAAGTAAAAAGGAAGAAAAACTAGGCAAACATCAACAAGGTAAAGATGAAGGGAAGAGTGATCTGATTGCGAGTAAAGACAAGTCGAAGAACATGACAAGTGGGACTGGATTAAGTCTTGGATTTGGAGCCTTTGCCTCACGTTCAGCACCTTTCAAGTCTGCTACCGCCTTGACAGAAAAAGCAGATGCTGCATCGGAGAAGGTTACCAAGGACTGGGCCGTGGATGGGAGCGAATCCATGACGCCTGAAAAAGGAGACTTCGTCGTACGGAAAAAAGAAGTCCAGAAACCAGATATGGAATGTATGTTATCGGGATGTCGAACAGAAACAACTGACTATTTGAAGTGACAACAGGCGAAGAGGATGAAGAAACTGTGGCAACAGCGCGAGCGAAGCTGTACTCTTTGGCAGAAAACCAAATCTGGAAAGAACGCGGAACAGGCACGATCAAAGTTAACGTCCACAAGTCGAACAAATCTTCACGTTTAGGTATGTGCGATACTTCGAAGGTGGAGGATGCTTACGCTTTAGTGATGCGACTTGATGCTGTATTGAAGCTGATCCTCAACGTGAAGCTCTTCCCAGGAATGCAGTGCAATTTGGAGCAGGACCGATTTATTCGTGTAGTGGCTATGGAATCGGACGGACTATCGCACTTCGCTATCAAGTTTGCCAACGCCAATGATGCTACGGCATTCCTCACAAGCTTGCAAGAGCACATACCCTCTGCTTAAAACGAGATACAGTACATGTCCCATAGAAGACTGGGTATTTACACGGTCGGTCAAAGAATCATACGTGCGGGCTGTATTTCTCCATGTCTGGGGCAAGTGCCAGTTTATTGTCGAATTCGTCCGTCAGCGCGACCTCTTCAGGTACGGGACTTGTGCTGGAGAATTGCGATGGATTTTGGCCCAGGCCTGGTCCGACTCCGGACCCAGCGTTTTCTCGGCGTTGATAGCTCTCACGGTTCAGACGGTTCATGCGCTCCGATTCTAGCTGCTCTCTTTGCATGCGTTCTGCTGGTGACTCACCCTTATCCTCTTCATCATCTTCTGGATTCTCCCGCTTACTTGTGTATTTCTCAACCACAGCCTGATCAAGGCGAGTGTGGCGCATCCGCACATTTTTGACGACGTCAGCTTTACCACGCGGCAATCGAGGCAGCTGCAATTTATTGTGACAAACCATAACCGGCTTAGAGGATTTCTGCACAAGATAGTGGCTCATACTTCCGAGCATGCCGCGAATGCCATCTACACCTCGACTGCCCACAATGACCATAGTTGGCGAATAGAAGTCGATAATGTCTAGAAGCATATGTCGTGCATTGATTGAATGTACCGACTGGCAACCGATCTTGACATTCAGCCGTGTGCGCTGGAGCAGCACAAAGGCCTGATGACACAGAAAGATTGTCATTTCTTGAAGTGCTCGATCACTGGGCGTCATGCCCGCATATCTTTCATATTTGTCCATATACATTTCGGCTTTGGCATCGGCATCAATAACAGCCACAATCAATATTTCGTCACCATCGCGCAGAACAGTACCCATGGCCCAATTAATGGCATACTGCGATCCTTCACTGCTATCGCTAGCCACAATGTACCGTTTTTTACGTCTCGACTGCTTCGAATGCGTTTCATAATCGCCGTAAGTCATGATGACAGTGCATCGGTTGCGCTCAAGTGTGGGTCCGTGTGTCACGAGAGTCGGACGCCCTGGCTGCGTCACTGGAAGGCTGTTTTTGGTGAGCAAAGTCTTTTGCACGAGCAGTTCTTTTTCATTTCGTGCAAACACAATGTTCGGCGCTGTTTGGAACTCATCCGCAGATGGATCAAGTAGGTCTTCATCCTCATAGTTGGTTATTTCCGCATGATTCTGACTACCGGGCAGCATCTGTGCATTGACCATAGTATTGCGGATCGTTGAGTCATCGAACATGGGTTCCTCATCTTCCATTTCGTCACCGTCATTGCTGAACATGGTCGATTCGTCGTCGGACGAAAACGCTGCCGCGTCTCCATCTTCGTCCTTAAACCCTCTGCCTGCCGGCGCATCAGACGACGCAGGCGGGACCGCAGGTGCAGAACCATCAGTGGTTCCTGGAGTGGAAGCTGATTTGTTTGCCGCCGAGGAGGCGAAGCTCGTCTCGGAATCGGAATCATGCTCGGTCTCAGATAGGATACGTCGCAAGGACGAACTGCGCCGAAGACCCAGTCTGCCGAAAGAGCCTATGCTTAGCCGGCGACCTTTGCGGCCGACTCCACCACTTTCATCAACGTCATTCGCAGCGGAACCCCCATGGAATGACATGATCTTACAGGAAACGTGCAAACAACAAAAACAAGCGCTCCCTGTGGGGACAAAAAAAGATACACTCGAACTAGTCTTATTCGAGCCGTTTCAAACACGCACATATCCCGCCGACTGCCTGCCTGCCCACTCATGGATGTTGCGCGTGTCGTCTGTCTTACGAATAAATAATTTAGGCTAAATCTATTGGCTAGCAGCCTCTGGCGTTTCATTCGCACTCCACACGCTCGCCTGCTCGCTCCAAGTGCCAGGACCAAATGCTACATCCAAAGCCGCCCAGATGTTGGTGACATAATGTACGTTCAAATCATCGAGGACAGATTTTGGCACATCGGCTTCTACACTTGAGCGATTATGCGCAGGCAAGATCACTGTCTTGATGCCGGCGCGGTGGGCAGCAAGAAGCTTCTCTTTCAGCCCACCCACTGGAAGAACCATGCCACGTAGTGACACCTCGCCAGTCATGGCTAATGTCGTTGGAAGTGCTTTGCCAGTAAGAAGACTGATCAGACTTGCGGCGAAAGCCACGCCTGCTGAGGGGCCTTCCTTGCCGATTGCACCTTCTGGCATGTGCAAGTGCACGTCACGGTTCTCTAGAAGCGTGTCGGCTGCATCCTTCGTGATACCCAATTCATGAGCGTGAGTTTTGATCCAGGAGAGAGCAATCGATGCACTTTCCTTAATAACGTCACCAAGCTTGCCTGTAAGATGCAAATTACCTTTCCCGGGCATGAGAGTAGTTTCGATGGGCATCAAAGACCCAGATCCATTGCCCAGGTACCCAAGACCCAGAGCGACACCAGACGGCATTGTATGAGTGTACATGCGGTCCTTGTGGTATATTGGCGGTCCAAGGTAGCGCCGCAATTTTTCTTCAGTAATAACGAGTGAAACAGACGACGGAACACTCATGGGTTGCCGCTCTTCTGTTGTCACTTGCACATTGTCGCTCTGAACACCAGTCTGGTTCGACCGAGGTTCCGCACCTTTCAATGGCTCTGGGAATACATCTTCGCCATGCTCTTTCACAATGTCAAATGCAACTTTGCGGAATACTTTCTCCAACAGCTTGCGTAGTCCGCGCACACCACTCTCACGAGCATAACGTTTGATAATGAAGTCAATCGATTCATCTGGCAGCGTTACGTCTGTATCTTTGAGTCCGGACGCTTCTTTAGCTTGAGGCGCAAGGTAATCGCGAGCAATGTGGCGCTTTTCTTCGGCTGTGTACGAGGACACCTCGATCACTTCCATTCGATCAAGCAGTGGCTGAGGAATTGTGTCGAGTGTATTCGCTGTACACACGAAAAGTACGCGCGAGAGGTCGACGGGCACATCCATGTAATGGTCCAAGAATGAGCTATTCTGCTCAGGGTCAAGCATCTCAAGAAGCGCAGAAGAAGGATCACCATTGTAGCCGCGGCCAAGCTTGTCCACCTCATCAATCAAAATTAAGGGATTTTCAGTGCCGACTTTTTTCAGTGCCTGAATAGCTTTGCCTGGCATCGCGCCCACGTACGTTCGACGATGCCCTTTGATTTCAGCGACATCACTCAGACCACCCACGCTGAAGCGGTAAAACTGTCGATCCAAAGCACGCGCGATCGATTTGCCAATCGACGTTTTTCCCACACCTGGTGGTCCGACCAGGCAGATAATTTTCCCCTGCACGGTACCACGAAGCTTGCCGATCGCGAGAAACTCCAGGATCCTATCCTTTACATCGTTAAGCCCAAAATGGTCTTCATCCAGCACACCACTCGCACGTTTAATCGCGTAATTATCTGGAGAATACACGCCCCATGGAATGCTCGTGAGCCATTCCAGGTAGCCACGCGTTACGTTAAACTCACTCGCGGCTTGTTCGAGCGTCTGAAGCTTGGCGATTTCCTCGTCAAACACCTTACGAACAGACTCTGGCATGTTCAATTTTGTAGCTTTCTCCTTGAATTTTTCAATAAGCTTGTCTTTCCCATCCGACTCGAGTCCAAGCTCCTTTTTAATACCCTTGAGCTGTTCCATCAAGTAGTATTCACGCTGGCGTTTTTGAATTTTGCTTTCGACATCCTTGCTGATTTTGCTTTGCAATTGTGCATTGACAAGCTCCTTCTTGAGTACGAGAAGTGCTTTCTGCAAGCGGTCTTCCACATTCATCGACTCTAACACACCTTGAAGCTCGTCTACTTCACTGCTCGAGACAGCTGCAGCAAAGTCGGCGAGTTTCTCAGGCTCTTCAAACACGTTGCCTGCACCTTGAGAAATGCTAAAGTTTGCAATCTGGTCGCGAAATAGTGGATTCAAGTTCGCAATGTCTTTAAACACGCTGATCAGCTCAGACATGATGGCTCGAATGTATTGATTGGGTTTTCGATCATATGGTTCCATCTCAAGGTTGGTAACATTCACAAGCGAGACTTCATATCGGTGCAGGAAAGCAGTTTGGAATGGAGGATTGTGTGAAGGGATTTCAGTGGATTGGGGAGATTCATCAAATGAGGAATGTGACTTCGGCTCTAATTCTCTCGGCTCGCTGTCAGACACCATGCTTTGCTTGACAGATGCATTAGTATTTGATTCGGGCATTCCTGAAACCTCTTCGACAATAGGTGATGAATCTGTACGCTCATCCCCTACATGTTCTTTGGGCATGGGAGTGATCAGCTCATCAATAATAATCCGCCGATGTGGGTACAAGACAGCGGTGATGCCATCATCCGAGTCATCTACCTTGGATCCGCTGTGAGCTGGGAAAATGCTAGTGATTTGGGCAAAGACGCCAACCCGATGAACACGATCCAAGCTAGGAATCACATCCGAGTCTTCCTCCTCGTCCTTGAGAAGAAATGCGCCCACATACGGCTGACCACGCTTCATGGCCTCTTTAATAGCCGCACACACATGAGGATTTTTTATCACCACAGCTTTGTAAAATCCAGGAAATAATGGACGACGCGTGATAGGGAGAGCCAAAACCTGTGGATAGATACTAGGCACAGTGTTTCGAGACATAATGAGAGAGCCACGATCGTTTTTCCCATCATCGTCATGATCTCCTGAGTCGTCTGAATTGTCTCCAAACGAACCAGATCTACCGCTCTCTCCACCATTGCCACCATTTCCGCGACCATCCTCAAGTGAATCGTCGCCGCTTTCCTTGGGATTATGATCGGAATCACGTTCCGACAGCTTTGAGCTGGATCGGTTTGCATTATCCGAACCGGATGAGCGCTTTTTCGTATCATATCCATCTTTTTCTTCAGCCTGAACCACTACCATGCGGGGCATGTTGTTGTTTTTGCTCCGGGGCATCATGCATCCGGTACTTGTGTTGATATGGGCCACCGGGGTCATAATTCGTGCGGAACGTTGCATTGCCGCAATACCATAATTCTGGGCAGCTGAAGGTGCATGCTTTTTGATCCGTGCACCTACAGCAGTGCCCCAAACATGCCGGATGGACTGTCGAGCAGGGATCATCGACGTAGCCCGAGTGGCAAATGTCTATGTGGCAATGGTGAAGCCTGACAACGTCGTCAATCCAGCGGACATATTGCGCGGCCTGTTCGAACATGGCCACGTGGCTTTATTCAACTTAGCGCCCAACGCGTTTGTGATGTGGAAGCGCGTGACGCGTCGTTGTCATTAGTTGATCTTGTTCCGACACATTTCGCTAGACAGCATGCCAGCGATTGAGTATGTATGATAAACGCATTGAAAGAATTTTGGCTCATCCAGACCGAACAAGAAGCGGAAATTGGATGAAAATCCTGGATCTTTCACCAACACGCTAGCAATTCTCGAAGCGGAGCAAGATGCCAGGCTCTGTGCGTACGAACTAAGACCCTTCGTCTACTAACGCTGTCTTTATAGTGGATCCTACAATAACATGGGAACGCCCAAGCGTACCAGAATTTGATACGAAATCTGACTCTATTCGTACGTGCTTGTCTGCTAATGACCAGTGTTCCAGCAAATTGATGTGGAAGAATATCAAATGCCGCATTCACCACCAGAGATCCGGATGTACGGTTCTACGAATGTGCGTGCAAACACACAAAGTACATCTTGACTGACGAACTTTTTTTTAGGAAGGAAACCCTGTTCTTGTACATGTTCACGGATTCCTTCCATACTTTTATGTTCATGCGCCGCGTGGATTTACAATGTCGGCGTGCCCTGACCTGAGAAACTATTTGAATACGACTTTTGGCGGGCAATGCGTTGCAGAGGTCAGCCTTGAAAGCAAGAAGAATTTGATGCAGTATACTGGTCCCGAGAATATCGCATTTTTGAAGATCACAGCGTCAGATCTGCGTTCGCTCCCACGTATTCGGGGCGCATTTGAGCGTGGAGAAATTGCTTTTCGGGATCTTTTTGTCACAGGCGAGACGTGTGTGTCGTTTGACAACATTGCATACACGCTGCGATTTATGATTGATCACAATGTGCGTTAACGAAGCGGCTCTGACAGTCTAGATTGTAGGCATGAACTGGATTGAAATTCAAGCCAACCAATATACACTGCGCTCACCAAATGAATGTATATCACGATGCCAGATTGAACTGGATTGCAGCCCAAGCGCGATCCGTTCACATGCACCACATGGAGAATGGCTAAGAATGGCACCACTAAGGACGCTCAGTTTTGATATTGAGTGTGCTGGCCGGAAAGGAGTGTTTCCCGACCCGAACGTGGACCCAGTGATTCAGATCGCAAACATGGTCACGCGGCATGGCGAGTCGACACCATTTGTGAAAAACATCTTTACGTTAGGCACTTGCTCGCACATTGTCGGGTGTCATGTCATGTCATTCGAAAATGAAGTCCAGCTGCTCGAAGCATGGTCCGACTTTGTACAGCGTGTGGACCCAGATGTGGTGATTGGATACAATATATCAAACTTTGACTTCCCATATCTGCTAGACCGTGCGAAAGCACTCAAAGTGACGACGTTCCCGTTCCTGGGCCGTGAGAAAAGTATGTCACATGTGGCACATTTTTTGCCACTCTCTAAACCTGCTTACATCGACAGACGCGCGAAGTGAGGCGAAGGATACGCACTTTTCTTCAAAGGCGTACGGAACGCGAGACTCGAAACATACGGAGCTCCAGGGGCGCATTCAGCTGGATATGCTACAAGTGATGCAGCGCGACTACAAACTGCGCAGCTATTCGCTGAATTCTGTGTCATTCGAATTTCTAAGTGCGTGGTGAGAGGCGCTGACATTGCAGAGGAGCAAAAAGAAGACGTGCATCACTCGCTTATTACAGAGCTGCAGAATTCGGGGCCAGAAGCGCGCCGCCGTCTCGCTGTATACTGCCTGAAAGATGCGTATCTTCCACAAAGGCTCATGGACAAGCTTATGTGCTTGATTAATTACACAGAAATGGCGCGTGTCACAGGTGTACCGTTCAACTACCTACTGAGCCGTGGCCAGCAGATCAAGGTCATATCTCAGCTATTCCGGAAAGCGCGCGAGGACGGATATTTGATTCCCGCATACAAGGGTGAAGGCGGTGACGAACAATACGAAGGCGCGACAGTGCTAGATCCGAAGCAGGGCTACTACGACAAGCCTGTGGCTACGCTAGATTTTGCATCCTTGTACCCCTCCATTATGATGGCACACAACCTGTGTTACACGACGCTTGTCGACAAACATACGATTGACCGGCTCAAGCTGGTTGAAGACAAGGACTACGTTGTAACGCCAAATAACAACTACTTTGTGTGCAAGACTGTACGGAAAGGTCTCCTGCCAGATGTACTCGAAGCTTTGCTTGCAGCGCGGAAAGCGGCCAAATCGGATCTCAAGAACGAGACAGACCCGCTTCGTCGAGCTGTGCTTGACGGCCGTCAGCTAGCACTCAAAGTTAGTGCGAACTCTGTGTATGGCTTTACGGGTGCCACAGTAGGGCGTTTGCCTTGCTTGGAGATTTCTATGAGTGTCACGGCTTATGGACGACAAATGATCGAAGAGACAAAGCGCCAAGTGGAGAAACACTACACGGTCAAAAATGGGTACGAGCATGATGCTGTTGTTATCTACGGTGATACGGACTCTGTGATGGTAAAATTTGGCGTTTCGGAGCTAGAAAAGGCCATGCAGCTTGGTGCAGAGGCTGCAGAGTTTGTGTCGAAATCGTTCGTAAAGCCGATCCGACTCGAGTTCGAGAAGATCTATTTCCCTTACCTGTTGATCAATAAGAAACGATACGCAGGTCTGTACTGGACACGGCCTGAACATTACGATAAGATGGACACGAAAGGCATTGAAACAGTAAGGAGAGATAACTGTCGATTGGTACGAACTGTGATTGAGACATGCCTGCGCAAGATGCTCATTGACCGGGATGTGCGAGGCGCGGAAGATTATACCAAGCAAGTGATCTCGGATCTTTTGCAAAACAAAATTGACATGTCACAGCTCGTGATATCCAAGGCACTTGCAAAGGCTGACTATGCTGCGAAGCAAGCGCATGTCGAATTGGCAGAGCGGATGCGAAAACGAGACCCAGGCTCAGCGCCGGCACTGGGCGATCGAGTCGCATACGTCATCGTAAAAGGGAGCAAAGGTAGTGCTGCATACGAAAAATCAGAGGATCCCTTGTATGCACTTGAACACAACATCCCCATCGACACACGCTACTATTTGGACAATCAGCTGTCGAAGCCGTTACTGCGTATCTTTGAGCCGATTCTCGGCGCTCGCGCAAGTAGCCTGCTAAGTGGCGAGCACACGCGGGTGCTGCAGGTGGCGACGTCGAATGTAGGTGCACTTATGAAGTTTGCGGTCAAAACGGTTCAATGCTTAGGATGCCGCACACCTCTGAAAGATCAAAAAGCAGCTGTATGCATGAATTGCAAACCACGCGAGACAGAACTGTACTTTGAGAAGGTTCAGCGAGCGTCCGAGGCGGAGGTGGAATTTAGTCGATTATGGACCTGCTGTCAACGGTGCCAAGGCTCCCTGGCACATGATGTGCTTTGCTCGAACCAGGATTGTCCACATCTTCTTCAAGCCGGAAGCGTGCCCAAATGGACGCTGAAGATGCCAACCGAATTGTACAGCGTTTCGATTCGACATGGTAGGTAGATAGCGAAAGAAGTGTGAGTGTTGAAGTTCGGCCTACGTTGGGCTGCTGACGACGTTTCATTAAGCGACATTCACTATGGATAATTATATTCAAGATGGTAAGGATGGGCATATACGGATGCGTGTATAACAAGTGGTCACGCACGACGCTTCTTCGCCATTCGCTCACGCGATCGTTGCATAATGGCATCGTCTTCTTCTGCATCAAAGACCGACGTCTCAGGCTCTATGCTTGACTTTGCAGATGATGCAGGCATACGCAAAGGTGGTTCTTTCGACTCAGCCGCTTGATCCACGGCCACAGCTTCCGCCTCAAGTCGTCGTTTCTCGCCCTTATTCACAGGGTCAATTTTAAGCTTGCAAACGAAGAAACCATCCATATTGTGCACATGCGGCTAGACATGTGTTAGTAAAGTCATGTGCAAATGTGCGGAAACAAGCCGTGCGAAAGATACGTACAAAGATGCGTCGGCAAAACGGCATACGCTCATCGAACTTCTTTCCGCGGAAACACTTGAGACCGTCGCGACCAAAATCGATGCCCGTAGGTACAATGCGCACGTTTGGACGCTTACGCAATGCATACTCGACCACTTCCTCATTCTCTTCCACCATCACAGAGCAAGTACTGTACACGACATAGCCACCTGACTCAGATCTCGGGTTCACACTGTCAATCGCGCAAAGGATGAGCTGTTTTTGCAGCTGTGACAGCAGGATAAAGTCGCGTTTCGTCTAAACAAGCGTTAGTGCACAATCACGAGCGCGCGCGTATCAACATACCTTGTTTGTCTTGACACTGGCATCCTTGCTAATGACGCCCGTGCCAGAGCATGGTGAGTCAAGCATGACTCGGTCGAAACCGCCAATGACTTTCGGGAACTGACGGCCATCGTAATTGCACACGACGACGTTTCGGCAACCCATGCGATGAATATTGGCCGTCAAGCTCTTGATACGTGCTTTGTTGCTATCATTTGCAAATACGCAGCCCGTATTCTGCATGAGCGCTGACAAATACGTCACTTTACCTCCAGGCGCACTTGCCATATCAAGAATACGCTCGTGCGGCTGCGGTGCGAGCGCCATGCATGGCAAGAAGGAAGACACAGCCTGGAGCATATACTCACCAACAAGGTATTCGGGCGTCGCACCGATAGGAACGGAACTTTCAAACACCTGCAACCCAACTTTGCTCCATGGTCCCACGGGCTCGAGGCTAACGCCGCGATTGATGAGTTTCTGCGCCAGATCACGACGGCGTGTCCGCAGTGTATTGGTACGAATTGTGACAGGCCGAGGGACTTCATTAGCCTCGAAGAATGCAATGGCCTCATCGGGAGAAAATAGCTCGAGGAACATGTTCGTCAAAAACTCATTGTATCCGTAATATGTTTGCACGTCTTTGGAAAGTCGATCCATATAATCCGCACGCGACTTGCCCGGCTCGCTCAAGGTTTGCAGATTCGAGAGAATATTAACGACTTCTTGAATGCGCATGTGAACAAGCTGCAAGTCGAGAGGTGCACGCTTTTCTTCCTCTTCATCCTCAACGGTAGGAAGAAGGAAATTCGATGCCACCTGTTCCCCATCATCACCAGCATCTTCTTCCTCGTCGAATTTGTCCTCTTCTTCGGCTGCATGCCCCTCGATGTCATCAGCGTCGTCTTCGTCAATGCTTTCTAGATCCACATGATCATCCCCCACATCAACTTCATCCTCGACCTCGTCATCATCATCCATATCCTCGATGCCGGAGAAGTCGTCTTCAATAGCTTCACCAGAATCGTCATCGTCACCACCTTCGTCTGCATCGACTTCATCACCTACATCTTTTCCACCATCCAACCCCTCGACGTCGTCGTCGTCTTCGGTACCAGAGTCCTCGTCAATTTCGTGCTCGACATTTCCAACTCCGAGTTCACGATCATGTGCTTCACCGCCGTCATCTTCAGATTCATCAACCGAATACCCTGAGCTCTTTAAAAGAAGTTCGAGACGCTCAACTTCGGCTAGTACCTTTTTCTTTTGCCGCTCAGTGAGTTTCTTGTTCTTGGGCAAGCCCAGTGATTCCAGCACTTGGTCCGCACTGATTTCACCACCACGGCTTTTTCCTGACTTATATTGGACTCCGCGACGAAGCTCCCTCTCGCCTTCCACAGAACCTTTCTCTTTTTCTTTGTCTTCCAACATCCCTTCCTCATAGTCGACATCGTCTTTATCTGACTCATCATGGGTTGCTAGCTTATTTTTATCTTTGTCCTCATAAGCAGGCTCACTTGTACGGTTTCTCTGTTGTTTTTTGACTTCTTGGATTCTTTGCTTTTTGGCTAGAAGGTTTGATTGACTCTCCATCCGCTTAGTTGATGTCATGGGCGCACTTGTCTCGCGGGTCGCCTTTGACTCAACTATTGACGCGGCTTCTTTACCGTTCTTTACATCTTTCCCATGCTTCCTCTTACCCAGCTGCTTTTTCTGTGGCTGCTGTGGATCTGGAAGTGGTGCTGGTGCGGGTTGTTTGTTCTTTGCACGACGTCCCATCGTGTAGCCTGTCGTTCAAATGCAACGAAACATTCAATTGACGACAAAATTTCATTCTTTCTCGCAGTTAGTGTCACGTGCGGGATTTTTTTTAGAGAGGGTATAGGCGAGGAAATCGCACTGCGCGCAAAGGCCAACGAAATGAGATGTCAGCCAATTGCTTTAAAGGAGACGCGTCAAAGTTCGAACAAAGTAGATCAGAAAACCGAGGAAACAACAGGTATAGAACGCTCGATCCTCGTTCGTTTTTACATACAGACTACGTGGCGGAATGTGGCTTGATCAAGAAAGCAGAAGAATCACCAGCCATGAGAATTTCGTTGCGACTGGATAATAAGGATTCTAGGAATGGAGTATGCAATGAAGTAGAACTTGCTGTAGCGGGAGTTCCCAAACCTAACGAAGACATGGATGGATTGAAAGAAAATGATGAAGTAGACATGGCGGGTGATGCATATGGACTGCCAGATGGAGAAGCTGAGTATCCATATGGTCCAGTTCGAGATTGAATATAGGGTGGTGTTGAGCTTGTGTATAGGGAGCCGCTAGTATCAGCAGCCTTGGAAACAGAAGTCGCGGCATAAGCTGGGGAATTCATAGCTGACGGTGCGTAAACAGGATGTGTTCGTGACATGGTGGGCATGCCAAATTTTTGCGTGCGGGCATGATGCATACGGGACGTGGCAAGGGACGATGCAGCTGAGTCGGCAAAGAGGCAGCGCACATTGTAGCCGGTGATGACCTGGTGCAAGGCACCTGTCTCCACACTGCGCACCTCGATAAACTGCGGGTCAAACGCCAGGACGTAAGGATAGTGAAGAGCGAAGGATGTTGGATTGCCTTCCCAGTTGATGAGCCACTGACCTTTGGCCCGCCAGCCATTCTTGTTTACGTAGAAGGCAAATTCATTGTAACACAGGAGAAACTCTCCATCAATACGGAAAATCGCAATGGGCTTGAGATTTTCTTGCCGTTGGACAAAGTCTAGTGACAAATCAGCGGGATCAAGTAGTCCTTGAGTGTCGAGAGTTTCAAGATCAACAATCTCGAAGCCCTTCGCAGTACCGACGCACAGCTTTGACTTTAGGAAGTGAATGGAGCTTGACTCTGTGGGGATGTAGAATTCCTTGAAAACACGCAGCGTATCCTGTCCGCCTTGAAGCGCCTTCCTAAACGGTGGCTGCTTTTTCACTCGCAAATGAAAGTCGATTGGCTCAAGTGTCTTGATCGTCGAAGATGCCGGTCCCGATTTGACGACGCAAACAAGCGTGCGCCCTAAGCAAATGCCTGCACGGAAAAATGACGTATGACTTGCAATACGTCGCCCTTGTTTCATCGACATAATTGGATCTGCGGCATCGAGAGCATCGAGCGTAAAAGTGTACACGACCTGCTCAGCCAGCACAATCAAGATCTGATATTCTTCTAGCACGTCCATCTGCGTCACTCCTGTCAGCGGTAGAATGAGTGACGGCGCGCAGCTCCGGTCACGCAAATCCAGCAGATAGATGCCATCTTTCCTGCTGAAAAAGACCTGATGTCCGAAGTCGAACGGAACGGCACACGTGATCTGATTTGTTCCTTGCTCTACCATGAAGGGAGACGCTGGCACTAGATCAAACACACAGCTTCGGTTCCGAACGATCTGCTGCCGCGTTTCAATGTGCTCAAGCCATTTGTTGCGCGTAGCCAACGTGCTGGCCCATAGGGTGAGTGAGTAGCCGAGCTTGCCAAGATACGTGAACGTGATGGCGTAGCCAGTCTTGTTGTCTTGACGCATGGGCGTCTGACCTAAACTTGGCCCAATCGACGTGCGATTCCCAATCGAAGAACGCGAGTACACCCAGCGAGTACGAGTACCCTTGGGCGTAGGAGTATCCTCGTAAATGGTGACTTGCAAGAACTCGAGAGGAATGGGTCGCCGATAAACCTTGAACACTTCATTCTTGTGAATGATCTTGATCTTGACCATCAACAAGGCGTGGTCAAAGAGATAGACTTGGATTTCCGAGCTGTCGGACTGAGTGCCGCGCTTTTTCAGGGCATTCTTGAACACGAGTTCACGGCCGACTTCGCCAAGCTGGAGATCGACCATCTCATTCGGCTTGAACTGCAGTTGCTGGCTCAAAAATCCCAGTTGGATCCGGTTCTCACTCTTTCCGGTTTCGTCGTTTGTCAAGCTTAAAAAGTGCTGGATTTGGCGAATCACTTTCGGAAGCAAGATCTTGTCCATGTTGTCGTCCGATGTGTATTTTAGCATCTGCTCGAAAAGAAGCGGGTATCGTGAGAGACGAGCTGTCGGCTTGGTTAAGAAACCATTGACTTGTAGCTTGCGAGAAATCGCTTTGCGCTCCGTATCTTCAACAAACATAGCAAACACGGGGTTGATAGCGCGTTCATCTTCAAGCCGGAGCTTCGCAGCAGCCTGATTCGCTCCGTAATATACATAAGGTTCGAAGTGCGGCACAAGCTCAGCGAAGATGTCACCAATGTACTCGACAACGGACCTGTGACGCTGTCGACGGGTCAGCATGTCCGCAAGGCGGGAATTGATCGCCAAAATGTCTAGTAGGTTGCGAAATACTTTCTGGACAAACTCTGCGCGCCGCGAGTCTGGAAGAACATGCTGTGTACTCAATGGCTGCATCCATATATCACGCAAGTACTCAAGATCCTGGACATATGCCCGCTCCGTTGAAATGATTTCAAAAATGACCTCCTGGCGCTTCCGCTCACGCTCGGACACACTTTCATACACTTCTTTCGACACGGATTCTGCCCAAAGCTGCGACGTAATATCCACAAGGCTCTCATGACTGTCAGAATGCTGCAGGGAAGGATGCACCACAAGTTGTGACTGTTTCTCAAGTAAGTAAGGGCACGTTATGCTGTAGCAGTGGTTCCCCTTTGAACATGTCGGGCTGTAGCAGCCGGTTAATAGCGTAAACACCCCAGTTGGGTAACCCTTTTTCGATGACGTGACAGACATGGTATCGTTGGTATCATCAATCGCCGAGCAATCATGCCATGATTGGGCGAGCTCTGCCTCATATGCGCCGAATGAGGGGCGACCATAACCGTAGCCAGAACTAAACGAATTCTGTCGGGATGATGCCGGCGAAGACTTCCATGGAGCACTTGGTTCATTTGTCAGAAGGTACATTTCCTGCTCCGAGTCGCGCAAGCGGCTAGAGGACGAGGCACCGTGCAGAAAGTCTTGTGCTTCAAGTGCACGTCCCAAAAGCAAAGCAAGATTTCTGTCATCAATGCGGCAAATTTCCTGGAGCTTATCGATAGCCTCCTTCCCATCAAAGACCAGGATGTGAGGATGAGCATGGCTCGGACGTAACAATGGCACAATCAAAGCTTCAAATGCGCGAGCAACACTTGAGAGTATGGCTGGATTCACACGCACTTCACAGCGACCAAGAAGCATCGCGGTTCTCATGCAGACACCCATTGTGTTGGAGCTGCGTGAGTTGTCGCGAGAGAGCTGGACGCTCGAGCGAGGAGATGCGATCTGTCGCACTGGTGATGAAGGTTGGGAATGATGTGCTGGATCTATAGCTTGAGCGGGCGTTGCATACGATGTGTATTGACGGCCAAGTCCAGCAACACTTTGCACAGAACGTAGCTCATTTGAGCGCATCACACGCGAGCCGTTTCTCCTAATCATAGTAGCTTCACCAAAGGGCTCATCAAGGGAATCAATGCTTTCCATGGATGCCCGCGGCACATAGCGGGGAGGAGCTGGCTTTCCAGACGTAGCATCAGTGCCCAAGGGGTATGTGCCCGACACCGTTGTGCCAGGGGGCATCGTTCGAGATGTCCATGGACCTGGTTTTGTTGTAGAATCAAGCGATACGTTACCAAGGCTGGAGGCTAAAGACATGGGCGAATCCGTAACAGGAACGAATCCATTTTGTTTGGATGCTAGAACAGGTGTGCCTCCATTGCTGTGATGCAAAGACCCCGATGCTGCATAAGGTGCCATGGAAGTGGACATGTTTCGGTGTATGCTGGTCGGCATAGTGGAAGTAGAAGCGATATGTGCCGGGTTTACATGACGCGCCATTTCCGATGGCGGATTGGCAGATGAAATTGATGGAGGCATCTTTGCTCGATAGTGATCAGGTATGCCGCTCCCACTCACAAAGGACGAGGAAGATGGATGCATGTACGCACGATGCACATTTGGTCCATACACAGACCCGCTGGTGGCTGGATGAGCAGGCACATGAGAAAATGAAGACTGACGGGCTGGAGCGTGCGAAAATGACGCACTCCTCTCACTCGTTACAGCATGTGTTCTGGGACCAAATATATCTTCAAATGCAGCGGCGCGCTTGTCTGCAATGGGCTGATTTCTTCTCGCAGACGACATATTGGTATGAAAGTTAGTTCGTGTGCGTCCGTCTGTGTTTCTGAACGTGTATATATGTGTATATACACAAAAGAGCGTCTATCACACCAGCACCGTCAACACACACCCAACTGCAGATGCAGATGGAGCTAGAAGCGTTCGTGTTCTGTGATATAGATGCAGCAAGCCTAATTCGTAAGCACAACTTGCACGACGTGCCAAGGATGAGACTCTACTGTATGTTTCCTTGGTTGTGCTGCAGGACCCGGCTTAGCTGTCGTCGTATCGATAAGTCTCAACACTAGAGGCAGTGGGACAATCGGCTCGGGCGATTGGTTTTCAACGCCACTTCTCGTTGGTTCGTTTCGTCATGCCTCATGTCTCGCTTCGCGGGTGTGCGAGAAAGAACACCTCCACATGGAGAAGTGGATATAGGTCACTGCGTCTCGCGTAAATATTTGTCTGCGTCCTCCCACAATAGGCCTTGGCGTGTGTAAAAGTGCCTGCGAAAGTAGGCTGCTTCTTGCCATCTGACGCCAGACTATTTTTCTAAAGTACTGTTTCGATTACATAGTCTTGAACATGCTAAGAGCGTTGTAGCCACGCGCTTCTTTGTAGGAATGCATCAGATGCATCTAATACCGCTTGCATCCGAGCACAGAACTTGACCTACCCGCCAATGCTCAAGTACATTGCTTGCCGATCGTAGACATGAAGCAGACGAGTCCTGTTCCTTTGTCTCTAAGCTTATCGACACACGCTGAACCAGCCTTCCTTCCTCCCCCCCATAGCGTTCTGTCTGTTACACGCTCATGTTTGATCGACTCTGCGTTCGACCATCATTTCTCGAGTCTCTAGCACGAGTACATCGTTCGTCTGGTGACACAACCCACATATGGGTTGTGTCCATTGTACCAGACGCACAAATGTCCATCACCTCCACACACCATTATCGCCTAGTGTCATAGAAAGAATACACATGCGCGCACTGCCACTGGTGGAGGCTGCACACGAATGTTTGCAGATGGATTGGCACTAGTTCGTTCTTATAACGAGCGTCAACAGCGCCATCATGGCGCCTCCCTCCCCGGAGTCTGACCAAAATGACGGGACCGCGAATCAGATCTTACATGACCTCACAAACAGCTTCGTACGTACGATTACGTGGGCTTACCATGGCAGTCAAGTCACCTCACTTTGTCTGCGATAGGCATCTTTGTTGGAATAGCGTTCGCTGCGGGTCTAGCAACCATCGTGGTATTCCTTATCTGTCGACGACACAACAAGGTACGTTTTTGAATGGAGCGTAATCCTGCTTATGACTTAGATATTATATGCGCCCAAGTCCTATGCGATTTCCAGCAATGCATTGATTACTATGGTGAGTCTGTGTGTAATTGGACGCTCATACATGCAGAAATCATCGCATGTTGGGTTTTTCAAAACGATTGTTCGACTTCGTGAATCGGACATTGTACGAATGGCCGGTACAGATGCCATGGTTTTTCTTGTGTTCCTGAAGCTGGCAGCTTGGTTGCTCACGGCTATTGCTGCCCCGTTGTGCCTGATCCTCGTCCCTATCGATGTAACTTACAAAAATAATGAACAAAATGATGCATCACAAAATGACTCACAAGGATCAAATGGTTTTCATGATACTTTTATGTATTTTACGATGGGTAATGTCCATGGTCCGCGGCTATGGGCACATGTGATTCTTAGTTACCTGGTCACTGTTGCTGCATTATGCATGGTGTATTTTGCATACAAAAAAGTCATCGCACTTCGACAAGCATATTTTTCTTCTGTTAAATACCAGACGAGTTATTATTCTCGTGCTCTTATGGCTACGGACCTTGCCCCTGACATTGTAGACGACGCGTCCCTTCGCGATACACTTACATCTGCTGGCATCGTATACCCCTTATGTGAAGTTCAGCTAGGCCATGGCATCGACGATTTGCCTCAGTTGCTGGAGACTCAAAAACAGACTGTTTACGAACTCGAGTACTATCTGGACAGAGCATTACGAAGCAAGACATGCAAACGTCCCACCGTGCGGCTGAACTCATGGTATTTCGGTCACAGAGTGGACGCAATCGACCATTATTCCAGAGAGCTTGATGCCATAAATGAAAAGATTTATCTCGCACGCTCCGATCAGACCGACTATGCGCCCCAGTCGTATGGATTTGCATCGCTCGCTGCTCCCATGTACGCACACGCGACTGCAAAGCACTTTTCAAAAAAGCAGCCGCGTAATGTGAAAATTCGGTTGGCCTCTTCACCAAACGACATACTTTGGACAAATCTTATCAAAAGCCCTGCGTCACGCAAGCGATCGCGCCATTTCGCTCGTTTCTTGCTCTTCTTGCTTTTCGTCGCCAACGTTTTCCCCTTGTTGACCGTGTCGATTATTTCAAATTTGAGTGCATTTTCACCCATTTCAGCAAACTTGGAGACGTGGCAGACATATCATTCTGTTTCATTTGCTATATTCACGGGTGTGCTCCCACCTCTTATTACATTTGCTTTCTCGCTGCTCCTTCCAATGATGATGCGCCGTATCGCAATGTATCGAGGCGTCCGAACACGACAGTCGCGTGATCTGTCTCTGACGAGCCAGTACTTTACATTTCTCATGGCCACACAACTCATCATCTTCTCATTGATCAGTGTGATCCTAGACTTGATCATCATGATCCTCTCCGCGATGCATAACAAATTGTCTGTTTCATCGGCATTTTCGCAGATCTCGAAAGAAATCCTTGACCAGGTCTCGAAACGCTTCCAGTTTTTGTCTGCATACTGGATCACATGGATCATCCTAAAGGGATATTTACTACTCTTCGAGCTTGCGCAAGTGCGTCGTCTTTCGTTCTTGATGATCCATCGATATCTATTCAAATACAACCCACGGCGCATTCACAACTATACAAAAGCACCTCACTTTTCGTACTGGGTCATCTATGCCGAGATGCTGTTCTTAATCGCAATTGGCTTGATTTATGCACCATTGGCACCTTTCGTTACTGCTGTGGCTGCAGGTGTGTGCTGGATGGCGCTCTTCGTGTACAAAAATCAGCTCTATTATGTCTACGTGACAAAGTCTGAATCCGGGGGACGGTTATGGAGCGCTGTTGTGAAATGTCTTCTTGCCATGTTAGCGACCATGGAAGTGATTGTGGCGATTGCTATTGGTTTACTCCAAAATTGGGCTAAGGCGGTGGTTTGCATTCCACCGATCATTGTTATTGGATTGTTTGGCTGGTATTGTCATGCCAAGCTAGAACCGCTATTCCTGTGGCACAACCCTTCTCCCATGGACCTCGCACACTTCCAAGTTCAAGTGTATGGATCAGACCGTGAGCATCTCGCCCGTCAGTTCGGTAATGTGTATCTCCATAAGCCCCTGGAAAAGCCCGTTGTGGATTCTGAGCTCATTCACCGGGTCAAAGAATTCTATGACGGTCCCGTGGTCTCAAGCAAAACAAACAATTCACTAGAATTGGAACAGGAGCCGGTGCTCCCGCTGAAACGCTCGCGTTCAAGCAGTTCTCTCGACTCATCCGATACGTTCGATACAAATGCTGACCCTCTACCGGTTATTGACATCGACTCAGTGTATGGAGATGTGTTTGACCCAAAAACTGAAACGCAAATGGAGCGGGAAGCTAATATCCTGCATCTTCCATCTTTAAACAAATTCGAATTGGATCAAGATGGAGATGCTTATTCTATGGTGTCGATGATGCCGGAACCATCGTCGACTCCGCAAGCAGCCGAGAACAAGATCGACGCCGAAACGGGTACGAGATGATATGTTAAATCCAACAACAACCTAACTTGCAAGGCAAATAAACTCGAAAAGTCATAAATTTCAATCATTTCAGCTCTTCATATTCTAACACGCATGCGCCTGATCCTTTGGTTTAGATGCACAAGAAGCGAAATGACACATTCCATGTTGAATGGCTAAGTGCTTGGTGACTGGTAGACGGGACACACCTGCACATGGAACAAGGAAACAGTTCGACGAACTTGTTAGGATAGAGTGGCTTATATGAGTACTGTTGAAAAGGCACTTTTCAGCTACTCTATAGGACGCGCCCCTGTAATGTCAACGACTTGGGATGTTGCGGGATAAGAAGGAAGGCGAAGATCGTACTTAGCATCCAACCCGGAATCTACAAAGCGCCCGCCGAGCCAGTGTTTGGCACCCGAAAAAAATCTTGCACCACTTTTTGGTGCAGTAAGCGAAATCAATACATCTGGCATAAATGACTTGGCCAACTCAGACTCCTGTGGCCCAGCATCCACATTCCACGACGACGGGATGTCGACACTTACCACAGGCACCTTGGTGCTTGGATTTCGCTGCGCCTGAACTAGATGCTCCAAGGCAGATCGGAATGGCTCACGAGGTTCCCCGTGGAAAGAGAACCCGAATATAGCATCGAGCACAACTTGCGAATCCTGCAAAAGAGTGCCTGGGAGTTGGTCTACCTCCGAAAACTCAATGTTTAGATTTTGAAGCTGCTGAACGAGTCCATGAAACAGCGGTGCATCTTTTCTCTTTGGATACCAGATAACCGGAGTATATCCGAAATGCTTCAGATGACGTGCAGCTACAAGGCCATCGCCGCCTTGATTGCCGGGGCCACATGCCACAAGCACACGCCGATAGCCTGCATGAGGAGGATAACTTCGATATACGGCCTCTGCACAAGACAAACCTGCCAGCTCCATCAGCTGGTCTATACTGAAGCCCCCCGCAGGGGACATCAAGTCTCTGTCAATTTGCTGTGCCACAGCAGCTCCTAGGAACCGTAAGAACATGACGACGGATCCAGGTTGACTTTGTGGTCCTAAGTGGCCCTTGCACGATTCATTACATAATCGTGACCGCATTAAGCTCGGCCTCATCCGAAAATGTACGTTAGTTTGCGAACACGGCGTCACATCAAAGGTTCAAGAAATGTATAAATTGGAGATCCTTTCTTGGCACGGTATTACTACTTGAGTAGTGTCTACCATGATCAAGTATCTTTTCAAGATACTGGAGGGTATTATCCTCTACCTGTATGAATTTATACAACTGTTCATCAGTGTCTTCTTCTCGCCGCTCCCCCCCACAAAAGACTCGCCTCGAATCGGACACGTGGCAGTCATTGGTGCAGGTATCACTGGTATCTCTACAGCAGCTCACCTACGGAGCCATGGATTTGAAGTTACAATCTTTGACGAATCCCCTGACATTGGTGGCATCTGGCGAAGAGTGAATTCGACCAGCAATTTACAAATCAACTCTCTTTTCTATCGCTTCCATCCGCTTGCATTCTATCGTTCGTTTTACCCGTTCCGTGACGAAATCCTCGCCCAGCAACACAAGGTTTTGACGACATACGGCCTTGACAAGTGCATCCGTTTCAACACGCGCGTAACCAAGATTGAGCGTCATTCCTCGTCGTCATCTCAAGACAGCAAAATTGGCGGTCCCTCCCGCTGGATCGTTAATGGAAATAAGTCTGAAGTATTCGACGGTCTCGTTGTAACGATTGGCACATGTGGAAAGCCGCGCATCATCTCTTTGCCGAACCAGGATCAGTTCAAGGGCAAGATCATCCACTCTTGCGAACTTGACGATTTGGACTATACTGGAAAGTCTGTTGTTGTGATCGGCGGCGCTGCAAGTGGAGTCGAAGTTGCCGAAACAGTTGTGGCTAAGGGTGCCAAAAAAGCCACGATTCTTGCTCGCTCAGACAAGTGGTTTATCCCGCGCAACGTCATTCTGGATTCATGCCTCAGCATGTTCCCTTACATTTTCAAGACTCTCACCACACTGGTTCCCGAACAATTGATCCGTCGTCTGCACTATCGTGACTTGGAGGAAAAGATGACGCCCACTTTCCCCTTGTACAGCTCCACGCCTGTGGTTAACAACGCATTTTTCCGTCTTGTTCGTCAAGGCTCTGCAGACTATCACCGTGGTGAAGTGACAAGTGTTAAATCGGATGGCTTGGAGTGGAACTACCGCTTGCGTAGCCAGCGCAAAGGTGAAGAAGGTGAGAAGAAATTTATCAATGCAGATATTATTGTGCTTGCTTCTGGTTATCATCGCCCATCTATGGACTTCTTGCCTAAAGATCTCTTCCCTGATGGCTATTCCGGCCCTAATATGTATCTCCAGTGCTTCCCTGTCCATGATCCTAGCATTGTGTGTACCAACGCGACCTATGTCGATGGGTTTGGATCCGTGGGAAGTCTTCACATTGGAATATACGCTCGTCTGTTGGCTCTTTTCTTACGTCGACCAGAGACTCGCCCCAGTTCACAATTCATGCGATTTTGGGTGGATACTGTTCGAATCTTCAAGAGAGGCTTCTTCGGTGGTCCACTGGAATTCTTTACCTATCCAGAGGTATGCATATGGCTTGCGGTATGTATGCTCCAATGTCCCGAACGGATACCTTATTTCTTCTTTGTAATGTTCGGATTTGGGGAATGGTACGTCGCCAAAGACGGCAGCTCTCGATTCCGTTACCCGATTATGAACTTCTGGAGTAGGATTATGAAGCAGCTTCATCGCCTCCCGTTGGAGCGTCCCCAATTTTATATTCCAGGTCCACAGCAACGTGTATAATCTCTATCACCGCTTAATTAAAATGTAGTTAGTTCAGTGTACTGATTTAATTTGAGTTCACTATCTAAAGGAGTGGCTGGTACCTTGTCTTCGTGCCATGGCTGGCACTTACTTTTGCTGCACTCAGTACTGTTGTTGGGGAGTGAAGAAAATTTACATTCAAATGAGGAGCGGAAATTTACGAGCGACCTTGGAAGCATTTGTAACGCTTGATAATTAAATAGTGTCTGCACTGCTAAACAAAATTGGTAGTCTTAAAGGCTGAAACGTCATATGCATCGATTCGAGAGAAATATTGTACAAACAAGAAACATTGCTTCGCACGTTTCAATCACTTGTTCCAAAGTAGAAAGACGTCGAAAGATAGCGATGCGTCCGCACACAATAGACTAGAAAAGTCAATAATTAAATGAAAAATTAACAGAAATCATACGACCCATCGGCGCAAAATGATTTCTTGTTCAAGACGGCTGATTTTGGGCGGCAGGGATACCTGACAATAACTTTCTCACAGAATCAGATCCTGGGAAAATTTTTGAAGTTGCATCTTTTGTTTCTAATACGTCAAGCCTCTGGTTACGAACGCTGACCTGAAGCTCCCGTCGGCGACAGGATTTGGCAAACAAAAGGCCGCAAGCATTGCAAAGCGTCCTGGGGCCAGCTGGGCCTTTACGCCACTCCGGTGTTGAGGTCGTGTGACAAGCATGACATACATTATTGTCCATCCCTTTTGAGCGATTGCGTGATTTTCGAGGCTTTGACATTTGCTTGCAATGAGTTGATGGTGATTTTATATTGCTGAGCGATCCCATACAGGCGTTTCGAGCCGGTTTATGATTGATATGCGAGTAATACGTATTGGAAGTAGTTTGTTTGTCAGAATGAGATTGCAACATATCAGCACACTCTTGCTTTATTTCGTCGTCAGGTAAGTCCTTTGAAGACAAATTTTGGTGAATGCTCTCAGTGTAGCGGGGACGAATTTTTGAACTATGCTCCAAGCCCGCAGGCACGGTATAATGAAACTGGAACTTTCCATTCAAAGATGGCGGCGCTTCACTTCTAAGTGAAGATACATTTGCATGCCATGCAAAGCGCCTGTTCGGTTCAAGTGACGCATCCATGGGCTCGAAGGCACTGGAGACCAGGCACTTTTGACATGTGAGTGGTTCCAGTCTGACATGCTTGAAAGTTTCCATGTCCAGTTTTCCCAGGTCTTCCCTGTCAGAAGAATTGTGCATGGGGTAAATCTGGAATTTCCGTTTCTTTTGTGATGCATCAAAGCGTAGTAGTGCTTGTCTCACGGCCAGCGTGTCCACTGATGTTAAACTGTGCGACTTTTTATACAGTCCAGAGTGAGAGGCAGCCGGTGGGTCGTTTGTTGGGTCCTGCTCAGATTCAGAGAACAAGCCACAAGGGTTAGTTGTCGTAGGATAAGAGCCCCTCGGAAAAGTCACAGCTCGTTTCAGCGGAGGTGGCAAACGATAATTACCATTGGCTGATTGCTGCAACAATTGGTTGACGGGAGGGAGATTCGCCACAGTTTGGTTAGAAGCTTTCTCAGCCACCAAAGGGATACGGTCATCTCTGGCAACATAGTACTGCTGTTGACGACAAGACTGAAGTGGTGACGGCATCACTTCCAATTATTCGGGTCTTACCCTACAACAATCAACACCGAGACAACAAGCGCACCAAACTGGCTACCTCTGCAGTCAGCTTAAGATATAGGTGGGACCTCAGATAGAGGTAATGTCAAAAACAGAACCTGCCAGAACCGAAGAGGCAACACACGATTGAAGACGCCACTCGGTCTATAGGTGGGTGTTAAAACGTCCTTAGAATTTGGACAGCCCTTGAGTTTTGAAATGCCTATCCTAAGTCGTGTTTGCACAAAATTAAACCGAGCCACAACTGCAGAATAAACCGTACGAGAGAACCAATACGCAAACTTGTTATCGGACTATAATTATATGTACAAGCTTAGCGCCACCGACTGTGCGAGTCGAGTTAAGCCGTCACAGCCCAATTAAACTTAGTAATCTGGCTTGACTTGGTTGACCAGCATCAAGATTGCAACAAATCAGCACACATTTAATGAAACCCTAACACCCTTGCATGTGACTAATCTTTCTACACATGCCGCCCATACCGGCGAGCGGAATAACGAGATCGGTTCCTTCAAGTCCCTTCCCCTTTCTCCCGAGGAGTGTCACATGATGTACATGGCGGCTGGTATGTCAAATGAGTCTTTCTAACGTTTAGTAACATACAATTTAGAGCTTGACATATGGATATAATCCAACGTAGATCTTCCAAGATCGGCGTCAATTGATCGTGCGCTGGCCAGCCAACGAATACGAGTGACGAGATTCGACTCATGGTGATGGAGTTCGTAACATCAACGATTTCAGAGTATGAGCGTTGGTCGTTTGTGATGGGATGGTACGAAAACACGCTCAATAGATGACTTGGCTGACACAGGTGAGGGTTTCGTATGTATATTATTGATGTTCTCGGGAAATTCGGAGGTTGACACGGTATCTCTTCGGCTGGTTGAAAAAAAAAAAAAAAAAAAAAACAGTATTGCTTGCTGGGTAATTGTCTACACACCGTGAGTCTTCTTCGTCGTACCGAATACTTACGCCGTGCCTTGCTCATCATTGTTGAATTCATTTGCCTTGCACATGATGCTGATCGATGCTTCTGCGCATATAATATGGATCAACTACACTTGATTGCGCTTTATAGGCTTTCCCTGTATTCAGTCAAATTCAAGAAAACTATGCTCTTAAATCGACTGAAGGCATTTCTATCTGGTTTATCCTGATTTGGCTGGGAGGCGATGCATTCAATTTGTTGGGAGGAATTCTTCAAAATGTCCTTTTCACTATGGTGTGTTTGATGCACTACGGCATTTCTTTTTTTTTCTAACCTAAAGATAAGTTTGGCCGGCTATTACTGCTTGTGCGATTTAATTCTTATTTGGCAATGGTGGTATTACAGGAAGTACTACAGCAATGGAAAACTAATTCAAATGGATGATGACGAGGCCGGTGGTGGAGCTCCGTCTGAAGAAACGCCACTTGTCTATCGTCGTGATCGGCGGGAGTCAAACTCAATCATCTCAGCGTTGCGTCATGTTGGCCACGCCGTCGATAATGCCATAAACATCTTCTCGCCTTACCAGCTGGCACTTATCAAGTACACTTTGACAACAATTTTTGTGCTTATCACTGCAGTTGTGGCATACCATACGGCGGATAATGCATCAGTCTATGTAAATGCATTGAAGAGCGTAGACACGCCCAATACACAGACTATGACGCTTCGCTGGGATGCACAGTTGCTTGGTTGGCTAAGTGCGCTCCTATACCTGTCTTCGCGGATTCCCCAGATTTTTAAAAATCAACAAACTAAGTGCGCTGGTTTAAGTCTTGCGCTTTTCATTTTTGCCGTTGGCGGGAATGTGACATATGTATTGTCGATTCTGCTCATGGATACATCGACAGGTTATTTGATTGAAAATGCAAGTTGGATTGTTGGCAGTGTCGGGACCATCTTTTTGGATTTCATCGTTTTGTACCAATTCATTAAGTATGCACCTGACCGCCGCCGCATTGAAGCTGGCTATCCACATCACTTGTAATACCCTTTATCGTATCGTAACATTGATTTAGTCACTACTAGCGTACAAAATTAGGCACAGGGTAGTTAATTCAGCGTTATGGCGCGTGCGATATGCCCGACACGTGGCGGACGGTCCACACGTAATAAACATGAAGAAATGAAATCCCAGAAGTGATGACAAAAGTCATTCATTAACGCATTGTTTGACCGCGTCGCAATATTACACTTTGTGCGACGGATTAGACCGTGACAGGAAGGGCTGCTCTGCCCTATTCGACACCTAACTCTGGTCAACACGGAATCTTTGGCAGATGGCTGCTACATATGCAAATGATGTGACTGATCAAGACTACTCGCCCCTCCTGGTCGAGTTCCCAGAGTCTCCACGGATTCGCTACACGCATAAATATTCAGAGTCAGACGATGAGCATTATGGATGCCCTTCTGACGGCGAGGAGAGACTGGGAGATGAGATTGAGCCAAACTGCAATTCTTATTCCAGCACGATTTCCAAAAGAGATGATGACCAACCGCTCGCAGACGCAGAGTCTGTGGATGTGCTAGCTGCACATGATCGGATTATCCGGCACGAAAAAGCCAGACAGAATAACGTAGCACTTATGATTCTTGAAGGAAAGGTTCCTGCAAGTAATCAGTCTCAATTGATTCAGCGCAGCCGCAGTATGCCACACCGTCGAAAACAGGGGACTCGTGTGCAGCGCGCAGAGCGATCGCCAAAGCCGCCTACTTATCCTGGGCTGCAGCAGTCGAGACCTTCAACTCTGGAGCCAAAAATACACCCAACATCTTCTTTGACGCAGGCAAATATGCCCTCATCAGCAGGTATAGCAACTGGGTCGCGTCGTGCCGTCACAGCTCCGATACAGACACGAAATATCACTGATACTTCCTACGATGTTAATACGCCGCACATGGGCTGGGACAAACAAATGAAATCTGTGCAAGCAGCTATGGCAAAAATGAATATACAGTCACCAAGTCAAGGTGTTGCTCAAAATGCTATGCGAATTTTCTTACAAACAACGCAAAAGTACTTGGTCGTCCCAATGCATGAGAAAACAGTCGTTTGGAATGCGCTCCAGTATATATTTGCGCAAGGAGGGGTTCCAACTTCAATGGGTGCGCACAATAACTGGGCTATATTTGACGTTTTGCCTGATTTAAGTCTGGAACGTCCGCTGCGAGAATATGAGCGCTTATATGAGGTTTCTCGTGCACGCGGATCCAATACAGGATTTTTTCTTGTCAAGATGGTGGATTGGCCAGAACTATTGCGTGCTGCGTCGATACCATCTTTTTCCTCAATCCTGGGTGGATTTGTCTCGATTCAAGCTGAAGATGGATGGACGCGGCGTTGGCTTGAGCTTCGAGAACATGCGATATTTGTTGCTAAGTCAGAGACAAGCAAACCAGATGGCTGCATATGTTCGATGTTGGATGTGGATATATATTTGGGCGACCCACAACGTAATACAGGGCCGAAAGGCTTTTCTTTTGCTTTGCGAACTCAAGGTTCACATGCAACCACCTTGCTTCTTGCCGCACAGTCAGATGAAGCAGCGCATAATGACTGGTTTAAAAACATATATCGCGCTCGATCATATGTGCTGTGCCAGGAACGGCCAGATTTGCTTAAAGCGGCGAGAGCGGTTGAACGTACAGAACAAAAAGTCGCATCTATCAGACGTACTAAAAGTGTCCGAAAACAAGCGGCACTTCAAAGAAGCAATGCGGCTCAACACTCGCGAGCATCTTCACAATCTAGTGCTCCTCTTATTCAAAATGATGCATTTCATATGCAATTTGAAAGGGGCAGCCTGCTTGACTCTATGGAACGTTCAAAACCCATACATTAATAAGTACTGTAATATTTTTATCAACTTCTGACAACATTTTGTAACTTGAACTTGTTTCGAACACGCACGGCTTATGAGAGTGGAGACAGACCGTCATTCGCGATAGGGCTGAAATCTCTCAAAATATGTGCTAATTCAGCCTAGTTATTGTCCTGCTGAGTAAATCTGAATACGATGAGTATGGTCAGGACGTTTCGTGTCATAGTTAGGGTGAATACCATCCCGGCTAGGGAGACGCGTCTCTAGTCTTTGGTGCATGAGCCTGCGCGTGTGCTTACATTCAGCAGCATGCGTGAGACGAATTTTATTTTCTTGCAATGAGATCAAGACATATCATTATCGACCAAAGTGCGCGAACTCATGGACGCGAGTTGCAAAACAAGGCATGGTAAAGAGATGGGCCACGACGTTGCCATCAGCAGATTTAGATCACGAAGCTAGCACGACTGATCAGAGCACCTCCGATAAAAGTCTTGACGCACCCAGCAATCCTGTAGGTGTTCAGCTACTTGAGCGCCAAGTGCACCGGCAGTTATTTCCTCCAACATCCATGCAAATACCTGTGGTGGATGAACTAGCATTGAACGTTTGCCAAGATCATTTACGGCGACATGACTTGCATGCATCTAAAGCTTCGCATTTAAGGCCTACTTCATTTGTTCTGCCGCCATTACAAGGCAAAGATCTGGGTGAACACTTTTGGACCATTGGACGTCAGTCGGTTCATCCCTGGCTAGAGTATGCAGAACGGCTCTCTACGGCGCAAATTCCAGCGCCACCGGTGGCTGAAACAGACGTTGATACTTCAAAACACTGGGATCCACAAAGTTGGCTTGCTCTTGATGACACACTTCGCGCGAGCGTGCCGCTGAAACCAGCGACTTTCTGTACAGCTCATGGATGGACAAAGTACCCATTTTTGCGCACATCGGAGGGGGAAATAGCGGGTTTTGGAGAACCAGTACAAGTCCCGTATCCTGATGAGCAGGACTCGGCGTTAGTCTTTGATGTTGAAGTCCTGGTCAAAGTCAGTCCGTATCCGGTCATGGCTGTGGCCGTTGGGCAGCAGGCGTGGTACTCGTGGTTAAGTCCATGGCTTGTTCAACAGGGACCAAGACATCAAAGTCCTGCGCACTTGATTCCAATGGGACCAAGAAAGACAAGTGCTTCGGTACCGCGTCTAGTCGTGGCCCACAATGCAGGCTTCGACCGCGCTTGTGTGTTAGACGAGTACTCCCTGCACGCGTCTAAGATCCGTTGGCTTGACACCATGAGCTTGCATGTGGCTACGAACGGCATTTCATCGCCACAGCGAGCGGCCTGGACCGAGCATACTCGGGTAAGAGCTATACGGCGCCTTAACAAGTTATTTGCCGCACAACGTGTTGAAGAAGACACCCGGGAGCAAATCCGCAAGTTGCTGGGAGCAGGAAATCTCGATGATAAAGCATTGTCTGAGTTGCGCATGCAACAGCTGAATGACATTGCCGAAGAAGTACAGGAATGTCTGAGCGAGAACATACATGGACTCAATACATCTCTCGGTTTGGACAATCCACTGTTGCAGACGGACGATGACCACAATCAGGTGCTATGGCAAGATGTTACATCACAGAATTCCTTAGCGGATGTAGCTGCGCTGCATTGTGGCATCCACGTGGACAAGGGGATTCGGGATGTGTTTCTATCCAGCACATCCCGAGAAGAAGTAGCCGCGCAACTACCATTACTGCTCGCCTATTGTGCGTCGGATGTAAGCACGGCATTTTCTGTCTTTACCAAAGTGTGGCCTGCTTTTCGCCGCAATTGTCCACACCCTGCGACGTTGGCGGGGGTATTGGGACTAGGAAGTACGTTTCTGCCATTGGATGCGACCTGGACAAACTACCAGCAACAAGCAAAAGCGAAGTTTGACGAAATGAATGCTAACGTCGTAACTACGCTGAAAAAGCTAACGTATGATCTTGTTGAGGCAGGAATCCAAGACATTGATCGGGCAAGTGAAACACCGGCAAAGGACCGATGGTGGGAGACGGACCCTTGGTATAGCCAGTTGGACTGGTCGCCCAAACGACCCAAAACTCTTGATGCATCGGCATTTGTACCGGCTTGGTGGCGAGATCGCGTGGCGAATGCAAAGACGAAACTTTCCGCGCGTGTAAAGATTGTGCCGCAGCTACTGCAGCTACAGTGTGATGGCAATTGGGTTGTGACGGATGGAAAACGCTGGGCCATGCAATGTGGCGAAGGCACTGTGGAATTGCCAGGCTCTCCTCTTTCGCAGGCTGTGCGCAAGAAACACGTCATCACTAGCGGAGGGGGAGCGTTGGCTGAGAAAGCACTAAATGCTGTCTTGATAAGCTCTCGCGACTCGGATAGCATTATGCGAGAGCTTGCTCTGATGATTCGCGATCAGGGACACCGTGATCAGCCGGGCTTGACACAATTAGACTGGACGCCCGTGCCATACCACGATCCAGCCGCCCAAGCTCCTTGGTGGCCTAAGTGGTATTGGGACTTATACGATGCTCAGGCTGAAGATGTGGAAGTGACTATCCGGACCAAAATAGCGCCGATTCTGCTGAAAATTGCTTGGGATGGTGCACCGATCTTCCGCAGTCGTGAACATGGCTGGGTTTACCGACGGACGCACGCTCATCCATGCGATGCAACACCCCTTACATTTTCCCACGCGGCTGACACAGCTCTATCACAAGGTATTTTCTATAAACTGCCACATGTGAACGGCGATGGAAGCAATGTAGGTAATCCGTTCAGCAAGGGATTTCTGCCGTACTTTGAAAATGGCAGACTGCGAAGTTTGCATCCTAGTGAGCAAAGTGCCGAAGCTGCACGTGCAGCGCTGGAAATGAATGCTCAGTGCAGTTATTGGATTAGTGCACGCGATCGCATTGAGAAACAGATGGTCGTCTGGGATGGCGAAGCAGACACCTGTATGGGATTTGATGACACGCAAATGCGAAGAGGCATGATCTTGCCCCAGGTCATTACGATGGGCACTGTGACGCGCCGAGCGATTGAGAAAACGTGGCTTACTGCCTCTAATGCGAAGAAAAACCGGATCGGTAGTGAGCTAAAATCAATGGTGAAAGCATCACCAGGCTGGAGTATTGTCGGTGCAGATGTCGACAGTGAGGAGCTGTGGATCTGTAGTGTGATGGGCGATGCGCAGTTTGGTATTCATGGCGCTACAGCGATTGGCTGGATGACGTTGGAAGGCTCAAAAGCACAAGGGACGGACCTGCACAGCAAGACGGCTTCGATTCTTGGTACAAGCCGTGACCAGGCTAAAGTGTTCAACTACAGCCGTATTTACGGTGCCGGCATTCGGCATGCGATGCAGCTCTTACTCAAGGCAAACCCGAGTATGCCTGTCGATGAGGCCTCTCGGCGGGCGAAGCAGCTGTATGCTGCCACAAAAGGCCAGAACACGCGCTCCCAGAAATACTTTGGGCGCCGATTCTGGTACGGGGGCACAGAGAGCTTTGTATTCAACAAGCTGGAGGAAATTGCCCTGAGTGAGCAGCCTCGCACACCCGCTTTGGACTGCGGGATCACCGCTGCGTTGTCCAAGCAATTCCTCCCGAAGACGCGCGGTTCCGCGCAGCAGGACTACATGCCCAGCCGTATCAACTGGGTCGTTCAGTCCAGTGGTGTGGATTATCTGCATTTATTGATTACGTCCATGACGCATCTTTGCAAGACATATGATATTGAAGCACGATTCATGCTCAGTGTGCACGATGAAGTCCGCTACCTGGCGCGGGATTCAGACAAGTACCGCGCTGCTCTTGCGCTACAGATCGCGAATTTGTGGACCCGCTCCATGTTTGCATTCAAGCTCAACATGGGCGACGTGCCTGAGTCTTGCGCATTTTTCGCGGCAGTGGACATTGATCATGTGCTACGTAAAGAAGTCGATGACCCATGTGTGACCCCATCGCAATGGGAGCCAATCGAGCCAGGTGAGTCGCTCGATATTCATACCATCCTGGAGCGCACGAATGGCTCGCTCTTCCGCGATGGACGTCCCATGCCCCGGCCGTCTAGTGAGCTGCATGAGTCGCCTGCATGCACGCAGGACCCCGGCTGGCCAGCTTACGTGCCATCGACGCAGCAACACAGGTGTCTCGGTGAGGCGGGTCTTTTGTACTTGCAGGCACAGGCATCAGCTGACATTGACGAAATTCGCGCATTGCACAATCGACTGCAGCGTCAACATGCACGTCATCCACAACCTAGGAGGCAACGAGCCACGTTATTACATATGCCATCCGTCCGGACAGTGACTACGAGCGCGGAAAAATCAGCTGCCGCGCATCAACGTCTCCAGCAGCATAGTACGCGAAAAACACGGCAGATGGAATCTTTGTTGGCTTTGGAGGCGATGTTGCCAAAGAAACAATCGCATCGAGACCCGAAACGAAAAAAACGGAAGAACCAGGTTCGGGCTCCCATGTCCAAGAGCCGGAGTCGAGGCTCTCCGCAGCCTAAGTCAACCAGGCCGATGCATCTTTCTGGCGCTCTTTTGCCGCCTTCCTTGTTTAACAAACCCATGCTTCGATACAAGCCGTATCAACCAGCACAAATGAATATGATGATTAGCTCTAGACGTCGTGCGCGCAATAAGCGATTGCAGCGCTGGGACGAAGTCCAGGAAATCAAATTCTTAGCTGAGACAGAGGCTCAGGCTCGCGTACGAGATGGATTCTTCGACCGAGTAAATGAGTGGTGTAAGTCCGACACGCAACTCGAGTGGCTGACATACAGACGAGCGATATGCGCCCTATGAGCAAGAGCTGCTCGCACAGTTTCAGCGCGAACGAGAACGCGCTCAAATGGTGTTTCCACCCGAGCTGCTACGTCGGGCTAAAGAGGCTCGACGCGCAAAGCATGCATACTGTGTCAAAAGGAAACGGCGGCACATGCGGCAACAAGTGCAGATGGCGTCCTTCGATCATGATACCCAGACTACAACATCATAACTTGCTATGCACTATCTTCGACGGCGCCATCGTCTTCATCGCTCATTGAATAGGGTATAGACTTGAGCTCTTTGGCTCGTGAAGCGCGCCATCGTGGCGGCGGCACAGGACCATCGTACTCCAAGGAAGGCAAGCCGTACGCTTGAGAATGCAAAGTACGTCCCGCGTAGGTTGCTGGACCGGCCGACGGTAACGTCGCGTGACTATTGTTGGCTTCACGAGTTTGTGAAGCATTGAGACGGAAGAATGACAGTGTCGAGTTTGTTGCACCGACCACAATCGACAAGGTAAGCAGGGAAAAAAGCTTGCGCATTAGCACGGATATCGCGTATACATACCATGGTTTTCCAGCTCACGACATCGACAAACCCATTCAAAATTTCGGCAAATGTTTCAGCTGTGACTCGTGCACGGCCAACGACGGTGGGATCGCGCGATGCGCATCGCTTCCATGCGTCACAAGCCTCAGCAAGCACGGGCGCTTGCAGCTCAGTACCGCACCTGTTGGATGTGTAACGCACATTGCACGTGGAGATCTCGCCCAAGTAGTCTGCCAAGTTAGATCTAATGTCACGCCCACTCGCTGCAAAGTGAGGCTACATACCTAGCTCGTACTCGCGCACCTTTTGAGCGACATCGTGCTGGATCGTCCATACAACATTAAAGAGTAGGTACAAGAAAACGAACAAAATGCTAGCATTGAACAGCACTTGTGCGTACGTCAGTAAGGTCTCGGGCCGCTGCAGCAACGAGTAGGAAGGGCGTTTCAACCGCGCGCCACGTACTCGATCCAGCTTCTCGCTCGACTGAGTAATAGCATCAGCCTTAACAAGAGGGCCAGACTGCTGCTTGTCTTTGGAAGCAGAGGGTGCAGACTCGTCTGTTGCCGGCATCGCGTCAGAGCTGTGAGCCTGAGTCTGCTGCGAATGGACTGCAGTCGTTCCGCCACATGGCAAGGAGGAGCCTGTTGACGGTGACGGATGTGCTGCCGCAAAATGTGGGAGAACTCCTGATAGTGCTGTGTGACTTTTTTCGATGGGCATGGCAGTGAAGGATGGCAAGTCTGTGTCAATATCCATAAGCGATGCATCTGGCGATGTCATGCTCAAGTCAGGCACGGACCCTTGCGATGGATCATCGAAAATAGATGCTTCGTATAAGCCCAAACTGGCACATGTCTTTTCCAACGTACGCTTTCGTGGACCCAGCTCTGTAATGTCCATGGGTGCCTGCGTCCCCCTTTGGTACGCTGCCATGAGCCCAATCGAACCAACTCTATTAACAGGATTAAAAGAATTCCTCCATCTTCGCCCACATCTACCCACACACTACAACACACAGAACTCGCACGATTCCCTCCAGTCTAACAACAAACACACACACACAACACACGCGCAAACGAACCTGGTCGGCTGCACCTAACGCGGCCGCGGCCCAACACTGTCCACTCACACACGTTCGCCGCACTTCTGACATGTTGTGTGCCTCACGTGATCAGAATGATCACACTCGCAAAAGCACATGTGGTGAGCCTCTCAGGCCCCCCCACTAGTAAGAAAAGGCGCGCCACGCACCGACCACCGACGACTTGCCGCCGTCATGCCGCGGAACCTGCTGTGCCCGCCAATGCGGTTCGGCACGGTAGCATTTCCCCTGCCTGCTCAAGACTCAGACTCCGACTCGAGTTTAGGACCGTCATCGTCGTCTCGCGTGACTTCGTTTTCCGAGTGCGTGTATCGTGGCGCATACCCCAAGCCGCGAAATCTGCGGTTCCTTGAGACTCTGCATCTTCGTACTATAATCTCGCTCACACCCAAGCCTATTACGGACGACGAATCTCTCGAAACATGGTCGAAATCGCAAAATGGCGGAGCTGGCATTCACGTCGTGCATGTACGAACGGAAAAGCCGAAAGAAGATTCTGGCGGCTTGACGCGCGAGGGTGCAGCTCGTGCGCTCATGGAGGTGCTGAATTCTGAGAATCTCCCCTTGTATATCCATTGCCTGGACGGTGTCGATGTAACGTCCACGCTCATTGCGTGCCTGCGGAAGATTCAAGGCTGGAAGGAGCCAGCCATTCATGACGAACTGGCTCGTGGCGTCTATGCATCGACTTCCAAGTCGGCCGGCCCCAAAGAGTCAGCACCGAAGCATCTTTTGCAGTTTGTTGAGCGATTCGGTCAACCGGATGGTGTACTGCTCCCCCAGCGAGATCGGATTCCTGGCTGGGTCTGGCCGCGTATTAGTGTGCATCTCATGTCGCACGATACTTGGGATAGCCGACCAGCGACAGTGCGTCATCCTACGCTTGACATCCACTTTGAGCGTAGCGAAAGCTACATTGCATCGCAACAAGCACGCTTCGGTGCCGTGTGGGCTGTCTTTGACCATAACCGCTCGCGAACACCCAGTTTGCTCTCTATATCCGACAGTTCTGAAGGAGTTGCGCCCGACATATCACTGGGCAGCGTGAAACCTAGTCCTGTGCCTGAGAGGCAACAGATGTACCGTCGGTTTTCCGACTTTACGCACGAAAAGCTTACGCGCGCGTTTCTCGGACAGCGCGACAGAGATATGGAGCAGCCGTCAGACATGTGCGCGTTCATGTCCGTGGACGATCAGGACCTCCGAACACCACGGGCCAAACCGCAATATGTCGAGGGCGATGTGCCCCCTTTGATCGGGCTGGATCTCCGCACACACAAAGCTGTGGCTGCGCGAGCAGCTGAGACAGATGCATTAGCTGGTGGTGCCGTATCTCCCGATGAACGAACGCCATTGGTCGTTGCTCAAGATGCGCAAAAGCATCGGAAGCCTGAGGCATTTCAAACCGAGGAGCCGGATGACATTCCTCCGCTAGGCCTTTCGCCGCACAACGCTATGGTGGGCGAAGACAATGATGACCGTATCGTAGACCTGGTTGACGATATGGAAGAAGAGTGTGATGATATGGACGATGATGCGGAGCAAGAGGAGCCGAGTCTTGCTCTCCAAGCACTCAACTTGGAGGGGTACTGAACGTTTGTAAAGGTAATATAACGAATGAATGTACTATAGGAAAAAAAGAAGTCGATAATAGAAACGAGGGTAAGAAACAACGTCTAGCCCACAGGTTCGCCATGGACGCGTACGCGATAGAGGCATGTGAAATCGCGTAAGCCATGGTTGCTCAGGATATTGAACTGAACCGTGCGGAAAGCCAGTCCAAGAGAGCCTACAGCGTGGCCCACAGGGAATGTCTGAATTGGTGGAGACCCAGCATGCGCCTCATACACAAACGAGCCTAGGAATACATGTGATGGTGAAGGTGGCACGGGCGCTGGCTCATCTGACCATGCCTGCGATAAGCGCCACTGTTCCACACGCTCGCGGTCCTGACTTGTCTCGGCAATGCCCCAAACCTCGATTTCTCGAGGCGCAGACGCTAGTCCGTCGAGTGAGAGAACAGCCGGTACATGATCCACAGTGATAGCTTGTACTTTGATGCGCCGCACTAGCTGGACGCCCAACTGTCCGTGCGAGCCCGAGAACGGCCAGCACATGCCAGGCGAAGTATCATGGTGCAAAGCCACAACAGGCATGCGGCCTCGCACGGTGTACGATAATGAATCTGCACCACGAGTACCAAATCTCAAAGGCAGCGGCACCAGATACGAAATCATTGACGTAAAACTGTGTACATTAGTGCCTTGAACGCGCACTTCATGCGTCGGACTCGTGAGACTGGGAATCACCCGTGCTCCTGCTGAGTACTGAGCGTAGTCAGCACGCCCAATCTGGTCGGCAGCAAATACGGCAAGCGCTGCATCGATGAGCTCTCGAACTTGATCAACCTGCAGTTCTGAACCTGTTTCATCATGGCTCAATGCGTCTTGCTGCTCCATAAACGACTCTTGCTGTTTCCGCACTTTCTCCAGTACATCAGACTCAAGGCCATGTACGTGCTCGTTGAAACGAGTCGTCAGTTCCATCTTGGCGCGAGAAATTTCGGCCTCCATCAGGTCGAAGAATGTCGTTTTGTCCAAGAACATAGACGTGTCAGGATCAGCACGCGCCACGTGAGAGAACAGCTCCTCCAACTCATTCCTATGCTCAGCCAGGAACACGTGCCAGGGAGGTATAGTGGTATCATCGCCTCCAGCGCCTCTTGGTGAAGGCATAACCTTACGAAATTCATGCCAAAAAGCAGGATCAATGCGGATCTGTTTGGAGCGTGCATCATACCTAACAGGCAAACGGTCAGGCACGAAGTCGCGAAGCGGCTCAAAGGCGCGCTTCGCCTGTAATGCAGCTTCCGACGCTTCTGACACTTGCTTTTCTGCACGAGCAAGTCTCTTCTCGAGCCCAGAGAGCTGATCATAAAGTGCGGCCAAGTTATCCTTTTTGTTCTTCGATTTCTCGCCTTGCTCGATGTGCTGCGACAGCATAGCTTCGATTCGCGCCTTCTCCGACTGCCACAGCGACATGCCTTCTGCGTGGTGCTTTTTCAATGAGCGCACATCACGTTCAAGGGAATCGAGACTCGAGCGCAGCAAGCCTTTCTGCTCTAAGCTAGAAAGTCGATGCATCAACTTCTCTTGGGATACACGCATCTCTTGTCCTACATCACCCACAGATTGCCATACCCTGTTCAGCGCACCTTCCAAAACAGATATGCGTTCACGTAGTTCATCACCCGAGCCAGCCGACGACCATGGACGCGATTCAACAAGAGGATCATTAGGGGTTGGCGAGGAAACGAACTTGTGAACATTTCGATAAATAATGAAGAGTACTGCGATCACAAGGAAACAGCGGAAAAGGACAGTCCATACCGATGAAGATGAGGACAGGGAGAAGCCCGAAGCTGACTCAAACTGTGAGTCACCACGCGTGTTCTCTGGATGTATGTTCTTGTGTTTTTCGTCAGTTGAGGAGGAAAGAAACTCATCCCGCTTGGTTGAGTTTAAGACTGAACGGAATAGCCCCGGTACCTGCGGCGTCGGCTGAGCTTCAAACACAGGGTCATCCGCCTTCTCGAGCTCTGGCGTTGTAGACGGGGGATCGGCATCAGCCAATCCATCATGCTCCGAAGCGTGCTGCCTCCATTCTGACTCGACTCGTTCCATGAATTTATCCTCTTCAGCATAATCGTACCCACTCAGGTTAGCGTTTTGAGTGGCACTGTGAACATACGACCTAGGCGTGTGCGGTGGGCGTTGTGACCCACGAAGCAGAGAGCCCAGGCCGGAGAGTGAATCATCCACAGAAAGATCATTATGGTCTTCTTCGTATGGCCTGAGGTAGTAGCTGCTAACCTGGGATGGGTCGCGCGTGGAATACAGAGATGATGTCCAAGCTGATGTATCCATCGCATTGGACTTGCCTCTTCGCCCCCGGCGACGAGACGAGTTGGTCAATCCCATATCAGGCATGCTCGCATTGCCAACAGACGATGCGCTCAGTCGTGCTGACCGCCGCAACGGCGAGGCTGTCCCCCCATTCACACTATTGGCAAAGCCAATGTTAACTTCATTGCGCATTGGGTTTAGACACGTTTCTAAGCGACTTCCCCTGCCGCAACGTTACCAAACCGTGCCGTGTTAGCACCAATTGTGTGAGGCGGAGTGGACGCAACAAAACATGTCGGCCGAAACAGGCGCCCAACACAAATACGTACGGCCTATGAGATTCCATGCAAGTAGTTGGTGTAACATGGTTGGTTGCGCAAGCAAGGCCATGACAACGCCATCCACGTTAAGCTCCGGTAACTAGCCTCTTTATGATAGGCAAAGAGGTTATATAAAGCCGGGCTTAGGTTCCGGGAACCTTGACATCGTCAATCATCTTGGCTTTCTTGCACGACCTACAAAGATCTAACAGCTTCCTAATTTATTGCTTGTGAACTTTTGAAAGAGACGGAAATGTTGCGCCTTCACGCTCGTCCTTCTGTTGTCTTGGTGGGAGCTGCCATGGCTATGGCTTACGGCTCCTATGTCATGAATTCTCGCAAATTTTCGCATGCTATTGCGTTACAGAACGGAAACCGTTTCGTGCCGGTGGAACGCAGTTGTGGTGGCCTTTGAGCGGGGCACAATCCTCACCGGTCGATTCGATAAAGATTTTTCAATGTCTTGAGGAAAAGTATGTCCTCATTTCTCCTGAACGAGAACTTGTGTTATGAATTATGATACTGTATGGTTATTGAGCACACTGGATGTGCTCACGAATCTAGTTACGACACTACTCAAACCTCCGATTACGACTCCGCATACCATGAAGCGAGCATGGCTTGTCACTCTATTTCTCCTCCTTTGGGTAGACAAGTTATGCGCGCGTGAACTTTTACGATAGATCAGGCACGATTAAATAGAAAAGGCAATCGCATGAATCTTGCTTGAATGGCGACGCCATGAAGGCTCGTGCCTCCTCATGATAAATCTCTTCCGCTGTAAGGCACCGGGGTAAACCGTATTTTCATGTCACCCCGATCATCGCTACAGGCACGCGGGGAGAAAGATGACCTAAAATCTCGGCGCGCAGAAATTGTCGCAGTGCTTAGTCATGATTCGTGCACTCAATGCGCACGTTGCCAATTGCATACACCAGGACACCGGGTGACTGGTCGCATACGCATCAGGAGAATGCAAGTGACACTAGGACTCATCAAACCTACGGTGTGCGCATATCGACCTAACGTGCTTCGTGCATTGCGAAGAATTCAAGCACTGAATTCAATCGAGGTAGGACAAAAAAAGAAAAATACATACTGATCCAAAGATTGTTCGCACGAAGTCAGTGCAATGGAACACGAATGACGCAGCGGCATTTTACGCAGAACATCAGGGCAAGTTTTATTATAACCGTTTGATTCTTGGCATGACATCGGGACCATCACTTGCCCTGGCATTATCTGGGCGTGATGCTATCCGAACTTGGCGAGAACTGATCGGACCGACGAAGGCATATCGTACAGCATGGGAACAGCCCCACACTCTTCGTGGAGAGTTCGGTTTGGGGGACACGCGAAATGGTTTTCATGGTTCTGGTATGTATGAAGTGCTTTGTTGACACAGATTCCATCGCATCAGCGCTGGCCGAACTGTCGTTGGTGTTTCCTGAGTGGAACGCGGGCACATGGCTTGGAGAAGCCGAACGAAAAAACGTAGAATGACATTTTTGAACATGCTTGTGAACTTAAATAGAAAATCTGATGCAGCTCTAACTATCTACTCAATCTTGATCGAGTGCGTAGCGTTCTTCTCAATGTCCTCACCAAACACATTGATGTCCCACGGCGGGTCGTACGTGATAGGTACGTTGTAGCGCGTGTGCTTGGCTTCGGTGTAAATGTTCGAAATCTTCTGGTAGTCCTCATCCGAGAGGTCGATCTGAGCAAAGTTCGTCTTGATACGCGTCTCATTGACACTCTTGGGGATGACCGAGTAGCCACGGCGCACACCCCAGGCAATAAGGACCTGTGCTGGCTGAGCGTTATACTTCTTCGCGACTTCAATGACCTGAGGGTAGTCGTAGAGCTTCTTCTCGCCGCGTAGATTGTTGCCCAAAGGCGAGTAAGCTGTGATCAGGATGTTCTTCTGCTTGTGGTACTCAACCACATCGTCTTGAGGCAGCAGAGGGTGAGCCTCAATCTGGTTCACAGCAGGGGCAACACCCGTTGCCTTTGTAATGGCATCAATGTGAGCGGGACTGAAGTTTGAAACGCCAATCGACTTAACCTTGTTGGTCTTCTTCAGTTCGACCATAGCCTTCCAGGTGTCGACGAGCGACGTTTGCAAGTCAAGCTTGGCCTTGCCATTCTCCTGAGGAAGAAGAGTGTCAAAGTCACAGTCAAATGAAACGGGCCAGTGGATCAGGTACAGATCAAGGTAATCAAGACCCAACTCTTGCAGAGTCTGATCCAACGCTTTCTCGACAAGCTCTGGCTTGTGCGCGTTGTTCCACAGCTTGTCGGTGATGAACACATCTTCACGCTTCACGACGCTGGGGAAGACTTTCTTGAATGCAGCGCCAATTTCATCGTGGTTGCAGTAGATTTTGGCCAAGTCCAAGTGACGGTAGCCGGCCTTGATGGAGTGCTCTACGGCAGCACCAACTTCGCCGGGCTGAGACAGCCACGTACCAAGACCAATTTGAGGGATCTTGTTGCCGTCGTTGAGGGTGAGGGTCTGTGCACGGTAAGTTTGACACGTTCATCCTTGCAATCCATACCTTGTTTTGAGACATGATGTCGAAAAGATAGGGTAGTAGATGGGTTGAACAGCCGCGGCTTGTTCATTTGTACCCCCCACCACTACGCCGGGGCCGCCTAGCTACCCACCTACGTGGCGTCCGTGCGGGCCGCTGAGCTGACTGACGCTGACGTCATTTGAATTCAGGATGCAAGTGAAGCGTGGGAGGACGGACATTTGAACGAATTGCTCGCACGTGGAGCGCTGGCGATGAGAACGACAGCGACACCCTCCACATGTGAGTGCAAGCCCCAACGCCCAAGACAAGCTGACGAACTGGCAAACTGACTTGATATTGACGGCATGGGATTTCGCACGGGCTTTGTGATTGCAAGCGTGTGCTTTACGTACGGTATGTGTGAAGGTGGGGAGAAAGTCTCATGCAGAAATAGGACTGTTGTACATCACTTCAACATACGACTATCCACTATTATTCCAGCAAGGGTTTACTCAGAGTGATGTCGACAAGTCCGTTGGATTTTATTTGTCGATGTACCAGGCGCCGCTGAGCGTAAAGGCACTGGTACATAGTGTGTTTGGTCTTGGACTGATTGGCATTGTAGTAAAGATTGTGCGATGGGGCGAGCAGGACAAATATTTTGGATCAGTGAGTCTGCTGCTCTATTTCAGCAGTCTTCTGATGTATGTATCTGTCGAGATTCCGAACATGCGTGTTCTCGCAGCACCTGAGGAAAAGAATATCGTTCACCGCGCTGTTTTCGATGCGGAAGACACAAGAAAGGTGGAAAATTACGAGTTTTACCCTCTCACTGGAAGAGAACGTGCATCAGTGGTCCAGGTCATCGGCGCAACCAATGTCATCATAACAGCTCTCCTGGCCGGCGTGCTTTTGATGCAAGGTGGAGAGTGGTATTCGACTCGACTGGATCGAATTGCAGAGAACAAGCAGCGCCAAGAAATGATCGCGAAACTCGGGGCTGACCGCTCAGTTGAGAAGAAAGTAGATTAGCGATGATACATTCGAGCAAGGCAACTACAAGTTAGAGTGTAGGGAGATATGTGCGTCTTTGTGTAAAGTACATGTATACAAGAAGCCGTCACGTTAGCGCAGATAAGCTGTGAGATTCAAAAAGGCGGGGAGCAAGAAGAAAACAATACACCATCAAACCAATGTGAAGATATCATACAGGAGTTTGAGAGGTAGAAAGCGACGAGTCAATGGTGAATGGGACAGTGGCGTCAGCAAACATATTCGGTGCCGACTCCGTTGATGGTCCACCTAGCGCAACGGCAGTGATTTGTGCCGTGGTTGGTGGCACAGCAACTTCTGGCTTCTGGTTCATTGGGCACGTGCGGGAATTGTGCCCCTTACCATTACAATGCCCGCACTGATACATGGCGCCGAGTCCACTACCGCGGTGACTGTTAGACCGCACAACACGTGGGCGCCCTCGGCCACGTTTCACCGGTTCTGTGCCTGACGGCGGAAGTAGTGGCAGTTCAGTAGGCATCGTTACGCTGCCAGCGGTTGTGTTGTGCTCGCTCATGAAAGCAGCAGTATTAGGGAGGGTTTCACCTTGCCCCACGAGTGTGCTGGTATTGATTAGCGTCATGCGGCGAGAATAGCACCGCCTCACACTTTCGGTGAAGTAGGACGGGTGAATAAACTGACCCAGACTCACTAAGCGCTCGAGCGGCAAACATCGAATTGCGTGGATGCAAGGAAAGGCATGGTCAGCCCACTGGCCACATGTGCAAGTACGTATGGCCAGGTTCACCTGCTGCTTTTCGTGAGGATTTACGACAAGATAGTCTGAAGGTCCAAACGAAGCGACGTCCCATCCATCGAAGTGCACATTACCACGGCCCAAAAGTTCACCTGGAAACACGCTTCTCTCAGACTCAAGTTCCACATAGCGTGCATACATAAGCACAGCGACTTGAGTGACCCAACCGACAATGATCGAGAAATAGCTGCTCGCGCAAAGGTTTGACATTTGGTTGTAATATTCCTGCAGTGTGCCTGACGCAGTCCAGTCGAAATGAGTGAATTGTAGAACGCTTTGAGACGCTGGAAGCACACTCAACTGCGCCTCGTGAATAGCGAGATCCTTGTCGTGTGAGATCGCGATGCCAGAACAACCGACGATTGGCAACGCGGACAAAAGTTGATGGAAAAGAAAGCGCCAGTTGTCTTCGTCGGCGCGAGGTGTGATGGCAATAGCTAGGGGCAAAGGAGCACCCAGGCCATCTTTCACGTATGCGGCCAACACGAATCCTTCGTAGCACGAGGTAATTGGCATGGATTCCACATGCAAAGCAAAGGGACAATCAGCCAACGCATGTCCCAGTGCACCTGGACACAAGAACGCGCGATAGAACCTACCGTTCGCATGCTGCTCCACAACGGCCGTAGTGTTGGCGTTCGCTTCGCGGAATGCATTGAGAAAGGGAACAATCTTCTTAAAAGAAGCATCGAGCCGCTCACGCTCTTTGCTTTGAAGCATATGCGACGTGCGCCATAGCGTTGAGTACGAGAGCTTCGTGCCAGTGGCCTCATGTACGAATTTGCCAATCTCTCGTGGGGCAATAGTAGATGCACTCTCCTCCATCAGTTGCGACATGTAGGCAGACGTGGCGGACGTCGAGAACGACACGGGCGCAGTGCAGTCTGGAGAATGCATCAGGATTGCGCGCGTTACACAGACGCCACCTTCTTTGCGTCGACGCGCAATGACATGGAAGGGGCATGGTATGGCATGCTCATTCAGGGCTGCCGGCTCGTGGTGTGGCGCCTTGTTCTTTCCTTTACCCCATTCCTTTTTCAGGTCGTTCATAACGGCTGGACAAATGCCAACAAACCGGCTGTTATCGCTGCGTCGCGCACGATAAGGACACTTGTGTGTAATGCCATAAAGCCCAAGCCTTGCACGAAACGATTTCATGTCTGGAAATAAATCGCCCACCTTGATGGAGACGGCATCGAGTGAGGGAGATGGCACGGCCGCCACATGTGGCGCAAGATGTTGTGCATCAGACCCAACACCGCCAACCGAGACGCTCTCGAGGATTGCCGATGATATGGCTGGATTCGTCATGCCATACGCGACTGTGGCTTGTATGTGCGGGTCGCGTTGCTTAGTGATCCAAGAAACGGGGGGCGTGGCGCGAAATAATTTCGAAACGCACGACAGGACCTCGTGTCTTGGTAGGAAGGAGGAGCGATTTGCAAAATTTCCCTCTGCTCCAACGTGCAAATCGCAACATTGGCCCGCCACAATGCACGCCTTAATTAACCCGTTAATGTATTTTAGGCATTTGGGCGCCAGTTGGGAATAAAGTTGATTGAAGCAGTTGAAAGGGAAAGAAAAGGAAGAAGTTTGCGGCCTTCGGTATTGAAATGGGCGGTTCAACTTCCAGAACAAAGAAGACCAAGGGGGCACAAAAAAGGTTCATAGGTTGGCTAACGGTTAGGGGTTGGATTGCCAGAAGAATTGGGGAAATGTCTTACCAAAATGGGTTAGACAGGGGTTATGTCGCGTAGAAAAAGGAAAGGGGGCGAATTTCGGTACAGGAAGGACCAATGATTGCTTTGTAAGTCGGTTTAATTTGGTTATTATTTGGGCATTTGCAGCGCGTTTTTGGAAAGCCTTGTGGCGTGGTTGGTCATGAAGCAGGGACTTATTCATTGAAGCGGTTTCGCTCAACATATGACATGTGTGGGCGCCACCCAATGCATTCAAGCTCCCCATCATTCGCTTGGCACTGGGTGCGGCACTGGCACTCTCGCCAGGTTTGACGTCACTGCCAAAGTCAGCGGCGCTTTCACTCGCAATTAGCACGCTTTGAAGAAGCTCAATCTGTTCAGACTTGCTGGAGTAGACGAGGCCAGGCATGTTTTCCTGGCCTACGAGATTCATAATGACGCGGAAAGCATAGCCCTGATCAATGAGGAACTGCTGGCGTTTCGTGGAGTAGAACATTTCGGCCGTGTCCCTGCTAACAAGACTGTAAAAAAAGGCATTAAAACCTTCGTCGTTCCGCCGCTTAGCACGAAGGATACGGCCAAGGCGTTGTGCCTCTTGACGACGCGATCCAAAGTGCGACGATATTTGGATCAGACAAGTAGCCTCTGGCAAGTCGATAGACGTGTCGCCCACTTTGGAGAGGAAAATGGTATTGACAATAGGGTTGTGTTGGAAGTTTTGCAAAATTCGCATACGTTCAATTTGCGGTGTACCGCCATGAATGTACGGTTTGCCCAGCTTGATTGCATACGCCTCGAGTGCATACACATTATCAGAGAAGACGATGATTTTGTCGCCGCGATTTTCATGATAATGGATCAGGTACTGCGCAGCTTGGAATTTTGTCGGATTCATGCAGTACAGGAGCATCTTTTTACGGCTGCGCTCGCGCAGGTATTCGCGATAAAACTCAGCCGTCATGGGGCACCATACTTCTGCACATTGCACGGTGGCGATGTGGCCCTTGGCTGCGAGATCCATCCAGTTTGCCTCATAGAGTTTGGGTCCGACAAGGAAGTTCAATTCGTCGATTTTTTCGTCTTCTCGCACAAGCGTGGCAGTTAAACCAAGCTTGGCATGCGCTTTGATTTTGGTTAGGACACGACGGAACATGGACGCAGGGACGACATGTACTTCATCCAGAAGAATGAAACCCCACTCACGACTTTCAAGGAAATTCATCATTTTTTGCGAGGTATGTGACCGTTTGCCCGTGTTAGCAACCATCGAGTACGTAGACACAACGATGCCTGAAGCGCCAGAAAACTTCTCCTTCTCGTCAGCAGTAAACACACTGATCTGAGAGTCCTGGACATTGCTCCACTGGAGGAATTGCTGTCGCCATTGCATTACACTCACGCTGCTTGTGCACAGCACAAGACAGCTTTTCTTGATAGTGCAGGCGGCTGTAATGCCGACGAGCGTCTTACCTGCACCGCAGGGTAGAACGATAATCCCGCTCCGCGCACGGCTGTTGCCGAACATTTTTGCGAGACTCTTTTCCTGGTAAGGCCGGATATGCGTGATGGGCTTCAAGTCGATCTCCAGATCGGGATTCAGCATGTCGTTGCGGAAGTCATATTCTTCCAGCATCGGAAATCCTAGGTCATTGCATCGCCGCTTGATGGCTTCGATTTGTTCCTCGCGAATTTCAAAACTGTGCACAGCATCATCTTCATCCAGCTCGTCTGCATCGTAAACGCCAATGACAGCGCTAAATAAGTCCTGCTCGCTCTCCTTGGATGCCTCAGGCCCTACAGTCGCTGTTTGCTGTGATCCGCCTCCGCCCGCAGCAGAGGAGGTATGTGCACTTTTCGCCGCGCCATTTGATGCCGATGGATGCTCTACTTCAGTGGACGGCGCAGCCGCAGCTGTCGTGGTGGCGGTATGTGTGGCAATAGGGAGATCGTTCGCGCTCTCGCCAGGGCGAACACGCGCTTCGCTGATCACAGGGTCGCGAAGCAGCATTTGCAGAATCTCTGGGTGTGAGCTCTCAACAAAGTATCGGTTTTGTTTGAGAACCAGCTTGATCTTTCCAAAGCTCATGGTATATTCACGAATAAAGTCCAGTACAGACTTGGGAACAGACACTTTGGAAAGCCGGTTCAACACTTCAATGATATCATCTGGCTCCAATCCCACAGACACTGCTGCATACAGTGAATACGGTGTCAGCTTGTATTCGTGCACAAAGTTGGGCCTGCTCACAGGCTCGGCGATCGCGATTAAAAAGTCTTGAGCCTGTTCGGCGAGGGCATTAAATCCCTCTAGAATAATGTGACCGTCATCTGGCGAGATCCAGAGGGGTCTGCTGTTGTGGTCAAGTTTTAATGGCATGCGCGAAAAGTCGCGCCGTAGAATGGACGACACGCCGGCGCCACCGTCGTCCATGGGTGCCGTATGGGAGCGAGGGTTGCGACAAGATGCTAGGGCTGAGACACGTGTACGTGGGTGCAACCTGGGTGGAGGGTATGCCTTTAGCGGCTGGTCTTGCCGGGGGCCACACTTAGGCTACTTTGAGGTGAGAGTTGGATCGTCGACCAAAGCCAGAAAAACGACCCCATTTTGTGTGAAGCGGCATTGATCGACCAGAAGAGGCGCGACTTGCTCGCAGCTACACTCACTCGCTATTTCTGAACAATACTAGCGGCGTCTCTCCGTTTGACGGAAGTACGGGCCATTCTTACGGAGCGTGCGCATGCTGCGCGGGCATTCAGCAGGTATTGCCGTGTGTGCATGTGTACAACAGCTGTATGGTGCACGGGTGCATGAGTCACCTACATGCATACCCACGCATCCGCTGACACAACTGTACTTTTGTGAAGAATGCTATGCTCTGAGATGCAACGACTGCATTGACTGGGAAATCAGTAGTACGTACTGCCCCAGCTGTCTCTTTGAGGTCCCTGGCACAAGCGTTCGAGCACAAAAGTCGCAGTGTGCGCGGAACTGCTTTACATGCCCTGTATGCACGCACGTACTTTCAATCGTAGGCTCGGATCCACCACGGCGTGAAGCGCTCACGGCGCCGGAAGCAAGTTTGGGCATAGCGCCATTTTTTCTCAGCTGCTCATGCTGCCGCTGGGACTCGAAACGGATAGGTCTTGTTGCGGAGAAAGCGGCTGATCTCAGTGCTGTCTTCCACAGCATGGAGCAAAATGCATGGCCTATGCAAGAGTACGAGCGCCTGATCGAGCACATGGCACCGGAAGTTCAGGCGAATATCTATGAACGCACGCGCAAGACACGTTCTTCCAGGCGTTTCCGCCCAAACTTAGTTAGGCCACCGCCATCGAACTATCACGCAGACTATGAGCCTACGCGATCGCAGGCACTTACAAAATATGCGTCACGACTCTCGAGACAGTGTGGGTTGGTGCAGCGCGACATGATGCAAGTCTCGACTGTTCAGCAGCGATGGACAATGCCGTGCGAGCAGCCATACCAAGTGACTGCACTGCATCCTCGACGTGTGCGACTTCTATGTAAGCTGAGCAAGAGATGCAGTACCTGCCGGCATATCCTAGTGCGCCCGGAGCCGCGCACGAACTCCAATGCGTACAAAATCAAGCTCCTCGCTAGTCAGTTTCTTCCGTCGTGCACGGTGATGCCGAGCGCTAACGGGCTGTGGACACTCACGCTTACGAACCCACTAATGGATGCTATGGACATTACGTTACGATGTGTAGGAGCAGAGCTCTCAATCCGGCACGTGCAGGTGCCGGCCTTCGTGGATGCGTTCGAGATGGACGATGATGACGTGGCGGCTCGGGGACTGGCGCCAGTAACGCCGAATACGGGCTGGGATGCATTTGTGCATGGCACGTATGTGTATCGTCACCACGCGGTGCTAAGTGTGCGAGTTCGAGCCGATATGCAAGTGCTACCATTAGAGATCCAGTGGAGCGTCGCAGAGACCATGCGCTCTCATACATTCTGGTCGCTCGTTCCGTTGAGATGAACTCGATCGATTGATCAAAAATGGAAGGGCAAAGGAAGGGACAATGAACACAAGCCGACTATAACGGCGAGCGCTGCGGCTTTGCCTATGTTCTTGTTGGCAGGCTCACTCCTTCGTTCCCATTTGCGCCTCGCCAGATCCATCAAACATAGCACGCAGTGTCGTTTGGTCGCGTTTCTGACGCACACGCTCAGCCTCAAGGTGTCCTCCAGTACGCCGGAGAGCCTTGTTGTCCACAAAACCGGCCAGTTCGTCTGCGAACTCGTCTGAGCGACCGGCCTTGGCCTTTTCGCGAGATCGTTCAGCTGCTTGAAGGGCACGGAGGCGACGCTCATGGTCGATGGACTGACCACGCACTTCGATCATGACGGATGGCAGGCCCTCGTGCTCGGCATCAGGAGGCGGTGGCACGTAGCGAGTGGGAGCGCGGCCGGGATCGTCGCCACGCGCCTGCCCGACATCACGCAGGCGCACGATTTGCTGGATATGTCCAAAAACATCCTGCACAGCAGTGAGGTCCTGCTTCAGGTCTGTAAGGAGACCTTCTTGGTAGTTCAGGAATTCTTGCTCATCAACAATGAATTGGAGCTCGTTCTCCCATGTTTTTTTCCAGTGTGGTCGTACGGATTGAATGTACTGCTCCAGTTCAGTGAGACGCTGTCGCGCTGTGTTCATGTCATTCGTAACGCGGCGCAGTTCCGTGGCTTTCGGCTTGACACCTCGGTGCGAGACATCCAGCTTGAGATCCTCAATGAGGTCCTGCAGGTCCTCGACATTCGTCAGCACTTGCTGGGACTGTGCATCCAAATGGGCTTTGCCCGACTCAATTAGGTTGCGCCCAGCCGATGGCCCAATTGCCACGACGCGGCTCATTTCTTTTGCTTGCTCGCGAACGCTCGTCATCAAGTGGCGCATGTCTCGTTCGCCCTCATCCTGGATCTGCCGCAGGATCGCAAAGTCATTTCGAAGCTTCTGGAGCGCCTCGTAGTGTGTCTTGAGATCTGCCGCATAGTCGGTACCGTTCTGCAGCGTTGGTGTCGTTGTCATGATTTGTGTCGACATACGATCGCCCGCTTTCTTAAACTCGGTATCGGGGATCGGCGTGGACTCGGCAAGCATCGGTGTATGCCGGGGGGCATCGCGTGTCATGGTATTCTCGCGAAGGAGCGTCTTGAGCTCCGTGAGTTCGCGTGAAAGCGACGCAATCGAAAGATCCACATGCTCTTTCACTTGGTCAAGTGGCTCAATGTTCAGCATGAGGAGCGATCTCGGCTCAATGTCGCTCATGTCTTCAAGCTGGTACGGGACGCCCGTAGCATGGTCCTTGATGTAGATTTCGGGAAAGTCCAGCTTACCGCTCGAGTAAGAAAACTGATCAACAAACTGCATCCGAAGCATAGCCAAGTTCAGTCCACGATCCGGCTGCGTATCGTCGACAGGGAGGGTCACTTTGCGTGTCTGCCGGCCCACCTGCAGGAACACGACGAGCGGCTGCTCCTCACTGTATGTGCTCGCGGCGTCTGACTCGCGCGCTGCCTGTGCGTCTTTGTCGCCTGCTTGCTTCACGTCCCCTGAGCGCAAGGACGTAAGCGATTCCTCTGTCAGATTCTTGGACATGCGATTCTGACGTGTTGGCGTCACATTCTGCAAGGCCTCTTTTACCTCGCGGCCATCTCGACCCTCTTTGACACTGGACAGTGCACTCTGCGGCGTCCGTCGATCTCCGTACGTGTACATCGATGTTGGCGTCGACCCGATCGACGACAAGAGTCCAGCCCCAATTTTGTTGAATGTGTAGGCACTAAAGCGTTTGCTGGCCCGCCTTTCGAGTGTATCACTGTTCCGTAAACGAAGATTTATCTCTTCATTCTTCTCTTGCTCGGTCGGCATGCGGTGAGAGCTTTGTGGTGTGACTGGTATGGCGGCACCACTGATAGGAGGTGCGAGTGTCACAGACTCTGACGCAGCGGCAGGTGCAGGAGGGGGCACTGGTGGCGAGAGCGACACAGGTGGCGAAGCGGTGATAGCGGGCGATGCTTTTGAGGCCGTCGCTGGTTTGGGCAACGGCGGTCTGTCATGAGCCCAAGGCTGTGCGGCAGTCATCGCTGGAGCAGGTTTAGGGACGGAAGACGGTGCATGGGAGGACATAGCCGGTTGGGCTTGGGAATAAGGCTGTGACTGTGGTTGTGGTTGTGGTTGTGGTTGTGGCTGTGGCTGTGGCTGCGACTGAGACTGCTGCTGCTGGTGAGAAGGAAGTGGTGGTTGGGGACGCGCAAGAGGGGGAGGACTAAAGGCTCGAGGCGATCCGGTGGCTTGTCGCAGATCAGGCATAGGTCGAGGAGGTACCTGAGCTGTGGCAGAGGGCCGTGGACTTGACGCGCCCGTCGCGCTCTCAGAACGAGAAGCTGAACGTGCGCCCGGCGTCGGCACACGAGAACCATGCACATTTGGTGGCAAACGTGGCTGCTGCTGCTGCTGCTCCATTTGCAGTTGTTTGTAATAGGCCTGCTTCGTCTTGAGTCCTTGCAGAAGCCGCACGATGATATCGCGAATTTGCGGAAGATGTCGTTCTAACGTAGCTGTGGATGCCTCCTCCGACAAACACGTTTCAAGACACACACGTAGGTCAGCTGGCACAGAGTACAGGTCACTTTCTGGTGTAAGTCAGGGAAGATAACAAATGGGAGAAAAATAGGAGTGGTCCATCTACACACCTCATGTCGATACCAGCGCTCATGAACGCTGTGATGGACGCATTGAAGTCGTTCCCGAGACGCACGTATATCCGCGAGACGTTTGTCTCGGTATCTTTCCGGAGCGCCCACTGCGTTAGTGACTCGAGCAACATCTTGGTTGCAACAAGTAAGCGAGTTACAGACGACTCCATGTGATTCGTCTGGACTGGTGTGCGTGCTTGTTGCTGCATCAACTCATGGCTCCGTTGGTCGTGTGCGCGCATCATCGGACGCGACGGGGACGTCGGTGAACGGGTTTCACCAGACGACATGTCAAGTGACTACGTGTATCGACCGTGTGACACAGGAGGGACGGAGCAAACCAAATTCCTGGGACTCGACGCGTGTATGCCCCGATATATATCAATCGCACTTTCGAGGCTGCTGAACAGAGGCCACGCCTCGCTGCGCTGCCGTCGTGTCCCGCGAGCGAAGAGGAGGATCTTTAGTCAGCGATCGCGAAAGGCACGCATACATTCATAACTTGGATCAACTAGCATATGGTGGAGAAAGACTACTATGGAAATCGAGGCGATGGACAGGGAGGGTGTTGTTGTTCTGAGATGGGTCGGCCGGCGGAAGGGGGGGGGAGAAGGGAACTGCGTGGTGGTCGGATCGTTTACATGTTCTCGTTACACATGGTATGCTTGGCAGGGCATTACGTGGATTCGTCTTGGAATCGATCCAAGAGATGCTCTAGGTCTTCTGGGCGCAGTTCAAGCAGGTTGGAATGCTCCTGGAAAAGGCGATCATCTTGCCTGTTGGACGAACGAGATGGGCCAGCATCTTTGCTGCCTGCAACGTCTTCCTTCGCCAGTGGGCGTTGGAGCATGTCGGACGCCTCGATCGCAGCGTCGCGAAGCTCATGCTCGCATGTGTCGTGCACGTGTGAACGTGATTGGAAATGGGCCTTTCCTCGAAGTATCGCACGCTCAATGCGGACAAGATGACTGATCATATGTTGCTTCGGGTACGTGACGTAGCAACCGGAATGGATGATCTGGGCGAGCTCGGTAGCATCTGGATCAGTGAGGATGCGTGGCCAGTCTTTCAGGCGTGACTTCGGATATATCGTGACGGTGCCCTGGAACTTTTGCAGGAATAGGGACGACCAGTCCTGACCCAAAATTTTTGGCAGCAAGGCCAGGTCACGAAGGATGGCCAGATTGGTCAGCAGATTTAGTTTGAGAATGTGTTCGGCAGCCGAGAGCAGGAAGCCACCACGCCATCCGCGCCCCCGCCGAAATGCTGTTGGGCGTCCAGGGGCACCGCGTGAGCCAAAGTGGAAGAGGTGGACGTGTGGATTCACTTGCGATACGATCGGGTGCGTTACGTTGAACATCGAATTGAGGCTTTCCAAAGGAATGTCCACTCGCAGGCTGCCATCGCGGAATTGGTTGCCCCAGCTCCAAGGGATAATCGAGCCGTCGGGAAGTTTCTGCAGAAGGCATACCGGGTTCAAAATCCCCGGCACGGCTGCTGACGCTAGCACAGCTGACCAAACAATGCAGTCCGGCGCCGTCACATGGTTCATAAGCTGTGCGGGCGAATGCTGCTCAAACGGCACCACACTGATGTTGAGGGTCTTGCCCGTTCGCTCGAACGCCTCGCGAAACGTCAACGACCCACGCGTGAAGAATTGTACCTTCCGTGCCCATTTTGATGTATCGAAGCGTGCGCCTGTGCGCCATGCACGTGCAATCCAAACGTGCATAGGGTCATCACAGCCCGTGATGTGCCGAGCCAAGTCAGGCACAAGCAGCTCCTTCAATTCCTCGTTTGTGCGTGTGCACAAGAGAGCGGCGATGAGCCCACCTGCCGAGGTGCCACTCACAATGTTGGGCAGCAGATTCGCATCTAATAGAGCACGTGCCACGCCGATGTGGTAGTAGGCAAAGGCCGCGCCGCCGCTCAGACAGAGTGCGGAGCGGCCAAAGTTTAAGAAGACGGCCCGATAAAAGGCACTCTTGACGGGTGCAGATACATTTGGCGTGCTTTCAAGGTAAGCAAGGGACTCTTCGACTTCATAATAGTACCGCTCAATCAGCTGCTTTGTGCCATAGAACGACTGGCTGTACAGCTCAAGGTTCTCGATACCTGCGAATCCCTGCTTTACACACAACGTCAAAATGCCCATGAGCGCCTGTGCCTGGTCTTGCTCACGGGCTAGGCGCATCGCGCGTACAACGCGCTGGACGAGGCGCCAGTCGTAGAAGGGACTCGCATCGTGCGACTTCCACTCGTCGTAGTTACGATAAGCATCAAAGTCCAAAGCCGCGCGTTTCCAGTCCCGGTACGTGTAGGCCGTCTGCAAACGTCGCCGGAGCTTGCCGCTCATTCCATGCCATGCACTGACTTTTTCTATCACATTCACCGCCTGGCGCACAAGGATGTACAGACAAAAGTCCAAGCTGATCAACCACAGCACGAAAAAGAGCAGCGGGAAACGAAGAGCACCATACGTCCATCCCTCTGGTACACTGCGGTCTTCTTTCGTTTCTTTGTCATCCTTGGGATCATTCCCTACATCGACCATCTCGCAAATGGGCGCAAAATCCGACACGGCTGAAACTGAACGGATCCGAGGGACCTGGCCTGCCTTTTTCGCCTCGTCGATCTGTGCGAGATACGACTCATACGTACGCACATGGTCCTCGTTCAGAAATACCTCGTCTAAGAGGCTTGTTCCGGAGGCATGGCCCGTGGACATGGTCGGCGCAACTGCAGCGACACAGACTCGTGTACGACAGGTGATGCTGTTCCTTGGTGAAAAACCACCGACTTTCCTATGTGCGCACTGACCGAAAGCGGAAATAGGGTATGCATGATAGTGGAGGGTGATGGAAGACATCCCCCCTCACAGGGCTGAAGCCATGCTTACATTCAGCCTGAATTTTTTGGGGGAGGGAAGGCCAAGGCGGCGGGCGGCTTTGCATGCGTGCGTGCCGAGCTCGGCTTCATGCCCACGTGACCTTTCATTCTGCCACGCACGTATGCATGCGCATTCGCGCACGACTCATTCGCGCGCCTCTTTCGGAGGTCGTGGCGTCGAAGGCACAAGCAATTTATTGTTGCAACGTTGCTTCCTTGACTAGTGAGCCTTCGAGGGAGATTCCAAAAAAAATAAATCTCTATTCGTCGTCAAGATGGGTGCGTTGAAGATACTTGGATCACATTAACGAAATCAGGAGTGCCAAAATATTTCAGATGGCTGTCAGAACGGTATCCATGTATGTGCGGTGATGGCGTCGAAGGGGCTATTTTTTCTGCTGGCTTGATATACTAACCATCGCCAGTGATTATGCAGCTCGTGGAAGAAAACCGTATACCCGAATTTGATAATTTGTACTTGGGTACGTGAGCGTCGACGAAGGCGTACCCACGATCGCTTGACTAACCGATCCCTAGATATGAACGGCATTATCCATAACTGGTATGCATTACACGATGTTGTGCGCTGACATGTTGTGACGAAGCTCGCACCCCAACGATGACGAAGCAACATTTCGTATGAAAGAAGAAGATATTTTCCTCGGGATCTTTGCGTATATTGAGCATCTATTCTCCAAGATCCGGCCGCGCAAAGTGTTTTTCCTTGCGATCGACGGTGTTGCTCCGCGCGCCAAGATGAATCAGCAGCGTTCCCGTCGGTTCCGCACTGCACAAGAAGCAAAGGAAAATGTTGAAAAGGCGATCCGACGCGGCGAAGAACTGCCGGAGTCGCCGCCTTTTGATTCCAACTGCATTACTCCAGGCACATCCTTCATGCGCAAACTGTCACAACAACTCGAGTACTTTGTGGCGAAAAAAGTGTCCGAAGACTCGGATTGGCGCGGCGTGGAAGTCATCTTGTCGGGACATGAGGCTTGTGGTGAGGGCGAGCACAAAATCATGGAATTTATTCGTACCATAAAGGCACAGCCGGGCTATAACCCGAACACGCGCCACTGCCTATATGGTCTTGATGCCGATCTCATTATGCTCGGCTTGTTGAGCCACGATCCGCATTTTGCTCTACTGCGTGAGCAAGTCACGTTTGGGCCGCGACGTGCGCGCAGGTCCGTTGGCGTCGAGTCACAGACGTTTTATTTGCTACACATATCGCTTCTACGCGAATACTTGGAGTTGGAATTCGCCTCGCTACGGGACAAGCTGCCGTTTGCTTTTGATTTGGAAAAGATCATTGATGACTACATCCTGCTACACCTATTTGTTGGCAACGATTTCCTCCCGCATCTACCTGGACTGCAGATCAATGACGGAGCGATTGAGCTTTTGTTTCGTGTATATGAGAAAGTGTTGCCCCAAGCGGGAGGCTACCTGAACGAGCAAGGCGTCTTGCGCCCAGAGCGGCTGCAACTTGTGATCAATCAGCTTTTCCAACTGGAACGAGATCGTTTCGTACACCAACACATGCCACAGCTAGAACAAAAAACAAAAGCGAGAAGGACGAGGGAGCTCAAGAATTACAGGGTCGGTGCACCCAAGTACATCCGGCGCGCACACCATAACTTTGTATTGAATGTAAAATCACTTCTGGTCGATTTCTTCGCAGATCCAAAGAATGCACCCTGGGAGTTCATGGTGGTGGTTCGTCCTGAATCTGACCTGGTGCAGTTCGCTCAGGAGCTGGCCGAGAAGCTAGACATGGTGTTTTACTTTGAGAAGGACGAGTCGTACGAGTCACCCACGGACGATGCTGAATGCTATATGTCACTCAAGCCCTCAATGATCAGGCAGGTACGCATTCCTATCCCGGATAGCATAGATGCACTGGAAGAGAAGAAAAAAGGCATGCTGGCGACGCTCGAGTCGCATCTTTCCTTGCCCATCGAAAGAAAGCGACATGACCCCTTCGCTTCAAGCCGTAACCAGACCCTGTCGGAGGAGGAGAGCGAACGGGAGGAACAGATAGCTGAAGAGCGCGAACGTGAGAAGGAGATTGACGACGCATTGAAGGAGTGGAAGGCTGACTACTACCACACGAAAATGGGTATCAAGTACAATGATCCTGATGCCATCCAGGATATTGTGTATAACTACATTGAGGGCATGCAATGGGTCTTGTACTATTACTACGAGGGCAATGCATCGTGGGGCTGGTTCTATCGCTACCACTATGCGCCACAGGTATCGGATCTAAAGAACATATCGGACTTTACATTCCAATTCAACAAGGGTCGGCCATTTTTGCCGTTTGAGCAGCTAATGGGCGTACTGCCGCCGCTCAGCAAAGATTTGATTCCGCCGGCCTTCCAGCCGCTGATGACGGATCCGTCGTCGCCGATCCTTGACTTTTATCCGACCAAGTACGAAAGCGATATGAACGGCAAGAAAAACAGCTGGGAAGCCGTCGTGAAAATTCCCTTCATCGACGAGGAGCGTCTGCTTCACGCGCTGCAGCTCCGTGAGGGCGGCCTTACCGCAGAGGAGCGCCAGCGCAACACGCTTGGCGTGCCACTTAGGTTCTGTTATGACAACACATTTACACGCCATGTGCCTTCAAGCCTGCCTGGTTTCCTGCCAGACATGCCCGACAATCATACGCGCATCCTCACCTATGCTCTGCCGTCCATGGAGGGCAAGTCGTTCGTCAAAACGCTGCCGGAAGGCGTCCACCTTGGCTTAGACGCGATGCCAGGCTTCCCGAGCATCAAGACACTCCCCCACACACACACGCTTCGAAAATATGGCGTCAATGTACATGGTAATGCATCGAATGACGCATCAATGATGCTATCCGTGGGGCGTCGCGACGACCAGCCAGACGACCTAAGATCGCTCGCGGATGCCATGATCGGTCACACAACATACATCCACTGGCCGTACCTGTTTGAGGGCCTCGTCGTGGCTGTGAGCGATGGCTCGCAAGAGTTCCGCGCTCACTGGCAGGATGCTGACGTCGTAACCCGCACGACACCCGCGGCAGACATGAAGACGTCGTTCTCCAAACATGTGCAGTCCGTTCTCCAGTACTACGGCAAGCGTTGTGGCGTGTTGCTGCACGACGTTACGGCGCTGCTGCATGTGCGTCCTCTGAAGGGTCTGAGCCACGGGTACGACGGCTCTATCATGAAGCAGTACGAGCCATCTCCGGAGCATGAGGTCGTGTATCCGCTGCCCCTCATGGTCAACCAGGTGCGCCGTCCTGATTCACGGTTCCTGGAGCGTGCGCCTATGACTGTCAGTGAAGAGTTTCCTGACGGCACGAAAGTGTTTTTCCTGGGTATGCCTGGTTTCGGCTGCCCTGCCCGTGTGATTGGCTCTGCGTCCGAGCTTATCACGGTCGAGCTTGCATTCCTGAGCGACATGGCGCAGGAGCAAGCGATCATCCGCAAGCTCGTGCAGCAACGTGCGACAGACACATACTTTAGTTCGCCTGCGATCGCTCAGCAACTGCACATGTCGTCGCTAGCACTCGCGAAGCTGACAAGCAGCATTACCGTTCTATTCAAAGAGCAGAAGCTGAACATTGGCCTGAACCTCAAGTTCGAGGCCAAGAGCCGCAAGGTGCTTGGCTACTCGCGCCGCACGCACCTCGGCTGGGAATTCAGTGCGCGAGCCGTGCTTTTAATCAAGGATGTGCTAGACCAATTCCCCGAGCTCAAGTCTGCCCTAGCGAGGCGCCTTGGCGACGGTGAGTTTTACAAGGCTGAGGATGTCTTCCCCCGCGATACAGACAAACGCATCGCGGCTGTGCGTGCGTGGCAGAAAGAGCACGGTTTACGTGATCTCGAAGATGTGCCACTCTATGTGGACCGCCTAGAGCGCCCCATCATTTCGACGCTTGAGTCGGCTGTGTCGATCCTGGCGAACCGCCGACTAGAAAGCAGTGGTGCGATCAAACGGCAGATTCTACGCGGACTCCCTCGTGGCGCATTGCTGAAGCCAGAGCAGGCCCGCTACCGTGTGCCAGAGCAGACGTTTGAGCTCGGCGACCGTGTGATCAATGTGCTCGACTTCGGCTCCATTCCCCTTGCGGCCAAGGGCACCGTCGTCGGCATCGGCGCCAAGAGCATCGATGTTGTGTTTGATGCGCCGTTCCTCACAGGCCACTCCCTCGGTGGCATCTGCTCGCCGTACCGTGGTGCGACGCTTGGTCTCGCGTCTGTTCTGAACCTCAGCACACCCCAGATTGCAACACGCTGGGGCGAGCAGAACGAAGGCCAGGCTGATCTTACGCCTTTGCAGCGCACACTCAAAGCACAGATCCACCAGCAGATGACGTCGCCAGCTCCCTCGAAAGGCTCCTTGTTCTACCAGCCTGCTCCGCCACACGCCCAGTCGAAGCCAACGGCTTCTGGGCATGTGTCCCGAGCATCGCGGTCGCGCGCTGGCATTGGGGCCTCCTCTGCGACAACGACAACGACTTTGTCGTCGAAACAAGGGGTTTCTGCTGCAACGTCGCATCTTGCGAGTCTCTCCATCAGACCACCAGCTCCTGCCTCGAATCCATGGCAACGACCACCGCCAAGACCTGCCGTTCCTCGGCCTCATGCTCCTGATGCGGCGCCATCGACGAAAAACGGCACTCGAACTACACCTGGGCAGACGGCTCGTCCTGCGACGAGGGGTCCCTCTGTTCGACCTCCTGCTGGTCCTAGGCCTCCTCGCCCACATGCGCCGAGGCCCCCCAAGGCAGGCAGTGGCCCTAAAGGTTCGTCTGGCACGTCAAATCAGCCTGGGCAGCCGGTGCCGCGACCACCAAAACCCCAAAACAAAGGTCCCTCGCAGCGACCACGCAGAGGACCCAAGGGGGCAGCTCGCAAGCCTCCGAACGCTGGACCCTAAAGTTCCGGCGCTCATCGGGACGCTTGAGCGTTGTCACAGAGCAACAACACACATCACCGCAGCGCCCCAGCACAAGAGGCTATAACGAGCAACGGCCGCTTTCCTAATGTTAGCTAGCAACCAGGCACAGTGAGCAAGTTGGCGTTCATATTCACGACGGGTGTATACTTGTCTTATGGCTCGGCCGTACGACTCCTGGTTGTATGGCATCACATGCTTTCATGACGTCTGTGGAGATGTACTATTTGGCAGGCGTCCGAAGCGTTCTTTTGCACCATCGCACAATCGATACGCAGGCTTGTAGCTATTCGTCGAGATGTCAAGTAGCTCAGGGTTGGGTATTGTATTGAAACGATTGCCCAGCGACGTGTAGCCATAGTCGTACAGAATACAGTAGGGCACGCCTACGTCCTGACCTGCCACACATGGTGGAACAACTTCACGTTCATTTGCGCAAAGGACAGGGCATCGGAGAAATGACCAGATATCCGTATAGTTCCAGTCAAGAATGGGATGTACTCGCATTATTGGTGGCCAACTAGGATCGCACGGCGAGCGCACTTGCAGCGATGAGCCATGTGGGTCATCATGCCGGATTCCAATAAACATAGCTCGTACGCCTTCTCCTGCCTTGCCATTTATATAAGTTCCCAGTGCACTTGAAAGTGCACCGTGCGCCGTCTGAAGCTGTAGATTGTACCCTGTCCTTTGCGACGAAGCATACGATATGAATGCTTCAACCTCGGGAAACGGATCCTTGCAAGCCACATATAAGGATCGGATGGGAGGTAGAAGCTTATGATCTTTCTGCACGTTGAGAAACTTCCTTAGTGCTGCGCAGAGAATATGTGCCAGCACCGTGCAATCCTTGCCGCCATTGAAGCTCAATGCACAACCATTCACGCCATAATCATGCAGCGCCGACTCACACGCCTCCAGTGCACTAGCCACTTTCTCTGCCAGGACTGGATATTTAGCACGAATAGCTGGATTTCGCACTAGTTCATATGTCGCGTCGATGGATTGTACCCATCGTGCCATAGACTCATCCGCCATTGGCGTCGTCATTGCCTCGGACCGTGCGCGTTGATACCCTGTTGACGTGGGACCGCCATCATCATACATTACCTATTAGGTCAATATAGCTGTCGCAGTCCAATTGGCAACGCCATCAAGGGCTTGGCGTAGTGGCAATTTTCTGCTCGGCCGATGTGGAGGAATGAGATTTGTCATTTCGTCTTCGTCCGTACCTGCGCTGTTGTGTTAACGTCGAGAGTATGACGGGTCGTCCTGGTTGCGTGCGCGTGCGCGTAAGCACCAAGGAACCTCTTCCGACAGCTCAATTCTGGATAGCAGTGAAAGAGAACTATGATCTTGAAATGCTTCGGACACATGTGGCGCGCACACTTGAATCCCACTATGATACTGTTGTGGATCCTGCCACTCTGAACGTCGCAATCCATGACTTTGACCTGTGTGACGATGTTGGCCAAATACTTCAGGAAGGCGATCTTATTACGTATGTTTTTGGATATTATCTGGCTTACATACAGTGTTTCAAATTTGAAGCGACGAAAAACGTTGGTTCAAGAACATGAGACTTCAGGTCCCACCAAACCTGTGGTGGACCCAGAAACAGAACGTGCTATCATGGCAGAAGCTAACAGGATCTCGCTTCTCATGCGCTCCCAGCATCATGAGGCACCTTTGATGAAAAAGACGCTTGGCACGAAGCGCAAGCTATCCACGCCTATGACGTCGACGTTTACGCACCGAACGCAGCGTCCCCAACTGGTCCATGACATTTTGGACGATGTGGAGCAAGCTGATTTGAACGACGAGCTGAATGAAATTGATGACGTCGACGAAAATGACTATGTTGACGAAAATGACTATGACGATGTTGTTGGTGATTCTCCATCGGTAGGTAATGAACTATTCAGAAACGAAGAGAACGGACAAGAGCAAGGCCAAGTTTGTTCAAAAGACAGCGCTACAGCGGAAAATCCTATTGCTTCTAAATCAGAATCAAGGTCAGATTCTGGCTCGGACTCCTCAGACTCAAACTCGGATTCAGACGCCAGTTCCGAATCAGACTCCTCAGACTCAAGCTCGGATTCAGACGCCAATTCCGAATCAGACTCCTCAGACTCAAGCTCGGATTCAGACGCCAATTCCGAATCAGACTCCTCAGACTCAAGCTCGGATTCAGACTCCAGTTCCGATTCAGACTCAAACTCTGACGCTTACGATGGTAATAACATCAAAATTAATGAAACCTCGTCCAGTAAGTCTCCCTTACCTGCGTCGTCGTCATCTTCGCCGCCGTCATCTGAGCCGGTGTCCAAGCCTGAGGGTGGTTATGATAATGATAATTTTCAACACAGTCAAAGTCCTGCTTTTACGACACATGTGCGTGCCCTTTCCGACTCCCAATCATGGGTACCTCCTGGCCAAGGTAAGGACCGTACACGCCATAAAAATCAGAAACGACGTGAGCGGCGCCGAGCAGCGCGTGAAGCCCAAAATTCAAAGTCTTCCGTCGATGCACTGGTCTCAGAATATCCGTTGGCAAGTGTTGATCCTATGGTGCACGGGAAGTTGCCTCCAGGGGGCGGATCCCTTGATATTGAGCCATCTTCTCCTGCACCGGCTCCTAAGTCATCATCCCCTGTGGAAGTAGTTTCTTCCCTCGAGAATATCGCGCAACGAATGCTTTCACGCACGACGGTTGGGCATCGAAAGCGCCGAAAACGGAGTCAAGCGAACGCCATGGCACCCTCTTCGACACCCGTATTTGCGAAAGCTTCAGATCTTATCCAACCAACACATTTGAACCGACCTACTGAACGGATTCCATACCCCTCAAAATTACCGTCTGACGAATTCCCTTCAAACATGACCATCAGCAGTATTGATTGTGAGTCATGGTACGATCAGCAATGGTACGACGAAGAACAAGAATCCGAGGACGTGGATGAATCGACGCGTGCCTACATAAACATGCAGCGGCAAGTGCATGCATCTCTAGCTGAGGAAAAGCGCCTCGAAGAAGAGCAGGTTCGATTCTACCAAGATGATACTCACATCGAGGAACAAGAGCCCCTTCGAGAAAGTCTTCCGCGTGCTTTTGGACGTGCACGTAACGTGGAGGCCCTCGCTCCTGAACTTGACTATGGTACACCCTCTCCACAATCTCTCCCGGTGCATTCTAATGCTTCCCATCCATTCTTTCGGCGGATTGAGTCCATCCGCGCTTCGATTTACGGTTCATGATCCATTCCTTTTGTAGTATACCCTAGTTTGTTGGTTGCATCATCCGGGATCGATCGGATTCTTAGACCCGCAAGCGAGCACTGTCTCCGTTTGGTCGTCTTTGCCTAGCGTGTTTACACGTGACTAAAGTTTTGGGACCCTTCCCCCCCCCCCTCCTTTTCATCTGCGTGGGCAAATTTAGTGCATGGAGGAGAACTTGACGTCCATAAGCTTAATAGAGAGCACGCAAGATGGCGAATCCTCGACAACGTCGCAAAATGCGCTCTGGAAAGTACTCAGGTGCAACAAAGAGTGCGAAGCGCGCCCAACAAAAGAGATTGAAGCGAGCTCCAACTGTGATGGGACCTGATGTGTTGCGAGAAAACTGGGACTCAAAATTGACTGTGCGCCAAAAGTATGTTGCATCCTCATGCGGCTAACAAGGACCAGCTACGCAAAATTGGGGCTCCTCCCGACGCTCTCTAAACAGTCTGGTGGACTGGATAGAAATGATCCTTACGCCAGTGTCTCGACGAGCTCTGCATCTGGTATAGCGAACAATGAGCGTGTGGTTGACAAGCCACGGAAAGGCATGGCACGTGTCATCCGTGATGACGACGGTCGTGTAGTGGACATTGTTGAATATGAGGATGAAACTGGAAAACACTCGATGACGCCATGGGGCGAGCAGTTAAATGCCGATGATGATGTACCCGTGTCATCGGAGGGTGCATTACTCCCCCCTCGTCTCAATCAAGGTCGGGACAGCGATACAGTCCAGCGTACGTTTTGGATTTGCTCAAATTGACACGCAGAACTTGAAAAAATCGCTGCCGGAGAGCCGACCAGTCGAACGGCATACGTCAGTGGCCGAGCATGCATGGCTTCTAGATCTCATTAGTGTGCACGGATCTGACGTGCACGCGATGGCGCGTGATAAACGACGAAATGTCTGGCAAAAAACACCTGGCGAGATCCGCCGTGCGTATGTATTGATCAATCGTGTTGAAATTCTTACAAACCAACAGGATCCGCAAGGCAAAACTGAGTGATATATAGGATTGATCCATGTAAGACTAGTTGAGAGCAGTATACAGCACGTCAATTAAGGAAATGTTCCGTTTCCCTCCATTGTTTAACCTCCATATTCAATAATTTGGACGCACGTCCGTTTGGTGTCCCTACTACCTCCCCCCGGTCGAAGCATCAGCATTAATTGCTTTTGTGTGTGTCTAAAGTAGGAGAACAGGGGGTGGTGGGCTTTTGCTGCATATGGGAAATTCTCTCAGCAACACAAGTGACCGGTTAGCGGGCGCTAGTGAGCTGTTGCATGATCCATCTCTGCATTATGAGTGCAGCCTTGGCTCATCGCGCTTTCTACGCGCAATTCGTGCGAAACATGCGCTTGGCTCACTTGTGATCAAGACATTCATTAAACCGGATCCCAACATGCGTCTTCGTGCTTTGATGCACCGTCTAACATGTGCGTGTTCGGATGACTGTGAGAATGCCATACGAGCTGACATCAGTGGAGCGCGAAGCGCTGGACAACGTACCGAATGTGTTCACTACGCAGGAAGTGCTTGAAACTGACGGTGCTGGCTACTTGATTCGCCCATGGATGACCTTCAATCTGTATGATCGTATCAGCACGCGCCCGTTTTTGACGGACATGGAGAAGGTTTGGATCAGCTATCAACTCATCTATGCGATGCATGCGTCTCATGCACAGAATGTCGCCCATGGCGACCTAAAATGCGAGAATGTACTTATTACATCGTCTCTTACGGCTTATGTTACGGACTTTGCCTCATCATTCAAGCCGACATACCTTCCACTTGACGATCCAACGGACTTTTCGCTTTTCTTTGACAGTTCTGGGCGCAGGATCTGCCATATAGCACCAGAGCGCTTCTATGAATCTGTTACTGAATTACCAGCCGGTCCGATTTCCTCACGCACGCAGCCAAAAGACATTGAAAATATGTCCGAGGTGCTCACGTATGAGCCATATTTGGAGATCCTAGGCCTAGGGCGCCCAAATGGACGCATTACAGAAGCGATGGATGTATTTTCTCTTGGCTGTGTACTTGCTGAGCTATGGCGCGATGGATCACCTCTTTTCACGCTCAGTCAAATGTATCGCTATCGCGCGAGACAGTACGATATCAACCCGCTGCTGCAGTCGGTGTCGCATTCTGGTATGCGCGATGTAATCACCAGCATGCTTGCATTGGATCCAGAAAAACGACCAACTTTCAAGCATCTTCTTCGTGATGCGCACGGAATCTTGTTCCCAGAATCTTTCTCAGTCTGTCTGCATTTATATCTAGTGGATTTACAGCGGCCTTCGCCAGATATACCTTTACCTCAGCCTCCAAATGAAAATCAAGGGGATCAGTTGCGGACGAGGCATTTTTTGGAACCTGATGATCGGATCGAAAAGCTTTATGAAGACTGGGCTACGCTCCAAAAGTTTTTTGGTGCTATACCCTCGATTGAAGGCGATCAGGTCCAACTGCATGTGTCTATTCCAAATGTATCACTTCCTCATCAAGTCGGACGGCCACCGTCTTTGTCCGATAACGAGGCACTTCTTGTACTCAATGTTATTCTTGCTAATATTCGTCACTGCCATCGCCCGTCGTCAAAGTGCCATGCACTTGAACTTGTGGTAATTTTGGTATGGGGATGGCTTAGCGATGAAACACGTTTAGATCGTGTTTTGCCTTACCTTATCGCACTGCTCACCGACAAGCATCCTCGTGTTAGGGCCATGGCTTTGCATGGGATTTCTGTTGTATTTGAATGCATTCATGTGATTTCAGCAGTCAATAAGCGTATCTTGCACGAATTTGTATGGCCACATGTTGTGCCTTTATCGCATGATCCCAGCGTGCATGTCCGCTGCACTCTTGTTTCGTGCCTTGCTCGTATATCGACGAACGCAATGCGACTTTGGTTTACGTCGCCGACCGAGTCGTTTGATACGGATGTTCTCTCTTTACAGGAGTTTGTGCGTGATCAAATGTATACGCTTGTGTGTGATTCTTCATCGACTGTCAAGTGTGTTCTACTTTCACATGCCACGTCGTTGTGCACACTTCTGAATACCGATTGCGTCAAGTCTGTCCTTCTCACGCACATGCTGACTTATCTTAATGATGAAAATACTGATTTACGCATGGCATTTTTTGACGCGGTTGTACCAATAGCCAGGCTTTTGGAATCCGATACCATCGAGAAATGCATTTATCCCTTCCTTTTACAGGCACTGGGTGATGATGATGTCCGTGTACAGGTTCAAGTTCTTCGTGCAATCCAGCAGCTTATTCCATTGTTTCAGCCATTTATGCCTTGGAAGCTGCTAGATCGTACCATTAGTTTGCTGTATCATCCCAATCCATGGGTGCGCGAGGCTAGCATTGGCGTGGTGACCGAGGTATCCAGCTTGATCTCAAACTCTGATCGTTGGCTCCGTCTTTATGCTAGAATTCGCCCATACCTTCGCTGCGATATTACGTCTATTACACCTATTTCTCTTTTGGACCATCTTGTATCTCCATTGTCCTCGCATGCTTTACAACAGTGCGTATCAACAATGAAGACGAAGAAAGATGCCACATTTCTTGATCTTTGGTATTCACAGGTTCGCCGTGTGGAAATAAAAGATGGCGTCTCTTCTACTAATATGCGAAAAGAAATGGATGACTTGGTTCGTCCGCCTTCAAGTTCACACTGGATGACGCTCGCTGTGCGAATCGAAGAACCACATCCTAACATTTTATCTCGACTTGATGGATGGGGTATTCCGTCTGGTGATATACCGAAACTTGCGGCACTATGGTGGTATGTCGAAATTTTGGCAACGAAAAATACTCGGCAACAGGCAAAACCGGCACCTCCGAATATGAAATTATCTGGAGTTCGACAACGAACGGTGTTCTTTACCCCACGCATAGCATACCAAGCTTTACCTTCGTCTGTTTCCATTCGCACAGCGCAGAAACGGATCCAAGATTTGGCATGCGTTTCAAGTTCCCAGCAGGATTCTAGGGAACCGCAAGAGCAAAACTCAGAGTCTGAGCTAGAGTCTAAGCCACAATTTGAGATATTGAATGAGCTAAGTCGCAAGTCAGAGCCATCACATTTTTCTTATCGCTCCCATGGACGGACTGCTTCCAAAGCCTCTTCGGACGCCACTTCATTATCTGAGTGTTCGATTAAATGGCCTGTGTTTACCAATCCGAGTACGGCCCAAGCAAGCACGACCCTGATCCATGCCCACGCTGAGCGTGCACGTGCTGAGAGTGCGAAAGAAGAATCAGATCAAGCACCAGGTATGCTAGTTGTTGAAAACACATACGAAGGTATGGATCCCTATATCCACGCACATTTGAAAGCAGCATATCAACAGCTCCAAGAACAATCTAGGACAGTCGTATCACAACATACCCCGTGCATATCACATGTACAAACCTCGCCGGCTGGCAGCCACAGGCCTCATGGAGCACTTGTCGCTTGCCTCACCGAGCACACTGCTGCTATCACGTCGCTCAGTGTCGCATTGGATCAAATGTTCTTTGTGAGTGGCTCCGACGATGGAACAGTAAAAGTATGGGACACGTCTCGTTTGGAAAAGAATGTGAACTCGCGCTCACGTTTGACTTATGCGACGCATCAGTCTCCCATTACTAGTGTTTTAGTTCTAAGCGGCACACATTGCGTCATAAGCGCGTCGAAGAATGGATCACTTCATGTGTGGGGCGTTGGTGTGCAGACGGGAGGCTCACTTCCCCGATATATGCGCCCTCATATTCTCGGCAAGCACACACTTTCAGAAAATGAGTATGTTCGATGTTTAGCACAATGGACAAGTGGTGTGGACCCTGTGGTTGTTCTTGGTACAAGTCGAGGGCGCATAATTCTGTGGGATGTACGCCACATGAATCCACTGCTTACGATGTCCCATCCAGCAGAGCATGGGCCCGTTGAAACGCTTGTACTCGATCCGCAACGGAATTGGATATGTACTGGTACATCTTGTGGTGTAATTGGTCTCTGGGATGTGCGGTTTGAACTTTGTATCCGCGCATGGACGGTCAAGTCACAATCCAAAATTCTCTCGTGCACATTGCATCCATGTTATTCAAGGCGCATCTTGGTTGCATGGAGCACGCATGAACCCTGTTGCTTCGCAACGCTGGATCTAGACACTGGTCTTGTCACCGATATGTTTAATGTCATCGATTTGGAGCACGCTCAAGTGCCAGACGTAGCGGAGAACCTGTTTTCTCCTTGTCAAGACGCGACACATCACTTTGGGGCAGAAACGACCCTGCCTAATCTTAATGGAACACACGTCTTGCTCGCAAGCGTGTATGGATACACCAGCACAGCACAAAAAGATACATCTCTCAAAGGATGGATTCTCTCAGCGGGCTCAGATCGTGTTGTGCGATTTTGGGACTTGGGCCAAGCTGATCGATGTGTGGCGTTCGGAGTTGATGTCCATGGCGAATTTACGTACGTGCTAATACTTTACTTACACATTTTACTACAGCATGTCGAGGGCAGAAGGGACTCCAACTATGCAGTACAACCACGCCGTGCAACATTCAGACCCTGCACTCAAGCGCTCGCCGTTACATATTCATCAGCAGATGAAAATCAAACCGGTTGCGGATGTGTCGCATAATGATACCATTACTACACTCACGCTTATTGAAGTACCGTATCGATGTGTGGTTGCTGGTGATCGAAATGGAGCGATACGAGTGTGGGAATGAGGCTAGACATGGGAAATACGTGGGAGACCTATTTTGTTGGTGGCGCATTGAAAAACATGTAACAAACAAGTACACTCATAAATGATTTGCTTGCACACCTATCGAACTTGGAACCAGCACCGATCCATCATGTGCGGCTCGATTAAACGCCGCCAAATACGCTAAACTTACGAACGATGCTTGGACCATGTTCTTCGTAGTCACGCTTGTCATAGCAAAACGAGTAAAAATCGGGCAACGAACCAAGAAGCGAGCCGCCGTACCAGACAGCGTAGCGCTGCATGCGGTGCGAGATGACATTCACATCCAGACCTGAGCTTCGCGCGAGATTACCACTCGCAGCCTCAGACGCCGCGATACGCTGGCTCACAATAGCGCTGAGGTCCTTCTTTAGTCGCTGGCCGAAGTGTTGGAACATGGTTGAGCCGCCGGACAAAACAATGTTCTTGTATAGCCCACGACGTACATCGATAGGGCTTTGCTGAATGACAGTATCCACAATCTCTGGCAAGGGAGTAAGAAAGTCTGACGATGCAATCTCTGGATTGAAGAAAATTTCTGGGGCAAGGAAACGTTCGTAGCCAACTTCGACGGAGTATGGGCGTCCTGTCACAGAGTTTTCGCCATCATACCGCTCGAAGTACTTGTATGGGTCTTCATCGAACCGACGGAACTCACGAACAATGTCTTGGCATACGTACGAGTAGTCTTCTTTAATTTTTTCAGCGACCCGGCGACTGTCTTCCGCAGGGATATTCGCCGATTCGCCACGCTCACGAAGGAGCTGCTGCACAAAGTACGTAATATCCCTGCCAGCCAAGGGAATGTGTTTGATCGCGCTTCCTATCACGTACCCCTCGGCGACAGGGATTACATGCGTTACACCGTCACCACTGTCAACCACTGTGCCTGTGAGTGTGCGGTCCGTCACCTTGTTGCTTGTCCAACTAGCTGCAAGAGCCAAGACAGCCTGCACGGCAATATACAGGCCTTTGATATTGAATGACTCAAACATGATCTCCGCTGTGGCTTCTCGGTTCTCTGGTGGATTCAACGGTGGCTCGGTGAGCATGAAGAAGTTCTCCTCTGGCTCGGCACGTAGATACTTGAATATGCACTGCTCCCAGAATCGTTCCATTAAATCCCAATTCTCAACAATACCATGGCGAATCGGCTGGTGCACTTGATATGATTTTGAATTGGCGTATGCCTCGTGTCCAATGTGGAAATCCAGGTCATCGATCCCACGCTTCGACACGAGCGACGAGTTAGTCAAGCCGCCAGGCTTCGTTGGCACCGATGGGCGTGTACCTACAGCCTTTCCTGCACTGGAAGAGGCTGTCGCTATGGCTGTAGGAAACACGAAGGACGGCTCGGAATTGCCCGCAAATCTTTCAAGTCGTGAGCGCCTTACTCTCAAACAGCAAATAAACCTACCCCATCTTCGTATACCCCGTACCATTGTCCCTAACGTCAATTAGCTCAATGCAATTTCAGATATACGCACAAAACAATCACATTTGATCGCGACATGGCTTGCTGTGACTGAACGTCGACGTTATCCGTTCTCAAGCGCGCGGAACCGATGTGTGTGCGTTCTTGTGGGACTGGTGCGCGGCTTGCTTGGGCGCTTCTAACTAGGTAGTCTTGACTAGCCGAAGGGCGCACGGGGCGTTCCTTGGGAACAAGTGCTTACGATGGTGTGACTAATCATACCTCTTCCTTTTCAACCAGCATGTCGTGGTCACTACCAGCCACAGCTTATGTGGCACGAGTGAAGCCGCAGGTCGACGCGCCTGTGCGAACGCACATCGCTGCTCGATCAAATTTGTGTGTTACAGATGTGACTTCCAACAACATCAACCAGGTTCGGAGATTAAACGCGGCGCTTTTCCCCGAAACATCCTCCGAGGAAATATACAAACAAGCGCTTGATAAGGACACGAACTCGTTGTATCAGCTTGCGCTCTTTAACGATATTCCTGTGGGCGACATATGCTGTCGAGTCGAGGATGGATCCGATCCAACTAAGTGCAAAATATATGTTATGGTGATCGGCGTGCTGGCGCCGTACCGACGTCTGGGTCTCGCAACGGTACTGATCAAGCACATCCTCAACACGGCTCCCCCAGGGTCGGTGTTCGCTGGACGCCGAGTAGAATCCATCTATCTTCATGTACAAACAAGTAATGAGATCGCCCGTGCGTTCTACGAACGCTTGGGCTTTGCTCTTACCCAAACGATTCCCTCCTACTACTCACACTCAGAGCCGACAAGTGCATGGGTTTTTGAAAAACGGGCATAATGTTATGCGAGGTATCGTGTCACTATCGGACATGTTTACGTCGTTTTTCTTCCAGTAGAAGCTGCTCCTCCCGTTCGTCCTCGCGCCGGCCATACAAGGAGCTACGTTGCTCTTCACGAAGAACAGCGTCTGCACCCGCTTCCATATCGTCGTCACTGTCGATATCACGTGCCATATAGCTGAACATACGTAAGTACCTGATGGAACATACGCTTGCCGATTTCGTCCAAATAGTTGCCATATCTGATCACGAATAGATGCATGGGATGGGCCCACGTTATTATCCTCCAAGATGTCGTCCTCATTCTCATAGTCCACTTCGTCAAACATGTCTTCATCTTCATAACTATTCTGATGTTCTTCATGTTTGTTCTTCGCTTCTTTCCGGAGTCTTTCTGCCTCGATGAATTTTTCTCGCGCGGTCATCGGCCGTCGAGCAGGTGCATAAATAGATGAATGACTTGCGCTTGATTGAAGTGACGTCGGTACTTTATGTAACGACGACATCATTGCGTCGGAATTATTTGAAGGAGTTTTGGGAGGTCGAGTAGACATCGGATTGAATGGCACCCCCATATCCTTAGCCATGCGCTTCATGCGTTTTTCTTCTCGTGTAAGAGCAGTAGGTGCAGGTTTCGCACGTTGAACCTGTGACCTGTGTTGCACCGCGATATTTCTGGCCTTCTCTAGAGCAGGTGCTCGCTTCGTGGCGCGCCGCCCCGCGGCCTTCTCTATCGCGGCCTTCTCAGCCGCACGTGCTGCCGCTTCACGCTGCTCAGACACCTGTTTCTGTAGAGCGACTCTATGTGAATGCAAAAAGTCTCGCTTAGATTGCCGTTCACGCTCACGAGCAGCCCACGCATCTCTTTGGCGCTTGCGTTCATCCTGCGCTTTTTGCTCCTCATCTTTTTTACGCGCTCGCTCTTTAAAATCGCGGTCGAGCTGTACGCGTTTCAGCTGACTCTGCTCCAGCGCCGCACGCTTTAGTTCTTCAAACTAAGCATCAGATATGAACACATTCATAATTCTCAAGAACTTACACTGCTCCCGCCCATCACGCCGTCGCCACGACCCGGCAGCCAGACAAACAACAACACTGATTCCCCAAGCTGAAAGCTGTGCAATGTGGAGGACGAAATTCTATAGCTCTGGCGACCAATCCGAGTTTCAGTGAAGGGCGTGAATGAAGACACCGAGAAAAGGAGGGACAATGAACCAGCGCGCGAGGCTTAGGTCAGCAGGTGCGCATGATCATCAAGTAGTTACGCCCAATGGCTCAGTCGTAAATGGCCGCGTGTCCGACGACGACAACAGCAGCTGTACATACTGACTGGACTAGCTTGCTTGACTTGCTGAATTGCTGATATAAAAACTTTTAATTCAGTATGGATGGCACGAATGGTGCGGATGAATCGATTCGCGCATGGAATTTTGTTCCGATCTCGCTGTTTGTGTCGTCTGGCGCGTGGCGTGTTCCTGAGCTCGCGTCTCCGGATAAATGGCCATCTTATCCTGGCCTGAAGCCTTTACGCGAGGCATCGCATGCTAATGCACTGGACACAATCGTTGGACCAACGCCAGCGTCCATCGGTGTGCACGACAAAACCACGACAAGCGCAGCTGAACTTAAACAAATGACCGACGTCGAAAAGTGTCGGCACTGGGCTTGTGCTGACGGCTACGACGGAATTGCTGTTGAGCTTACAAATGCGCGCTGGCGGGAGCGCTGGGAGCACTTATGTTTACGAGTCGATAGCGACACTCTTCCTCGCAGCTCCAGTCGAGCTAATCTTTCAGCCGCAGATGCAATGGACAGCCGAGTACAATTCGAAGCGGAGGGATGGCGTGCTCATCCACACTTTACGCGGTCCGAACTCAACATTCTCAAGCCTAGTGAGGCTCCATTAGTGATGGCAATTTTAAGCCAATGGCTCGAGCTGGACTCGCCCGATGAGGGTGTTCGCTTTGACTCGGAAATTGCACTGCGTCAAGAACTTGCGCACGCAGCCTACGTCGGTATTGAAGAAGTTATTCTCCCTCCTCCTAGCAGTGATCCTGAGCGTCAGTCTTATTTAGCAGACTATGCGCGAGCTGTTCGCTCGTGCCTCACAAGCATGGCAGGGCAGGCTCCAGTCACAAATGCATCCATGAAAGTCGCGATCCGCCTTCCTGTCAGTTCTCCTCATATTCTTGCATCTATGCTTGTGCACCAAGCTACGAAAGGACCCCATGGCTCAGCGGCGATGCCTGCCGCTGCTTACCTGCGTACCAAAGATAATTGGGCTTGGGAAACTTGGGAGAAACTGCAGGAACTCTGCGGCTACCATCCCCAACTATATGTGGCACTGGATCTGTCCATGCCCTTACCACCGACATCATCCATGATGCGATGGATCAATGAACCGGTCTCGCACTTGTGGCTTCCGTCGTCTTCATTTCTCGCTAATGCAAAGGGGTATCCAGTGTTGTCAAAATCGGCACAAACACTCGTCCAGTATCTGGTTCCCCATGGTCCACATATCGTGCTGAGCGACATCACGTCTCCGCCTCCACAGCATACGCGGGGTGGGCCCATGGCCTATGTCCAATATGTGCGGCACTTGATGAAGGTCATGAAAGCACCAACAAAGCTCGAAAAACTTGCGTTGAAAGTTGGCGACTGTCTTCAGGCGCCCCTTGAACCCATGTCCGACAACCTCGCTGGTGTTACGTACGGTGTGTTTGAAGCAGATTCTGTCAAGTACCGCTTGTATGAAGAAGCAATGTTCCAAGCATTCTCTCAACTTGGCACTCCAACCACACGTCTCCGAGTATGGATTGTGGGGGCTGGCCACGGGGCTCTAGTAAGTCGATGCCTTGCAGCTGCGGAGCGTGCGTCACGTTGGGTGCATATTACTGCTTTAGAAAAGAATCCAGGTGCCTTCATTAACTTACAGGACAGACAGCTCTCTGAATGGGGTGCTGAACATGTTCATGTTCTCCTTGGAGATATGCGCAATATTTCTGTGCCAACCAACGTGTCAGAACGGGCAGATGTCGTGGTAAGTGAGCTGCTGGGGAGCTTCGGCGACAACGAACTAGCGCCTGAGTGCTTAGACGGTGCGATGCGATTGCTTAAGCCAGGTGGCATCTCAATTCCAGGGTCCTATATGCCGTACATCGTGCCCATCACCGCACCTAAACTGCACACAACTATCAAATCAGGCACTATGAACCGGGCTGACGCTGCCTCACTAGCAGGTGAAGGCATGGGCACTGCCATGAATACGGCTGCTAAGTTCGACGCTCCTTCTGTTGTTCTGTTTAAATCCATGAGTTTTCTCTCCGGTCTCGACAGTGCATGTCAGTATCCCCGAGTTCAACCGTGTTGGCGCTTTGAGCATACGTCCATGGATGAAAGTGGCCTTGCTTGCGGTCGCACAGGTCTTCCCCTCACAAACAGCCACAACGCGCGATCGTCCATGAACACGTTCTACATACCACATGCCGGCGTGTGTCACGGATTGGCAGGCTACTTCGAGGCCCATCTGTTTGGCAGTGTCGTACTAAGTATTTTCCCGGATCCAGCACGTGCAAGTCCCGATATGCTAAGTTGGTTCCCCATGTTCTTCCCATTCCGCACGCCACTTTATGTGCCGGCTCACAGCCAGCTCGACGTGCACATGTGGCGCCTTACAGACAACCACCATGTGTGGTACGAATGGAGTGCTGAGTCTTATTTGTGTGTCGATTCGCCATCTTTGCATGCATCTAGCGCATCTGCCTCACCTAAACCTGTGTCGACCCCGATGGTGCAGCAAGATGAGTCGCGTCAGTCAGAGAGTTTGCCACCATTCTCCAACGCTCCTCATACACCCATGGTGCCACCCAGTGCACTCATGGGCACCGGAGTGTCGCAGGCCGATACTTTGGAATCTGCAGCGAATCCTGGAGTTGACGCAAACTCTCTCGTGTATTCACCCCTAAAACGGCGCATTAAAACTGGTCAGACGGACTTGATGAATGCAGGCGCGTGCGGCTTTAAGCTGACTATTTCAACATCTTAATCATCGGTACATCCATTCACCTGTTCATGTGCATGTAGTTTTAGCGGGAAAAGAGTTCATTCTCTATACGATATTATTACAACCATCATCAAAGTTCGTACCCTGAAAAATCATATTCAATGCCAGCCCGCTCTAATGCTGCGCGACGCTTTTTTTGCCGTTGCAAGAGTCTCTGATTAACCTTCGCACGTTCTTCCAGCGTCCGCGACCTTGAGCGTCTTGCTCGTTCCATACGATCCACTGGTGCAGTTCGAAACTTGCGATTCGCACCCACCCACAAGTTTGGATCTACTTTCTCAGGTGGAATCATAGAAAGCTGGAGCATGTGTCCATCAAGCAAGTAGTTATTCATGGTGTCAACAACAATTTCTGCCACATCAGGGGAGTCAAACTCCAAAAATCCGTAATGCTTCGAGCGCCCAGTCTTCTTATTTCGAGAGAGACGAAGCCTGTTGATGTCCCCAAACTGCGAGAAGTATGCGCGTAGTTGATCTTCAAAGAACCCATGAGGAAGCCGGCCAACGTACACAACACCGGTCTTTGTGCCATCCTTATCACCATCGCCAGCCTCACTCGGTTTATGCTCTTTGTGATTTTTCTTTTTCTTCGCCTTCTCGAGTCGCTCCGTGACGCTGGCATTCCCACGGCTACTAGGTAGGTTGGCAACTTCCTCGAGGGTCAGGCCTGCTTGCTTCGTCATTGCATCATCTTCTTCATCCTCTTCGTCCGAGATCGAGTCTGGGAAGCCACTCAGCAATTCAGCGTCGTTGTTAGCATCCTCGTCATCGCCATCCTCAATTTCGGACACTTTCTCGACCGCGTCGCCCTTCTGCTTTTTCGGTATTGTTTTCAAAGACGCTGGAGCTTTGTTTGATGGAAATTGAACAACATTTGGTACCTCATGAATCCGAACCGATTTGATTTTTTTTTTGGTCGGGTTTTGGGTCACTTCGTCTTTCGCTTTCAAGGGCTTACCATGCTTAGCGGGACCCTTCTTTACCGCACTTGCATGCTTCTTTGAAACCGTATCATGTGCATTTGAAAGTTTCTTCGAGCCTAATTTACCTTTGGATTCTCGCACCACTCCCATCGTTTTCACACACTGTTTCAACACTCGTGCAGGTGGGGTGTTGAACGCACGAGCACACCAAAATTTCTGATGCAACGTCCAAAAACCTGAACAAAAATGTTTAAAAAATATGATATGTGGACTCTATTTCCACGTGGACTTCACGTGGCCATAAGAGTCGATCTGGCATGTTCTACCGCCTTCTATGCTCAACGCAGGGACCCACTACTTTAGGCGAGGTGTGAACAGCCCAGCACTCCTCACCCAGTATATTGCGTCATGTCGACGAACGCCGTTCCGGAAATCTTGTGGGCTCAGCGCAGCAGTGCCTCGGTCCCAGAGAAAAATGTGATTATGCTCACCATCAATGTGCCCAACATGACGGCAGAGGCCACCAAGTGTGACCTAACAAACACTGGCTTGCATTTCGAGTCGACCGTCCAAGGTGACGCCTCTAAGGGTATCGAGGGTAACAAGTTCACATTTGACGTCGAATTTTATGAGAACATTGTACCTTCCGAGTCGAAGCAGCATTTAACATCAAAATACCTGTACTTGGTTCTGCGCAAGGAGAAGGCACAAGATGAATATTGGCCACGTCTGACCAAGGACAAGGTTCGGCTACACAATGTGAAGACAGACTTCGACAAGTGGGTTGATGAAGATGAACAAGACGGAGAGATGAATGCTGGCGATGATGCGGGCTTCGATCCCAGTATGCTTGCTGGTGGTGGCGCCGGTGGTATGGACCTTAACTCCATCATGTCAAGTCTTGGGGGTGCCGGCGGCTCGCCTGACTTCGGTGCCATGGGCGGAGACATGGATGCCGGCGATGATGATGATGACGAGGATGACAAAGGGTCAGAAGGAAAGAATCCAAAAGTCGAAGAGACTGCTTGAATGCGCGAGGCTCACGTTCAAGCCCAATACGACTCTAGCCTTTACACTATGTAGTAATACCATGGTATGAAAACATCATTCATTGGTTCGCTTTCATGCGTAGGTATTATCGTCTGCACAAGTGATTGATTTCATCCACAATCTCTTGTGCACGGTGTGTATCTTCTGCCTCGAACTCATACCGTTTGGTGTCATGCATTCTATCGCGATGGGCAACCAAACGGAATGCGTGAGGTATCCTTGGATTCAGGTCACATTGTACGATAGAAGATACATGGTAAGATGCTGACTTGGCATGTGACACGCGCTTCTCGGCAGGACGTCTAGTCGTAAGCAATGTCAAGCCATACACACATAATATGAATCCAATCTCCGTCTAAGGTTATGACACGATCATGGCGCCCGACTGCAATGTGATGCCGTCGACTAACAGAATATGCCTATGCCCATGAGATTCCCCGGCCAATTTATGCAACATACCTTGTAATTCGAAATGATATCCATAGCATTTTTGTACTTTGGTTGTTCCACAACGGGCTGTGATCCTGTGTGGGGTGTGGCAAAAAACGCATCCCTGAGCGAAGTTCGTTCCACTAGAACCAAGTCGCCAACATTCTGGAGCTGAGATACAGTCTGATTTGGCTGAACCAATTCATCGGCTCCTCGGCAAAGAAGTGCATAAGAACTTGCTTGACCCAATTCACATTGGTTGCAAACTTTCTCCAAGACCTGATTTGCCGAAGCATTTATTGGCACTTGAACACTCTGTACACCACTGGCTGTGGGGACGACCATAATTGGCAAAACGGTCATAGCTTGCGAGAGCTGGTCAGTGCCAGCTGCGTCAGTTGCAGTCATCGGTGTTGATACAAGGTCCGAAACATTAGGAGACACGTTTGCCTCATAGTTGTTTGATGCTGTAGCGGTGTTGAACGCACAAATGTTCGGACATAGAGCGAACTCAGTTTCACCAAATTCACCAACTACCAGAGCATAATCAATAGCTGCAGGTAAGATAGATCACGATGACATACCTGGGTAGTCTTCATCAACAAAGCCTCCTTCTACCATACGTAAGACCCAAGCTCTAGGCTCCAACACGGAATTTGACTGGCTCTCATACAAGGGATGAATGGGTCGATGACCGTACTTCTTGATATACGTATATAATCCGAATCCGATAAGCTCTTCCATAGAGGCGGTGTTCTGAACACACATTTGAACTGGTCCTACAAGCTCATTAGTCTTGGTATTGGTCTGGTTTGGATAATATAAATCCACGCAAAATCTGCTTTCAGGTTCGATCCGTCCGATTCGCGCATAACGCGCAAGTTGAATTTCATCAACGCTCTCTTCCGATTCGTTCATGTATTTTCGAAGTAGCGATTGATGTGAACGTGATGGGATTGTCGCAGTTCTCCCAAACGTGATGTCTTTCTTGAAGCTGCCCCGCTCTTGATGCTTTCGAGAGAAAGAGTCAGTCGATTCTGAAGTGGATTTCAGTAGTCCCTCTTCAATTAGATCATTTGATCCAGAGACAGGATTGGTCTTACTGTCATGCGATCCACGCGGATGAGTGACCTGGGGTGTGCTCGAAATAGTTCCATTTCGGGTATTTTCCATCACTGGTGAACCACTAGATGTTTCGGGGAAAGATTTCGAGCTGAACAGATTGAAGTCAGCATCAATATTTCCAAGGGTAGAACCGCTTCCGAGAACAAAGCTCTCGGAAGTGTAAGATGCCAGATGGTCCAAATCTGAAGGAGACGAAATATTCGCAATCGAAATTGATGCTGTCTGCTCTGGCGGAAGTTGTGTTCGTAAAATAGAAGCAAAAGTTTCAAGCGGTTGGGGATTCAATTCTGACGAAGAGTCTTTTTCTGACATCACGCCCGAGTTATGCCAAAGTTTGTCGTGGATTGCTTCCACGTCTGGAAAACGTTTTTCGCGTTCTTGAGGCGCTGGGTTGCTCTTTCCAGTCAAAAACCGATAAGGGACAGGAAGATCATCCAAAGGTGAACTATCACTTGAATCAGATGACGATGCGTCTTGTGGGCTCGCGTTTCCAATGTCCAAAGGCCAGTGCTCACCAGGCAAGTATTTGTGAAAAATTCTTCTTACAGCATTGTGTTTGATTGGAGGTGGTGGTGAGCACGGCGCTGTACGACTGACACCGACACAATCATTAACGGTGTGGTTTACCTCACCAGGTTCAGCGGTTTTCTCAACGCTGAGAGATAGGTTTCTGTCACCTGTCGTGATACTACTATCGAAGTCGGTCAACACATGAGTCGCGTTTGGTTCATTAGAATGCTGAAGGAAACTCGATCGAAGCTTTTGCAATAAGGCACTAGGTGTTAATGGATTGATATACTCACTTCTGGTCAAACCCTAGCGACATGAGGCGTGATGTCTTGTCCGTGTTCGGGTGCGTAGTATCGGGCAAAATAAGATTCGAAATAAAATCATGGAGTCGAGTCTGAATAGAACACTCACTGACCTACAAACACGCAATGTGCTCAATGTCTGAAATCCTGATTACTACGATAGGCGGAGCCTTCCAACTCAATTGTGTCAATATAACCTTTGATTCGACTATCGTATAGAAACGGACTCTAACAAAATGACCTTACTGAACAAGCGCATTAACAGCCTATACCTTAAGCGCTCTGAGCCCTAGACGACATCAGGTTCAACGCACTACCGGCCTTGAACCATTCAATCTGGTTCTCGTTGAATGAGTGCTGCAGAGGAATACGGTCTTCCGAACCATCACGGTGTTTGCAGACCATTGTAATGATGCTGCCTGGGGCAATCGTCGTTACACCCTCAAGGTCAATCATGTCATCTGGACGAACCAGATCGTAGTCGCTCGAGTTCTGGAACGTCATTGGCAGAAGACCCTGTTTCTTACAGTTCGTCTCATGGATACGCGCAAATGACTTGGTGATGATAGCCATGCCACCTAGGTAGCGAGGCTCAAGAGCAGCGTGCTCTCGCGACGAACCCTCACCATAGTTGTCATCACCAATCACAACCCATGGGTGACCGTGGTCACGGTAATAGGTTGCAGTGGCAGGAACGGCACCCCACTCACCAGTGTAGTAGTTTTGCACATTGTTTGTCTCCCCATTGGCACTGTTTGTAGCACCAATCAGGCAGTTGTTCGAAATGTTCCTCAGATGACCACGGTAACGGAGCCATGGACCACCGGCCGAGATATGGTCCGTGGTGCACTTACCCTTAACCTTAATCAAAATCGGCATATCCTTAGGATCCTTGTCCTCCCATTTCTTGAAAGGCTCAAGGAAGTGAAGACGCTCAGAGTCAGGACGGATAATTACCTCGACGTTGGAGCCGTCAGGTGGGGGAGCCTGGAAGGTGTTCTCACCCCGGTCATACCCTTTCGATGGCAGTTCTTCGCCGGTGGGAGGCTCGAAAACGAACTCCTCGCCATCGCTACCCTTAAGCTTATCAGTCATAGGGTTAAATGTCAATGATCCAGCAAACGCCATTGCAGTAACAAGATCGGGTGAAGCCACGAACGCATGAGTGGCGAAGTTAGCGTCGTTACGACCACTGAAGTTACGGTTGTAAGACGTGATGATGGAGTTCTTCTCACCCTTCTTCACATCGTGTCGGTTCCATTGACCAATGCACGGACCACAGGCATTCGCGAGCACCATACCACCGACTTTATTAAGGGTCTCCATCTGACCATCACGCTCAATCGTGGCGCGAATTTGTTCTGAACCAGGCGTGACTGTGAAACCAGACTTCACCTTCAAACCGTGCTTCATACCCTGATTGGCGATAGAAGCCGAACGAGACATGTCTTCATAAGAAGAGTTTGTGCATGAGCCAATCAATGCCACACGGAGCTCCTCAGGCCAGCCATTCTTGATAACCTCATCCTTGAACTTCGACAGAGGGGTCGCGAGGTCAGGCGTGAATGGACCATTGATGTGTGGCTCAAGATTGTCAAGGTCGATCTCGAGGTGATGGTCATATTCAGCGTCGCGGTCCGGCAGAAGGTTGCGGCGGAACTTAGAAGCAGCCTCGGCAATCTCTCCACGGCCCGTGGCTTCAAGGTACTTGGCCTGGCGGTCGTTGAATGGGAACACGGAGGTCGTCGCACCAATTTCAGCACCCATGTTACAGATAGTGCCCATACCGGTGGCAGACAGAGACGAAACACCAGGACCCTTGTACTCAACGATAGCACCAGTACCTCCCTTAACAGTGAGGTCACCAGCGACCTTCAAGATAATGTCCTTTGGTGCAGTCCAGCCTGAAAGCTTGCCCTTCAGCTCAACACCAATTACCTTCGGACATTTCAGTTCCCATGGGATACCGGCCATCACATCAACAGCGTCAGCACCACCAACACCGCAAGCAATCATGTTGAGACCACCAGCGTTCGGTGTGTGAGAATCAGTACCGATCATAAGACCACCTGGGAATGCATAGTTCTCGATGATAATTTGGTGAATAATACCGGAGCCTGGCTTCCAGAAACCAATACCGTACTTGGCACTACAGGTGGCAAGGAAGTCGTAAACCTCCTTGTTGAGCTCCTTAGCATTAGCAAGGTCCTCAGCACCACCTTGATCAGCGGCAATAAGATGATCACAGTGAACTGTTGTAGGGACCGCTACTTTAGGAAGGCCTGCAGACATGAATTGAAGCAGAGCCATCTGCGCAGTAGCATCTTGGCACGCCACACGGTCCGGGCGAAGACGAAGATATGACACGCCACGCTCAATGTCTTGAGTGTGTGGCTCATCCAAGTGGCCATAAACAATCTTTTCCGACATGGTCAAGGGGCGCTTAAGACGGTCACGAACGATCTTCAAGTTTTCTTCCACCTTTTGGTACGGGAGGTAGTAGCCCTTGCCCTTCTCGATGATGCTGAGCTCAATCTTCTTCTTGAGATCGGCTTCATTGAGGGGAGCAGCCTCCTCAGCAACGGTGATGACGTTACGAGTGGCAGCAGCCGCTCGGTGGGCCCGCATAGCCACCGAGCGGAATGCGGGCGAGCGCATCGCACGGTAAGAGAGCATGATTGCGAAAAGCTTGAGTGTATGCTACAATCCAAGTATTTAAAGCCATTCATCCTCCCGAGCCACTCCTATGCATTGTAGCCTGCAGCCAATCTACGGCAATAATCGGATGGCTGGCATAGAACAATTTCAACCTATAACATTCTGTATTTTTTGTAATCACCATGAGGTGGGCATGCATTGCCAATTAGACTCCCATCATTGGCCCATTCTATTGTTCCCTCGGCAAATATCATTTCGTCTTTCTGGCCAATGATTTTGTATTTTCACTTGCCACCAACGGGCCAAGACCGGCTCCGACAAGGCAGGCACGCACTACTCGCGGTCCGTTCGCTGAGAAATGATCGTCAATTCGTGCAGGTCAAAAAAAATTTCATCTATACAGTGCTGGAACTTTCACAACACATACAAACTGTCGCTATAGGACAACAGGCAGATAAACGACTAAGACTTCCTGCACTTCCGGCATTCATCATCTGACACAAAATGCAAAGACGAAGAGAGAATCACGGAGAATCATAGACTAGTAGATAATTCTCTAGTCGCTTCCAGCTTCCTCTTCAGCCAAGAGGCGTTCAGCGTCTAGTGCTGCAACACACCCACTTCCCGCAGACGTAACAGCTTGCCTGTATTTTTTGTCTTGAACATCACCAGCTGCGAATACACCATGCACTGAAGAGAGTGAAGTGCCAGGCTTTGTCAAGATGTATCCGTCTTCATCTAAATCGACTTGGCCTTTCACAATGGAAGTGGCCGGAATATGACCAATAGCATAGAAAAGACCATTGACTTGCATGTCTCTCTCCTCATTCGTCTTTGTGTCCTTCACACGAATAGCATTCAAGAGCTCACCGTCACCCTTTGCCTCAAGAGCAACTGTGTTGAAAAGAACAGTGACCTTCGGATGAGAGAGCAAGCGCTTCGCCATGATCTTACTCGCACGAAGTTCATCGCGGCGAACAAGTACATAAACATGACTTGCATATTTTGTGAGATAAGTAGCCTCTTCCGCTGCAGAGTCACCACCACCTACGACAGCCAACGGCTTGTTGCGGAAAATAGGGACAGCGCCATCACAGACAGCACATGCACTGATACCGCTCTGCCAGTACACTTCCTCACCTGGAATATGCATTCGACGAGCGGATGCACCCGTCGCAATGATAAGGACCTCGGCAAGTTCAGGCTCCTCGTTTTCAAAGCCTTCCCGCCAGAGTTTGAAAGGACGACTAGACAAGTCCACCTTCGAAATGGTTTCAGTGTGAATCACGGTCCCGAAACGCTGAGACTGCGCACGGAACTTGTCCATGATCTCGGAACCGCCAATCCCATCCGGGAATCCAGGGAAATTTTCCACATCAGTAGTAGTAGTAAGTTGTCCACCGGCAGCGATTCCATTTGCAAGAAAGCCTTCGTACATCACTGGTTCGAGGTTCGCTCGGGCCAAGTAAATAGCGGCAGTGTGGCCAGCTGGACCGGATCCAATGATGACCTTGCAAAAGCGTTAGCATGAATAAACCAGAAAGTAAGATTCACTTACCACCTTGTGAGGTTTCTTCAAGCCAGTATCACTTTTGTCGTGAATAGGTGCCATTGTAGTGAAACCTGAGGAGAACCGAGAGAACTTGAAAGTTGGATGTGCAGAACCCCGGAATAAACGACGATTTAAATAGCTATCACAAGAGAACTGCCAAAGCTTGTATAGAGAGCAAGATTTCAGCGAGTTCCTGAGAATGCTTCGGGTGCCCTGACAATGTCAGCACAAAACCATACCGAACATACGAGCAACAACTGTGGCGTTAGAATGGCGATTGGAGATCAGAACGATTGACTCGCATTCGCCCCACGGAATTGCCTCATGTCTTAGTCACCCCGGGTTACATCTGAGTAAACAATAGAGTCGTAGTTTAATTCCGCGAAACCAAATTTGACCATTTAAAAGCATTATTGCAGCTGACTGGACGACTATGTCGCTCCACTTGGGTTGAACGGCACGCGCACAGTTTATGCATGCCTCAGGTCTTGTCAGAGTGAACAAGTCCTTCAAAAGGACTTGTTTATGCCGTACATTGATTACCACTCGACGCTTTGATATCTACTCACATTTCCAAGATGAAGTCAGTGGTAGCAATTATTTTGACGCTGCTATTGACGGTAGCAATAGGAGCCACGGCTGATAGCATACAGGCTGGCAATGTCGGTATTCGCCGTCACGAAGGCATGTTTCGACGCGCGAAATCTAATGACAATCAAAGCCATAACAAGTGGCATGGACACAATGGAAATGACAATGCAGATAACGGAGAAAAAGATGATGGAGATCACGAAGGTAGAAACGATAAAGGAAGCGGTTCAAGCGATAATGATGACGTTGAGCATTATCTTGTTGTTAAGACTAATGAGGGTCGCGTCCGAGGGTTTTATAACTCAACCTCGCAAGCATATGCCTGGAGAGGTGTGCCTTACGGTATGGATACAAGTGGTGAAAACCGATTTATGCCGCCCAAACCAGCCAAAAAGTACAAGGGCGTCAAAGATGTAACGAAACAAGCCAAAGGATGCCCGCAGCACGGTAGTGGCACGTCGAGAGCGGCCATTTCATTATTTGGACTCTCGACAGATATTTTCAAAGATGAGAATCAATCTGAGGATTGTCTAACAATGAACATTTTTGTGGGAAAAGACAATTGGGAAAGCTTCCGCGACTCTGGCTCCGAAGGCAAGAAGCTGCCAGTTTGGCTCAACATTTATGGGGGTTCTTTTGAGTGGGGTGCGTCCAATGTCGAAATGTACCAAGCCTACGATCTCGTGAGTAAAAATGATATCATATCGGTGAGTATCAATTTCCGTAACTGGATTTTCGGATTTCCCCAAGCTCCGCAACTCTACCCAACGAAACACACCGACGATTCAGACTACCAGGGAGCTAATCCAGGCATGCTTGACATAGACCTTGCGATTGAATGGGTCTACAAAAATATTGACAAGTTTGGTGGCGATCCCGAAAAAATTACAATTGGTGGGACAAGCACTGGCGCTTGCGCGGCTGATAACTGGGCATATACTCATTACAACAAGCCATCCTCCAAGTATGTAAACGGGATTATACTTCAAAGTGGATCCATGACATCGCTTGGTCGGTATTTCGTTGCGGACCCTGGCGATGACTTCACTGGCGATGACAGCGTATGGAACATTGTGGCTAAGTACTTGGGCTGCGGAACAAGCAATAGCCGGGAGCAATTCAAGTGTATGCAGCATCAAAGGTGGGAAGACGTGATTCATGCAACATTTGCAACAAACACATCCTTTTTGATGACCCCAGATAATATTACTGCTTACGTGGATTACGGCGAGCGTTTGGTTCAGCACAGATTTGTTGATGCTCCTATGTTGCTTGGAAATACCAAGGATGAAGGAAACGCCTGGCTTATCCACAACGCATACCTGACGCGCATTTTGGGACCTATCATTACGGCTGAGGTTTGGGTGTGCCCCACCCGTGTGCAAGCTAAACACCGAAGGGGCTACGCACCCACCTGGCGCTACCGTTTCAGCCCATCATTTTACATCCCCGACACTCCGAAGAAATACCAGTCTCTTCTAACGTATCACGGCAGTGACACCCCCTATTCGTTCGACACGTGGCAACAACTGAGCTATATTCCTACAGAAGAGGCGAAGAAGGACAAAGGACCTGTATTCCAGAATCCGCTTGCAACGGACGATAACAGTGTTCGCGCGCCAGTCGCAAGTTTGTACAGTGCTGCTTTTGTCGCATTTGTGTCTGACCCGCAGAAGGGTCTGTACAACTTTCATTCGGGATGGCCGGAATATACACCGGACCAGAGGAGCATCGGCGACTTCGGCTACAAAAACAGTCCTCATTTCCGCCTAGCTGATTCATCGGAAGTGGATGGCCTCTGTCCTTTCACCGACGCTGAGATCAAGGAAAACAATGAGAAGTGGAAGGCCACCGCGCAGCGCTACCGATCGTACCTTATCTAATGATTCGGACAAATCCTTGAATTTTCAACTTTTCGTTCTTTTGAAGGGTGCAGCGTGTTATGTTTTTTTTTTCTGGAACATAAGGTCATTCAGTTATTTCTATTTTAGAGGATTTAATGCAGTTAATAACCATAACTATCTTTAAGAACCAACAAAACGTCCCTGCATGTTCTTATGTTACTCGATGCAAGTACTAAGAAAGACAATGTAATCTGTTCGACGAGCTAAAGCATTTTAAAACCCCTGTTATTCCTCGCCGGCTCACACGCACATAGCATTCCGAGTTTGAGAATCAGAGTCAGCATTGCTATTCTAGTGAACAAAAACTACCACCGTGTCTTATACCAGAACAGATATGCTAGCGGCAATTTTTTGGGACAAAATACAGCAGCCATGAACATGCTTCAAGATGCATGACCATTGAAGTGTATTTTTGTATCGTCAGACATACACGAGTTTTACGTCACTCCATTAACAACCCAGCACCCCACTTTACGGAGCAAAGAGTTGCTCAAAGAATGCCTCGCTGGTAGCAGTGCGAGGGGTCTTCGTGTTCTTCTTCAGCTTACCAGCGCGACGCTGAGCCTGCTCACGCAACTTGCGGCGGATCGAGGCCTGGGCGTAAGGGTTCAGACGGAACAAGACACCACGGTTGCGCAATGGGTTCTTCTTCTGCGTGAATGGACGCTTCGTCTGCTTTGGACCAGCAGGACGCACGACGCTTTGGATTTCGTCCGAGTTGATGAGACGAGTGACATCAGGCATCGTGATCTTGGCACTTGGGAGGTGGAAGCCTTTCTTAACTTCCGAAGCACTTTCGTACGTGCCAAAGATCTTGTCAAGCTGCTTGAACGCGTCCTCTGTCCAAATCACAAAGCGACCCAAGTGGCCACCAGGGGCGAGTTGAAGAAGGTTCAAGCTGTGCACGCTGGCAATCTCAACGCCTGGCAGGTTACGGAAAGCCTTAACAATGCCATTGTCCTGATTGTAGATGACAAGAGGACCACGACGTTGAGTGTGACGACGGTTGCGCAGCTTACCGATACCAGCACGGATCTTGCGCGAGTTCGAGACCTTGATCACATCATCGTAAGCATTGAGAGCCTTCAGTGCGGCGATAGCTTGCTTGGTCTTGGTGAATGACTCAATCTCGTTCGAGACAATCAGCGGGACCTCCTCAATTTCCTCAACGCGGTGACCACGAGCAAGGACGAGCGCAGGAAGGGCGGTCGCGGCGAGAGCTGAGGCCGTCGCATAGCGGCGCTGAGTCTGATTAGTCTTGATGAACCAGCGGCGCCAGACCCTCGTTGGGGCGAACATGTGACCACCACGGGCCATGTTACCGAAAGCAGCCTGACCGGAGCGATGCGTACCGCCACCGCCAACACGGGGGATACGAGCCACGGCACGACCAGTACCCCATGATTCAGCAGAGGTCTGGTGACCGGCATTGGAGGCGACAGCGTAAGGCTGACGCTTGTTCTTAGCCAGGTTCGCTAAAAAGTGTAAGTCATGTTTCGATTGTGCAAGGCAGATTGAGCTAACGCGATGATGAGAACGTGACACGAGCTAATAAACATAAAGATCCCACCCATGATATGCCTGCATCATCTACTCTCCCAGAATCTGCCCATTTGTGACGATTACTTACAGTGAATAGCCTGGACGACATCCGGACGGATCGGCGCGTTGAACACAGCCGGAAGTGGCAGCGATCCTGAAGCCGCACCGTCAATTCCTCGCACGTTCACAGTCGGACGAGCAGCCATCTTGAGGATTGACCTGAGTGTAGGACGAGGAAAGTGTCTGTATGGGCGGAAGCTCTCTCGACACACATGCTTGCGCCTGTTCCAAGCAAATTTCCAGTTCTCACGCACACGTGACATGTGGCAGTTTTACAATGCCCTGCACATGGATGCCACATGGCTTCCAATATCCTTGCCTCCACAGCACCTCGTCGGGATTTTTTGTCATTTGAACACGAGCACGCAAGACATGCATCGAGGCACAGATCACCAATGACTTCGATCACGGCTCAAATGTAGCAGCGGGTCCCTGCGCTGCATGTTGTACAGCGTAAGCTTCCTTCGATTCACATATTACTACAATTTAAAGAACTGACACTTCTGCGTTAATGAGTGCGGTAACTCCATCGACATCTGAGTACGCCGTTGATGGCGCGAGTGTAAATGAGCAAATTCAACGTATTGTGGCAGACTTGCCACAGGTCAATGCTCATCTTGAAAATGCTTCCCCGGTTGAGATCCTCAAGTGGTCCATAGACCACCTGCCCAATTTATACCAGACCACTGCTTTTGGTCTCACGGGTTGTGTAACTTTGGATCTTATTTCAAAGATTAGCGCTGAGCGCAGCAAGAACGAGTCTTCTGTCCCCCATCACCTTGTGCCTCTGATCTTTGTTGACACTCTTTACCATTTCCCACAGACTCTTGACCTGGCAAACCGTGCTTCATCACACTATAATGCGCCTATGCATGTTTACAGGCCGATTGGTACAGATACAGTGTTAGAGTTCGAGAGACGCTGGGGGCCCGAGTTTTGGGTGCGTGAAGAAGACACATACGACTATCTTGTTAAGGTTGAGCCGGCACGACGTGCATATGAAGAGCTTAATGTACGTGCGGTGTTCACTGGACGTCGCCGCTCGCAGGGAGCAGACCGAGCTTCTTTGCAAGCGGTTGAAGTGGATGAAACAGGGCTCATCAAGGTTAACCCGCTGCTAAATTGGTCATTTTCCGATGTGGAAAAGTACGTAAAAGAGAATGCGGTTCCATACAATGAGCTGCTTGATATGGGCTACAAGTCGATCGGAGACTGGCATTCGACATCACTCCCGACTGGGAAAGATGGCGCTGACGAGCGTTCTGGGCGTTGGAGTGACAAAGCTGGCAAGACGGAGTGTGGCTTGCACAAGGACTACTTCAAGTTCAAAGTGTTGGCAGAGAAGAAATTGCGTGAGGCCGAACTTAGTCGGATCGATGCGAGTCGTCCTTAGCTGCTCGCACGTGTCTATATGTATGTAGTTATGTATCATAACTTATTGTGCGGACAAATCAGCTGGTCGAAATCGTGAGAGCGTTAATGAAGCTCAGAGCTAAATTGACGTTAAACACTTGTCACCTACATTAGTTGTTGACTACGTAAAGGAGCAGCCACTGCATCTTCATCGTCAACTACCAGCTCATGAAGAGCGCCTTGGAACACATAACGAATCAAAAGCTGCTTGCGCTCGCCAACGCAAGGATCGAAGAAACCAATCAACTTGGACTTTGATCGACCAGCTGGAATAATAAGCTGGCTCTGGGTCACCAACATTTGTAGGGGAACTTGGACATCCCACCATAGTGGTTGGTTCACATTCGTATCGTTATACTCTCCTTTCTGCTGAATAAGTGGAAGAATTTCTTTTTTATCTTTGATACGACTCAAATCAATGTCAACAAGAGTGGGAAATGCATCGCGTCGACCATAGTAAGCTTGTACGATGACCAGGCCATTGCGTGTGAGCTCAGCTTCTGCGCGCTTCCAGGCCTGGGGGCGCAGAAGCTCGCGAGTCTGTTCCGCTGAAGTGCGTCGTTGTTCGATTTCAGCCATTCTCTCATTGCGAACCTTAGCCAGGCGCTTGGCTGCCGTCCGACGTTGCTTGGGTTTGAAATAGAAGTAATGTGAACATGCCATAAGTACTGCAGGTACTAGTGCGGCCGACATAGCAAGATCGGGACGGAAGTTTGGTGATAAGATAATGGGGAAAACCAAGCGTTGTCCAAGGCGCGAGACGCGAAGTTTGAGCTGCACACCAGATGCTAGTCCGCATTCGACACCAAGTAACATGCGAATATTTTCAGTGACTCGACGCTCACTATTCGTGAAAGCAGAGATCCCGGACATGGTTCCTAAAGTGATGCCGCTCTTAATTTTGAAGCCTCCCAGCAGCTTCATCGTCCAGTCATAGCCAATGGATTGGTCCATGCCAGATAATGCGCATTGGAGCGTCCAAGAAGTGCCGTCCATATGCTGCTTGGTAGTTCCAACAACCATTGCACTTACATCATCGTATATTGGCTCACCATTCTCATCTGCTCCCCAATTACCAATTGTATAGGCACCCGACTTAAAAGACGTGAAGCCTGTGAGGCTTGACTTACTAGATAGCCTTTGAGCATAAGTTAGGGTCAAAGATGGCGGCGTGTTGATAGTTTGTGACACCAAAGCATAGTTGAAAAACATGTTTTCATCCACCATGTACTGGCCTTTGGCCGTGAGGATGTGAGGGCGCAGGAGTGACGCACTTAGCTCAGAAAAAAAGCGTGGACTCCAATGTGTCTTTAGAGTACCAATGAGGTTGCCACCACCTGCCTGGCCACGACTCATTAATTGACCAGAGACTGAGACCATGGATTGTTCAGTAAGAGGTATGTCGAAGCCATGCTTTCCGATAATTTGAGGGCAAGACACGAGCGCAAGGCGTTTGTCCATAGTCAATCGAGGACGGATGGCAGGACTAAGTGGTGATGTCTTGAGCACGTTTGGCAAGAATAAAGAGGTTGCATTAATGACCGCAATAAATTCGCCACGAGAGTTTACGAGGCTTTCGGCGTCGGCTGCTTGGCGAAGTCTTGACTGACGCTCGAATTCTGCACGCATGTCAGCAGGAGTTTGACCTGGAACAGCTACAGTCCATGTAGACCTAAGACCTTCTTCACCAAAGTGATCGTACACAGAGCGTTGTTCAGGGTCACTGAGAACTTGGTACGCTTTGTGGACTTCTTGAAATGCTTGTTCTGCATAATCTTTGTTCTGTTGCCCAGGGTGTTTGTCGGGATGAAATGCCATAGCTAAAGTTTTATACGCGTCGCGGATCTGTGCCTCTGTTGCATCCTTATCAACATTGAGGAGAGCGTAGTATGGACGTGCGTTCGAATCAGCTGATTCCGCCTGGTTTGTATGTGCGTCGCGAAACGGCGTACCGCCAAAAAGCGGCTCTTCAACCTGTGGATCTGGTTGGCGTGGGCCACGAAGGTCATATTATAAAAAATGTTAGTGTTTTAAGACACATCATGACATACTAAACGACATGGATGGTTCGTCCCTAAGGGACGTCATTCCCTGAACTCGTGAACTGCTGTGATGGCCAGTTAGTGCGTGGAGACCCTTCGTCGCCCCTCCATCTCGTTTATTTGGCCCTTTTTTAGGTGCGCGGATTACTGTAGAGAGAGGCATTCCGCTTTTTTTTCCTACCTGTTCCCTAGCAGTTTTGCCACGTCGGCATCTAGACTCACAAACATATGCATAATCAATCATCACTGTTATCCTTTTCGCCTAAGGAATATATAACCATAGATGCACCGGACCGGCGAGTAAAAAGAGAACGAAAGAAGAGGACATTTTCAGTGGCACTAACAGACTTGACCGTCCAATTTGTAGCAGTAAGGAAGGAATTAACATTGTAATGATATTGCAGATTTCATCCACTAATCTCTATGTCCACCCTTTCATCATCTTTCTAGTTCGATAACTTCGTCAGAATTCGACAGCTGGGAATTTGGCGCTAGTCCCCACTGCCATACACGGTCGCATTGACCAACTGGTAGGCATGACAATATTACAAATATTTATTTGAAGTGTACCAGCGCATTGTCGACACCAAATACTATACTCTCGTGAACATGTCTGAACAAGCACAGGCTCCAGCGCGCGGAAACGATTCTGTCGCAAATGCTGCGCCCGAAGTTAAAGCGGGAAGCCCGAATGACTTTTTAAAAAGTAAGCTGCGTAAATATAACGTCTGTAGCTAACAGCTGAAAGGTGTCATCGGTAAACCTGTTATTGTTCGATTGAATTCCGGCATCGATTATCATGGTGCGTGTTCAATTTGAACTGGCAAGCTAATGTATCAGGGACTCTATCATGTCTTGACGGATACATGAATATTGCCATGGAAGATACAACAGAGCATGTCGACGGTGTTTTAAAAACCACATACGGCGATGCGTTCATTCGGGGCAATAATGGTATGTTTTTGTTTCTGTTTGTTTTTTTCCTGCATTTGCAATACAATAAACACCGCTGACCGATGTTAGTACTGTATATTACTGCGTTGGACATCTAGTGTAGTATCCTCCCGACATAGTGACGACAAATCCAGGTGATACAAAACCTTGATGATTATTCACTCGAAAGAACTTCACACTTTAGACATGCGCTACTCCATTCAGCACCACACAAGTCTTGCCGTGCAGAGCTTCAGCAGATGCGACTATTCAGAAGAAGTCGGATGGCATCACGCGTATTCCTACGAACGACATCTGTAGAAAATGATACACCATAATCAAACATTTGAGTGTTACACGAGCTTGGCAAATAGTTTTCTAAAAAAGCGTCAGTGCACAATCCCCCGGATAATTAATACGTACGGTGCCGCGCACTCTAGGGCACAGTGAGCAAGGTGGACTGGATATGTGTCAGTACATATTTCAGCAATAGGGGAGTGCTATTTCGAGACCCGATGCACATACAGCTGTTATGTTAGTCTTATTCAGAGGATAGTCAACATACAATTCTTCGACACAGTCTTCACCCTCATAACCTTTGCCCTCTGTTACACGCTCCTGGCATTCTTCAAAGTGATGCCGAGCCTCTGAGCATCCAGACGAGTTTTGGCATTCTGCACGTTCTGTAAGCTCGAGTTCAACCGCTAGATACATACGCTCATAAATTTCCGGGTAAGGCTGAAACAAAGAGGGGAAAGCGTATGTCAGTCGACAGCTCTCTCTTGGCACAAGGAAAAAAAAAACATACATCTTCAATCTCCTGCAACGTTAGAAAGAACCAAACAGTGCGCAACATACCTCTTCCTCCTCCTCCTCGTCTTCTTCCTCATCGTCGTCATCGCCTTCGTCATCGCCGCCCTCACTTGGCTCCTCGGACTGTTCCTCCTATCGTTTATGTTAGTATCCACAACTCTGCATTCTTTTCGGAAATGCGTACCTCGCTGTGTGCCACAGGGAATAAGGACTCGTACCAAGTGCTGGCAGACGTTCCTTCGACGGCCGTCGAGGTCGAGCCCATGTTCATGATCGTCGCAAAGAGGGACATATTTTTGAATGCCGTCAGTCACAAACGCAGAGACGCCAGGTCGTCAAGCTAGCCGACGTTGAGCTATTACCAATCCTTCTCTACCCCGAACCGTCCCGAATTTCCATGCTCCATCACGTGATCAGACTGGTTCCTGATGGAGCGCTAGATGATCACAAGGCGGGTCTGTGCACGGCTCACTATAAAAGGCCGGGAAGCCGCCACACAAACCTTTCCTTAACTCTAATTTCATCATGGTATGTTACCAGTAGTGAGCTTTCGTTGTCTGACCGTGCAGGCTATTGAGAAGGGTGCAACTATTCCTAACACGAAGATGGGTCTGATTCCCTGGGCTCCTGAGCTTGACTCGGGTGAGGTGTGCGGTGTCCCCACCTCGTTCGAGACTCACAAGGAGTGGAAGGGCAAGAAGATCGTGGTTGTTTCAATTCCGGGTGCTTACACCCCTATCTGCCACCAGCAGCACATTCCTCCCCTCGTGAAGCGTGCTGATGAGGTGAAAGCAAAGGGCGTGGATGCCATCTACGTTATTGCGTCGAACGACCCCTATGTCATGTCAGCGTGGGGCATCTTTAACAATGCTAAGGACAAGGTTGTTTTCGCCTCCGATCTTAACATTGCATTCTCGAAGGCCTTGGGCGCGACAATTGACCTGAGCTTCAAGGACATGGGTGAGCGTACCGCTCGTTACGCCCTTATTATCGACGACCTTAAAGTTGTCGATTTCGGATCGGACGAGGGTGACACTGGCAAGCTGCAGAATGCTTCTGTGGAAACCATCCTCCAGAAGCTCTAAGTAATATATGTAGAATGCGCTACAAAGAATTATTCTAGCTTATCGATTCAAGAGTGAATGTCGAATCAAGACGTTTGTTTTTTTGACGAGATTTGGTGAGAGTCGTGCGAGTAGTTTCCGGCATGATGTTAAAGAGTCAAACAAACGAAATTGGTAGGAACCTATAGTAAGTATGGATGCAATTCTTCGATGGAGAGCGAGGCTTTTCTGTACATGCCTGAGAGTACTAGAACCGAAGCGGAAATCACACTCGTGAAAAATTGGATTGAACCAAACGTTGTGACACGATTCATGTCACAAGCGTGGGGTTGAAAGTTTAGTCCATTTTCTAAACAAAACGTCAAATGACAAGTATCTGAAAGCATCGAGATTCAAGTAAAAGGCGAGCCCAATACTATATTTCTTTGAGAAGACTGGGCTATGTGACTGACACAATCAATAACTTTCAAAGTAGACAACTTCTGTAGGAAGAAACCATTGGACGAAAACATACAGATGCATTGCGCTACATGTCATCCATTCCACACTACTGAAGATTTATCTAAGTTAAATTCTGACCAATTTAAGCAACTATAAATCATCAAACATCAGGAGCGTCAGGACTCACTTCTTACTGAGACTTGATTCTTTGCCTTCGCGGGCAAACATTCTCGAGCTTGATGGTGATGTGTAACTAGTCCGGGATCAACTGTCCGTGTGGAGGCCATGCGTCATCAAACACATGTTGAGGCAAGCCTGTCGGGATAGTAGGATAGACACGTTTTGACTAATTTACATATGTATGGAATCATGTTGCTTGAACCGGCCTATTTAATCAGTAATTCAGTAAAATCGTATCCGGATTTCTCGCTAGCAGACGCGAAAGTCTCAGGATTTCGAGCCATGAATTGCTGCCGGAATCGTTCGACAAGATGCAGTCGGGTCACACGGTTGTTCGAGAAGGGAACCATGGACTCAGCCGTGTCGAGATAAATTTGGCTCATGATATCGCTTTGCATTGCGAGATTGCGGACGAAGCGGGGAAGCGTGGCAAATGAAACTAAGCAACCTTCACCAGCGGGAGAGAAATCTGGCAAGCCAGGTCGAAGTTGCAACGTCACATGAAAGTATGTTTCATCTGTGACGGAATAGTCCACGCCTTCACGAACGGTTGAATGAGGCGAGATGACTATATTCACAAAGTTGAATTGACTAGGAATCGTACCAAATTCATAAGGCAGACCAGAGTCATTGAAAACGATATGAACCCAGTCATTTCCAATAAGCGCTTTCTTGTGAGATCGGTTGGGATCTTCCGGATGATTCGGCATCAATGTACTTGTGTGGAAGACAATTTGTTTGCTGTAGTCGCGCCAGACGTAAGCATACTTACCATGCTCATTTGACTGGCGGTCTAATCCGCCTGTATATACGTCTTCCTGTCCAAGAAGAGGAACTAGATCACCTAGGCGAGATAGGAAAAGCATGTAAGCCATTGAACCGTGCGTGTTACTGAGAATCTCATTTTCAGTTGTTTGCTTGTACCCAACATACACAAGACCGATCTTGTGGAAGTCATACACAGGTGTTAGGTCCATAGCACGTAGAAGGCGTTCAGTCATTGGATCGTCTGGCAGCAGAATCGGGGGCGTTTCATTCGACTGGTCAGGGTATCCACTGAACTGGAGCGCCATAAAGATTGGTTCAACGTCAGTCATGCGGCTAGTCTGTAAACGATCGTCTTCGGTACGTTTTGACAAAGCGGTATCTGAGGGCGTGTCAGGCATACAAATGGCTGCCTCGGCTGACTCAGACTCGTTAGGCGCCTCAATAACGGGCTTATTGATGGATCCCTCCGATTTCCATCGCTCTAGAGCAGCAGCGAGGATGTCGGCCGTGCGCTCCTCCGCTGTGCGACCGTCAGACACCATGTTTTCCAGGCGACACACAAATGCGACTGTGCCGGAAGGTCGTCGGACTGTCGCTTCGAAGGTGCCACTGCGTGCAAGAGGGCGTATAGATATGAGGCCTTTGCCTAGGAGCCATGTTGATCCTCGGCTCGGAGGAGCCACATCATTCTTTTGTGCTAAGAGTCTGTGCAAGATGGAGCGAGAAGGCTTTGGCAAAGCGTTGCTGTAAGTGAAGCGAGCAAGAAAATCAAGGCACACGATGGTCTGATCACTTGGAGACTCTCGTCCTTCGTTTGCCAGCATGAGGCCTTGCGTGATGTACGAGGCATGTTTTGGCCTCTCGCTCAACTTTAGTGTCATAAACCACTGTGAGATATTGTTGTAGGCAAGCAGGAGCACATATTGTGACAAGGCAAACTTGGCCGGACTTGAGCGCAAATCCTCACGAGTATCGCTTGCTGCTTTGCTTTCATGGAACTGAATATACTGCAAAGCAATGCCAAAGACTCGGCGATAGTCGGCTTCTGTGAAGTTTGCATACAAGGCTTGCACACTGCTGACTTCGGCAAGAAGCTCAAGAATATGAACACTCATCTGAATCGATGACATGATCGTTGAGAGCTTCACTAAAATATTTGTTAACTGTCGCGTAAAGGATTTTGACAGTTCGTAGCCGGCCACAACAAGGGCACGAACACATGGTTGAGCCACTGTCTGTGAGTGTGACAAGCCAGCTGCAAATGCTTCGACGAGCTCATCCTGTTGTGCACGAGTGAACAGGCAATGATAAGCCATTAAAACCTTCAGCGTGGCGTACAATACGGCTGTGAGGTCTGTGCGGCGCAAATCGCCTGGTAAGACCAAATTCGGCAAGGGCTTGTTTTCCAGCAGCAATGGACAAAGCCAGTCGCGCAACTCGCAAATCTTGGTCGTTGCCTTGACGCCACAGAACAAATGCTTGTTGTTCAATTGCGACGGAAGATGTGAAATGATGTAAGATAGGACCTCCCAGTCTGACTCGCTCTGTAGGATATTCAGCATGGCTTCAAGATACTCAGACGTTGGAAAGAGCATAGGAACTGTGTCGCTTTTATTGTCTTCCGCATGCTCAGCAATTCGACTGCCATGTACACCAATCTGGGATACTTGCCAGATACAGCTGCTCCATGATGCTTCAGGAAATTCGCTCGATGGAACCTCAGGCGGCGCTGCGTTGCTTTCCTGCGTCTCATCCACGGAAGGTTGCGAAGTGGCATGTGAAAGGGTCGAGGAATGAGGCCCTGAACGTCCCCGATCTTGTTGATCACGTGGATCTTCATTGCGAGACAAGGTTTGCACGAGAGACTTGGTAAAGTCTTCCTCATGGTTTTGGAAATAGATCCGATGCTGCGTGTCGGCACGCAGACGCAAGATCCAACGTAAAATCATGAGTCGAAGCGATACGGGCACACGAGTGCTCGAGGAATTGGAATCTTCAGACACGGAAGAAAATGGCGCGTTAGCTTGTATCATGCGCAAAAGTTCGCGGAAGACAGCCAAACTACACTCTCGCAGCCGATCTTGCACTTCGCTAGTGGAGGTGTCAAGCTCAGGAGCCATTGTACTGGCATCCGAGATACCGAAGGCCATTTGCATGAACAACGTGATAAGATCGAGGATCGATCGCGTCGCCCTAGTCGTGCGAAGTCGAGCATCGCGTATATCGTCAACGTTGTGAGGCCCTACACTGCGTTGGCGCGAGTGTTGTGCCATAGCTTGAGGCTTTTCTAGGTTCTCGGCATTGGTGAGATTTGCCTTAAACACATTGTCGACCAAGCAGCGCAACAAATCGTAGAAGGGTTTGCATCCATTTATCGTTGGCGTGCATACGGCAGTGACCATCGCATGTCGCACCATACGACGAATCGGAACCCCAATTTCGATGTCTGTTTCTTTCTGAGCTGCCCGGGACGCCAGAGGAACGACCACGTGCTGGATCATTGGATCACGCAGCAAAGGCAAGTCCTGGACGAATCCATACACATCGACCACAAGCTTCACGGCATACAGACGGCTTGTTCTTGACATGAGAGCATGCATACCAGAAGCATCGAGGCCAGATTTTGGATAGAATGTATCACAAAGCTGGATAAGATTGTCAAGCCAATCTGGTGTGCTTGGAAGATAGATGTGTTGGTTCTCGTTCGCTTTGATCATACTTAGCAAGACATGATCCGGTAAGAGAAATGCCAAGCCCCAAAATGAATTTGAAATGATTGGTAGCGATATAAGAGGCTGCTCCAAACGGCTGCATAACAGACCAACGAGTGTATGGAGGACGAATGAAGACATATTCATCATTTTAATTCCTCGGCGCCGGCGCGACAAGTGTCGATTCATCAATGGAACAAGATCAGCAAGAATTCCCCAACTTGTCGAGATGGCGTCGTCATACAGCGTGCACAGCGGCTGGGGTGCCTGGCGGACTCTGACCGGGACATTCTCGAACAAAGAAGCATCAGCACATAATTGCCGCTCTGGTAAGTAGTCTTCAATCAAAAATAGACATATCAAGTCGAGAACATCATCGCTCTGAGATATAGCTCCGCGGATCATACTTTCAAACAATGCCTGCGATATCAGCGGCGACGTCTTCACGTGTCCACCCTGCTCCATGCGCTGCGCGACATTCCATATCATAGTCGCATGAATAAAGAGCAGGGCACCAACCCGCACAGATCGATTTCCGTTCCGCCGTGTGCATAAGATCTCGTACAAATGACGAAACATGAGGTGGACAATGTGGCTGCACACTAGGTTGTTCAGTACAAGCCGAAAATCTGACTGAATGTCAACACTGTGTAAACTTAATCGTGAAACGAGCATTTGCTCCTCTGTTTGTGCAATCGGGAGTCCAATCAGCCGGCATAAAGAATGAACGCATTCTGAGAGACATTCTGGTGGTACAAAGGTGTAGCAAATAATGGAATCGAGTGATTTAGCAAACCCGGTTATATCTTCGTGTTTGATGAAAGGAAACTCGCTGTCTTGTATGCCAATATAAACACCCGATTTCTCAGTTTGCCTTTCATTCTCCGGTTGCCCATCAATGGGATACAAGCTTGGTGTGTCGAAATACGTGCTGACATCCTCCATTCCATAGTATTTGTAGCCGGAGGAAGATGACATTGCAGTGGCGGTCGTTGTGGCTATAGCTGTGGACGAATTCGAAGTAGCAGCTAAACTCGCTGCAGCCACAGTTGTAGTTGCTTCTGATGGGGATGACGAAGAACTTGGATGTCTCGAATGTTTCGACCGGGCTAATGTTGGGATGCGAGGGTTCAGCACGAGCTCACAAAGACATATCAGGTACTGTTTCATATGTTCTTTTTCGAGGCGTGAGGCGTTGAATTTGCAAATCGATGTGAACATGTCGAACAGCGTGTACGTGCAATGTTCACTCAAAGTATACATGCCCGACATCTCGTGTCGACGGAACATGAGCAAGGCACCCCATGAGTATCGCAACCATTTCGTCATGACGTTAAAAATTCCTTTAAAAGCAAGAATATCACGACCGTCGCGTGTGAGCACTTGTAAGGCAGCCAATTGGCGAGAGAGTGTGTGAAACGCTTGTGAAGGCTCTTCGAAAATTTTCGGGAGAATCCAGTCTTCTCGGCGGTGAAGATTTACAATCAACCGATACAGCATGGCGCGGTCTAGCATACTTAATGCACGCGATGGCATCACAGCTTGCCACCCCGTGGCTGAAGACGACTCCTTCCAGACCTCGCTGGATACACTCTGTGTTGAGACATCCGCATATCTTAGCGTCGACGTGAGAAGTTCACATGAAAGAACGCGCAACTCGTATGCGAACGTTTCGCGGAGAAGGCGACTACATAAGACAATCAAGGACGACACGAGCGGCGTAGCGATGGGAGGGTCAAGAAGAGGTTCCAGCTCAGCAGGATCACGCATCAGACATTCAATCAGAAACTGCATGCGCATGCGCTGCTCCGCTACAGGTAACTTGGGCTGTAGCAACTGCTCAATCGCTCCGCGTATGTCACTCAACATATCGGATTGTGATGAAGCGCTTTCATTCTCTGAACGCCCAGCTTCAGACGCGGTATTGCGAGAGCGGAATGACAGCAGAAACGGGATACCAATTCCAGACTTTGACGAGGTACTCGCCTTGGGCGATGGGTCTGGCTCCATCGAACTAGCGGTACCGACTCTACTGCTTGTGCTGAAAGTATTGCCAAGCCAACGTGTCGATTGTGTACTCGAGTTAACCCTATACGATGGAGGTGTGTAATTTCTCAAAGCACGCTGGTGTGGCTACAACCAGACCGATTCCACGGCTTGCTCGACAGCGGCTATATTTTGTGCAGGGTAACGCGCATAGGACCTGTATTGTACCGCGTCTAGATCACATTCTAGTGATCTTGTTTGGTAGGCGTTGTTAGAAATGCAAATGCATGCTGTTTACGTACGAACAACTGCTCATACTCAAATAACCACCCTGTTCCAAGCTCTGCACTAGTTCTCGTTGATGGTCATGCATAAGAGTTGAGTTGGGTATCACGAGCAATTTTGGTACATGGCTACACCGCAATGCTTCCAAAATGGTCCCGGATCCTTGCGTGTGAGTGCCGCAGCGTCACGTACCACCATGTGAGATTACCAAACCGACGGACTCCATCAATGCGCGTAAATCAGATGTGAAGGCAAAGAGAAACACTCGGAGTTGACCATATGCATGGATCTCTACACCGTCTGTGCCTTGAATGCTGTTATGTACAGCATTTTTGGGTATTTCCACAGCACTATGTCCATACTGAATCAATACATACGCTTGGGGACCGAGCACCTTGAACACACTTTGGAGAAATGGCGTTGATAGTACTTTGTCAACTAGAGAATCAAATCTTGTGCTTCCAACGGTCACCAAGATACTGCGTGCGCGTTCCATGCCGGTCGATCTTGCAAGGTGGATGCAGCCGTCGAAGCAGGCCCGTGCATTCGCACACGCCTCCATAACGCATCACGAAATGCGCGCCGGCACAGGTAGTTGCAGCCCAAGACACAGTCCGGCAGTGTTACCTTGCCCATTGCCTACTTTCTGGCAGTTCATCTTCCCAGCTTCCCACGCATAGTCGACCCTGATGAGTAGCTCATCACTAGCAAAGCCATGGTATGATTACGTGGGCCTAGAGTCGCTCCAGTCGCATGCGACTCTTGACGCGAGTGATGCTGTGTCCATTGTTTGGCTAGATATTGATAACACGCTGTACTCACATATGGAAACTCGGTATGTTGAATTTGTAGCTTATGATGGGAAAACAGCATTTCAGACATGATGGTCGACCGTATCCATTCTTATTTCCGTTCACTTGGCCTGGAGAATGCTGAAGCGGAGCATTTGCACCAACGTTACTACAAAGAATATGGGCTGGCGATTCGTGGGTTGGTCCGTCACCATACTATCGACCCTCTCGATTACGACCAAAAATGTGATGCTTCTCTCCCGCTACAGAAGGTGCTACGGCCGGACCCTAAGGTCGTCGCTATGATGAAGCGCATCGACAAACGAAAGACACGTATTTTCGCACTCACGAACGCATATAAAGTGGTAAGTTCAAATGTGTTTTTCATGCACAGCTGACCACTTCCAGCATGCACGACGTGTGTTAAGCTTGCTGCAACTGGATTCTATTGTCGAAGGCATAGTTTATTGTGACTATGCGAACCCTGAATTGTACGTCGATCTACGTGCTGTTCAAATAACGTCCAGCTCTTGCAAGCCTGAACCAGAATTTTTCCTCGCTGCACAGGAGGCGGTACGAGCCTCTCCGAATATACGCCACTATTTTGTCGATGACAGTCTCGCCAATATAAAGCAAGCCCTGAGGCTAGGCTGGCAAGATAGTGGTACGTGCTAGACAACTGACTTAGTCCACTTTGACGAGACTCTGAAGCTTCAACACCCTGAGACATCGAAGGAAGGTGTCGTATTGATTTCTAACTTGCTACATTTGCAAATGGCTTGGCCGGATATCTTTGAATCACCCAATGAACCAGCTGCCGCTCCGTTTGCCGACAAGCCTGCGAGCCTGCAAGCCATATAGGAGATATTTGGCGTTGGTCCAACGTACTTAAGCTAGCCGGAAATCTCAACTTCCCAGACACGTACTGCCTCCACCTTTTCCTAGTGAATCCAATCGTTGTGTAGCAGTACGAGACATACTGTCCTTACACGATCGCCCGTCTCTTCCTGCAGTGTCGACCAAACAGTTCCATTTTGAGAACCGTCTGAACGTTTTTATTCGCATCAGTCCCCCCTTTCTGTCAGTTAAACCTCAGAAGGATGCAACAGGGACAGGTGCTCTACGCACCGTCTCCCTTGAGGGATACGTATGAACGAATCAAGGTGTATTGGATGCGACAGCCTCGTATAATTTTCGCGATCTACATGATCATGGTCCTGGTCATCGCGCGTGGGACTGTCTTTGTTCTATACCACATTATTGAAACAGATGGAAAGGGTCTCATGCAAGGTTATACGAAAAGCAAGTATGAAGCTCCTGTTGTTAATGACACCGTGCCGATTGACTCCACGTCTGCTGCAGCACTGACAACTAGTGCTTTTCCCGCCCAACTAGATTCAAAGTTGTACTGGCCCTCACTCGATATGATTTACACTCGATATGATCCGCATCGGGGCGAGATTCCACTCGATATCATGGCATTGCTTAATTCACCGCCCAATCTTACAGCACCACATGCATTCACTAACGCCACTACCGTGCCAGAAGAGGCCTGGAAGCACCATCCATGGACGCGTGCTGTAAATGGATCAAAGACATCCATGGAAGATGCAATGCGTCCCAACTTGCAGCCGAGGGAACATGACTGGCGGCCGCCTCCCCACAATGAATGGAAATCACCCCTTCAAGACACCGGCATATTGCACCCCAATCCTTCTGAGCATATACAATTCAAATTTGAGGATCCGTCTCGTTTTTCAGGAAAAAAACATGACACAGCGCGTGACCGTGTACTTGAGCGTCGACGCAAGTTGGTGAAGAATGCGTTTATTCGTGCCTGGCAAGGATACAAAAACTATGCATGGGGCGCGGACGAAGTTTCGCCTGTCTCTGAAAAGCCGAATAACAATTTTAATGGATGGGGTGCCACCATTATTGATGCCTTGGATACGCTCCTGGTCATGGGTCTGCACGATGAATACTTGTTGGCCCGTGAGCATGTCTATGATGTAGACTTTCATTACGTGGGTGGCCAGCGAAGTGCATATGCTTCGGCGGATGGGCGTATTCCCGTGTTTGAAACGGCTATTCGATATTTGGGTGGCCTGCTCTCTGCCTACGACTTGTCTGGTGACGAGCTCATGCGTGATCGTGCCGAAGAACTTGCACAGATCATTTTGCCAGCCTTTGATACTTTATCAGGACTTCCTGTTGGACGCATGCGTGTGGATGACAAGACTGAGTATACACCAAGCAAACCTCGTGGCTATCACGAATCTATGGTGCTTGCTGAGGCAACGAGTATGTTGATGGAATATACACGTCTTTGGCAGGTAACGGGCAACCGAACGTACTTTGACCGTGTCCAGCGGGTCACGGATTTCCTTGATTCGAACATGACAAAGATGAGTCTGATAGGCACGTTGCTTCCTCAGTCGCTGTATCCAGAAGAGTCGATCTTGTCGGGAAAATACTCGTTTGGTGGAGGAATCGACTCATATTACGAGTATCTTGTAAAAGAGCATCAACTTCTAGGCGGGGTTGTGGATCAGTATTCGCGCATGTTTACTGAGGCAATGGATTCAGCTGAGAAGCACCTATGGAAGAATGTCACTGTCGTTCCAAATGCACCGTCGCTTGTGGTTGTTGCCGACACATATGCACGAGGGCGAAGCTGGGCACGACTCGAGCATCTAGCATGCTTTAGTGGTGGCATGATGGCACTTGGATCACGCGTTGTGCCAAACCGTCGGCACTATTTGAACATAGCTCGTCTGACGACCGAGTCATGCTACTGGAGCTACAACAGCTCACTCACAGGTCTGGGTCCTGAGAATATGGAGTTTTTCCGTCCTTTTGACAAAGACCGTTATCACATAACATCGGCAGCGGATGGCACACGACACCGTGATTCTCCCGTGGGTGATCCATTCGTTGGAGTGCGCCGCATCGTCTCTGAAGATTACCGAAATCGGCCGGAAGTCATTGAGAGCGTTCTGTACATGTGGCGGACGACCGGTGATCCAGTATGGCAGGAGCGTGGTTGGCAGATGTTTGCGTCGTGGATGACGCATTGTCTTGTTCGTTCGGGCGTGAGTACAATCCGTGATGTGAACCAAGTGCCGGTCCTTTACGACGACAGCATGGAAAGCTTCGTGTTTGCTGAGACCTTCAAATACTACTACTTGCTGTTTTCACCGCCGGATTTGGTGTCGTTGGATGACTTTGTGTTTACAACGGAAGCGCATCCCTTTCTTGCGCCGAAGAAAGGTCGCTGGGCTCGTCCAGGGGATGTCCCGGTCTCATTCCCCAAATTCCATCGCGCATTTCCTACTTTTGATCGACCTTCAGGCACACTTACTTCTATGCAAAAGAACCAGTTGATCTCACAATGGGAGCATGTCAACGTCTTACATCGCGTGAGTCTTGACAAATGGCCCGAAGATGATCCTGCAGCACAAAAGTTGTTTCTCGAGGCTTTTTGGGCACGTGTAAATGCTGCTCAACAGCAAAGGGAGTGAACTTTGTAGACTGAGGTCTATGACGTCAGCTAATGCATTGTATTTTTTTTTCTCATGGCCATTTTGAATTCCTGATCATATATCTCCTTAGATCATATGTACATTTTTTTTTAGCTTAGCTTATGTATTCTTGGCAGCCTCCAGTAGCTCAGCACGAAGCTCTTCACTTGGTTGGTCATCAGGTTGGGCGCTTTCGTCCATAAGCTCCTTTGCTGCACGAAATACGGCTCCTTCCTCGGTCAAGAGAGTTTGAGCGCGATCATCTGGCGCTGATGGTGCAACAGTAGTTGATACATCAGGCATGAGGACAGCCTCATCTTCGTTGCCATGTTGTTTTCCTGTTGTAGCGTATTCAGCGGTCTTATGCTGAGTGTGACATCTTGTCCGCGACACCCGTCACACTCATTGTCCTTAGCGCCATGATCGCCAACCTCTTGCTTGATGCAACCATCTAGCTTTTGAACACCTTCCACCTCGCTTTGACCCAGGTCTGTAACATGCTCCTCTTCGTCTTCTTCATCTCCGTCTTTGGAATCGGGCGATTCAGAGTATTCGGAAGGCTCCGTCTCGCTCGCTGGCTGACTTGAATCAGCTGCACCCCCTTGTTCGTTCTGATGCAAAGCCCAGGCAAGTTCCGACTTGTCAAGCGGGCGTTGAATCTTGACACCCGGAGGAACCTGGTCCTGTGCTGCTTGTGCATTTGTCGCGCACCGCAGGTATACTTCGCGTGCGGCCTGAATAAACTCGGGGGTATCCTCTAAGGAAACATCAATACATCGGACGGAGGTGTTTCGGCGCGCGCCGGCAGCTAGACCAAGCATGCCGACGAGTCCGAGGGGGTTCTTTGTAAGATCCAGGTGGACAATGTTCTCCGCATCCGGGAGACACTCGGCAAGAGCAAGTGCGCCCTCAGCAGCAAGGTGTGTACCGGAGAGGTTTACTCGCTTCAAGTGTGGGTGAATGGCCAAAGCTACACGAAGGCGCAATACCCCGGTCAGATCGGGCCCACAGCACGCATTGGCGCTTACGTCGAGTGTTTCCAAGTTGGTATTATAGCGTAAAGCTTCTGCAAGAAGAGCAAGCCCATGATGTGTGATGGCGTTGTCTGCCAATGACAAGACGCGCAATGTTCGGTTGCGTCGCAAAGAGGTAGCAACACCAGACATATCATTATCATTGAGTCCGTTGGATTTCAAGTCCAGCGTCAGTAAATGGCCAAAGCAAGGTATCTCGGAAAGGGCATGCTGGAATGCCTGTGCGCGCGCGGCAATAGTCTGACGAAGTTCGGCTCGTTCAACAGCGCCTGGGGCGTCTGTGCCGTGAAGTAAAGATGATACAACGTGGTTCTGTGATTCATTGCCGTACAAGTCCTCGGGCGTCGATACTGCCACGAGGCCGACCTGTTCCATCTCCTCCATTGCAGGCAAAGCGGTCGGGTCCCAGTCACACAGCATGTGTGCTAGAGCTTGTGAGCCGACGGATGAGATGGCGTTTTGTCGTAGAGAAATATGCTTTAGAGAAGAGGCTCGCACGGCCTCTGCAACGAGTTCAAGATGGACAAGACGCAACGCACATCCGTCGAGTCGCAAACTGTGCAAGAAAGAGCGACGATGGGCCAGTGGCGTAAGCAGCACACGCAGCGACGACCTAGAGAAGTTGTTATGCGATACATCCAAGTGCCGAAGAACGCGGTTGTCGTCGATGAGTGCACTGACTGAGCGCCAACCTTGAGCCTGAATATTTGGATTGTCAGCTACAATGAGCGAGTGTACACTTTGCCCGAGGAACACAGCTGATGCGACGGCACGCATGGCATCAGAGTCAAGACCACATCGTTCGAGCAGAAGCGCTTGGACGCCAGTGGGTGCACACAACAAATCTGCGAGAGGCACGGCGATACGTGCCAGAGGTATGTCGCGAAAATCGAGTGCACGCACTCGCGCCTGTGGCCATGATGAGGCTTGCTCCAGCACAGCGAGAATTTCCGAGTGAGGTACATCTTCTCGTGCTCGGCAGCAAACCCTGTACAAACTTTGCAGTTCTCGAGGAGTCCAAGGCCGTCCACACAGTCGCTCTAGACGCGCTTGTGCCTCGGACTCGATTCGCTCGCGTGTAGCCGCCTCTTCACCGGGCGCCAGTGTTCGTGAGATGGGATATGTATGCGCCAAATCTTCTGTGCGAAAATGAACGCGCCGCAATGCATCGCTCAAGATGTCGCCGGACTCAAACGGAACATCTGGCTGCTTCTTACTCCATCGTCGGAGCACGTTGCCGAAAAGATTGCCCTCAGGCACTGGTACTTTGACAGATACATTATTTTGAGCTAGGCGTGCATTGACATGGTAGAGCCACTCTGGACCAGCCCATAGAGAATCACTGACCAAGGGTGCACAGGCACGAAGAATGCCCCGGTGTGGGGCTGCTCTAGCTTTGCACGGGGGTAAGGGCGATACTGAGGCAGGCGTCATCGTGTCTTCCACTTCCGACATGATGTGAAAGAAAAGTGTTTCCACTGCAAGTGGTAGCTGCGTCGTCGATCGTGGCCGCTGACTTGAATCTAGCTTGGGTGAAAATGGATGAGTGCCAGAGAGAGGGGTCTCAATGAGCCGAGTCTTTGGTGTACAGGTGCGACTCTGAACGGCGTGGGGTGTGAGAGGTCAACAATGTGGAGAGTGTGTTTTGCTGCTATGATTTCATATGAGCGGCAACATTGATTGGCCCTACATGCGTCAAATTTTGTGGCACAGTGTTCTTTCTGAACCCTGCCGCCCAGGAGAGGGGCTTCCAGCGCGCTGCACACGCGCCTTTTGTGGGTGGATATCCGTCTCTTGTCCATGTGCATGTATGCACACGACGAGATGGGAGGAGGGAAGAGAGCTCTCCATATTACGAAGACCCGCCGAACGTTCGAAGAGATATGCTGTTACCGGATTCAGAAGTGGCACTTGAGCTGCTTCCCGGCTTCGGGCGCTTTTGTGCGTCGGTGATGCCCACAGCGGCGCGCAAGGAGTCGTGCAAGCAAGTGCGTGCATCCTCGTCAAGCGCCTGCGTGGCTAGTCGGAAAGCTTGGGCATGAGTCTGCGCAAGCTCCATGAGACGGTTCACGACCTTGTTGGAAGACGCCACCAGCACGGTGTCCGATGCTTGCGATCTGCCTGGGCTTGAAGACTGCACGAATTGTACAGCCACAGGAACAGCTAGCCGAAGCGCCACGTCGTCGGGCATGACACATACAAGATCCAGCAGGATGTCCATCGCCGGCTCGGACAAGTGCCGGAGCGTATAGGCGACGAGCGATGGGAGGCACCAACCGATGCATAGGCGCTGCGAATGGCACGAGGGCTCGGCATGCACCATGGACCGAATGCATTGCAAGACGACCGGAGCGTCATCGTTGGCATCTAGTTTCTGTGCCAACAAGAAAGAGAGCCGCTCGATGACCTCACTGCTAATCGACACGCGGGCATCAAGGCACGTCAAAACGAGACTTGTACTAACGAGGGCATTTCCACTGCGGCGCGTCACGATATCGCCGGCACGTGCCCTGAGCGCATCGCTCATATCGATCATGGCGCTCATGAATCCTTGCATGATGCGATGCACAAGTGGTGGGTTGGCCGAGGCGGATTGACACGCGCGTTTGCACAGGTCGCGCAACACAGGCAGGGCAGAGGTGAGCAGCGAGGCCGCCTCGTCTTCACGGCGCGCGAAAGCCACCAATATATGAAGCGATACAGCGACCAGCTCCAACTGGAGCGATGCACCACAAACTTCCACCATATCCAAGAGGGTCTGCCAACAAGCATGGAGAAGCACAGCTCGTTCAGCGCGTGGCGTTCGTTGGTGTGGTAGCTCGTGGATGAAGTGCATCAAAAGCCGCCAGAGTCGCCCCAATTTCGTCGTGGGCATACGCTCGTCGTGAATCATGCCGTCTTCCTGCTCAAGTAGCCGCTCACGCATTGAGCGCACGAGCGTAGCAATCACACGCAGTACGCCGCGCTGAATGGATGCGTCCTCGCTGAGCAATGCACGCTGGAACACACACACAAGCTCATCAAACTGTGCATCTTCAAGAAGGAAATGCCCGCTGTACTTGGCATCCACCAGCACATGCAACGAGCTAAGCACGACGCCCAGCATGCTTTGCTCCGTTTGCGGGAGACGATCCAGCTCGTCACACAGGGTCTCAAGCGCAAGGCCATACAAAGCCAAGAACGCACGACTCGCATCGCCCAGGTCGTGCGCAAGGGTGGCACGAACGACGTCAGGGTTCGTTTCAAACACAAGTGTCAATGCGTGCAGCAAGGTGGGGTATGCTTGTGCAAAGTACAAGAGCATGTGCGTTTGAACAAGGGGTGCCAGAGCACTTTCGGGCCGCATGCGAGGCATGATGTGCCAAGCACTTGCAACGGACGAGCCGCGATCGGCGCGCAAGACTGCATACGCCGTAAGGACGTGTACCCAAGCACGAGCCAGCGTGTGCACATGCGGAGAGAGCAGGTTGGTGATCGCGGGCCGCTGTGCGATGGCGAGACGGGCCCAGGCGGTGAGTACGGCTATGTTGAGGTATGCGGCAGCGTTGGGCGTCAAGGGCAGTTCGCCGAGACGGGACATCTCGGACGACTGTGTCTGCTCGAGCGCCGAGCCCAGCAAACGGAGGATTCGGTTTGTGGGAGATGCGTCGACGCCTGCGATGATGTAGACGGAGCAGACGGAAATAGCAGCTGCAAGTACATCAGGTGTACTGTCAGCTCCGAAAGCCGGGGTCAACGCAGCGGCCAGCTGAGCCTGGAACTGCTCGAGCAAACGGGCCTCTGAAAAGTCAGGATCGCGCGTGTCTGCGAACGACTCCAGCACATCGCGAAGCACTTGGAGACCCTGCCAGCGCACAGCTCGATGCGTCGCCGTGCTGGCACTGCAAGCGGCGCGAAGAATCTCACTGACTCGGCTGCTCAGGACGCGCCGATCCCGCGCGTCACTGTGGCTGCCCACATGTTCGGGGGCGCGCTGGACGGACGCAAATACCTCGTCCATACACTGCAGCACAAAGAGCTGTGTGCGCCAGCGAATTGAAAGAAGTGGGGTGTCGTCCTTTGGCGCTAAAGCCGTCGCCGTCTCGTCGGTGTCGCTTCCAGAGACATTGACGTGTTTGAAGCTGAGCGCCTCGGGCGTCAAAAGCGCCGTGCAACACAGATCCATCCATGTGCATGGACGAGCAGGTGCCGTGTCCTTGAGCCACGAAAGGACCAGTGTGCGGACGCCGCTTAGGGTTGGATGCCGATCAAGTTGTTGCAGCAGACTCGCCAGAAGCGATGGGCCGCCGTACCGAGCAAGCCATTGCGAGCCACGCTGCGCCATTTGGCAGTAGAGACTCGCGGCAGACGGAGCGAGGATGGGGCGCGACAGGGCATGGCGCAGCAAGTTGGCAGATACGCGTGTCTCGAGCAAAACTGGGACTACGAGGCCGAGGCGCTGCAAACCAAGAAGCGCCTCCTTCGCAGCAGCGTCGCCGCCGTCCTGTACAAGATGCAGAAGCAAGGCATATACGACACCACGAGTCGAGACTGCTTCCTGCAGATCGGGACCCAACACACCCACCAAGGCGCTTACGACGCGTGCAATGCCAGGGTACGCCGGCCAATCGACGCGCAGGTTACTGCTACCTGGACTGCCGCCCTCAGGTTCGTGCGTCGGCAATGACAAAAGACGTGTCATGAGGCCGAGTGTGCTCCGCACATATGGCTCATAAGCGACGCCAGCCGCCTCAATGACTTGTGCAAGTGCATCAAGTGCACAGGCGTGCACGGCCGGATGCGGGTCAGTCGCTAGCGAGAGCGTGAGGCTGTTAATCGTCTTCGTCAGGGGCGATGCACGCAGTCCGCCGACACAAGTGTAGATCTGGCCCAATGCAAGCGCACATGCAGCGCGTCCATCGGCATGGCGCGTGTCGACAATCTGGTCAATCAAGAACTGCATTTGCATAGACAAAGAGCCGGAGCCAGCGAGGGAAGCCAAATAGCCATACAATTCAGCCGCTGCGCGGCGCAGCATGACGTGACCCTCTTGCAAAGCCCTTTGCGCCACGCCTTTGATCGCCGCATTCACACGCTCATTAGCAAAGCCAGATGCGCGGTGAGGATGATGTGCTGCGGTGCGAACAGCGCCTAGAAGAGCCACAACACTGTTGACTAGCACAGCAATACGACGACCTGGCTGCTTGTCCAAAGCTGGGCGTCTTTGCGCCGCCAACAGGAACTCGGACGTGCCGATCTGCAGGTCGCGTGGCTGGAAGGCAAAGAGCGCGGCAAACAGCTCGGCTGCCGCATCGATTTCGGCCGTGCCAGGCGGCATAGGTTGTGGCGCTCCCGGCAAGATGCGGTACGGATCCACACTCGTAGCTGCGAGCGCATACAGAGCCGTTGCATCGTGCTCCAACGCCCCAAGCACAGGAGTCTGGGCATCAAGCTCCAGCTCGAGATCTAGGCCATACGTGTCGGAGTCGGCGACGGGCGTGGGCTGGAATGGCGCTGTGGAAAAGGCCGGGGTCCAGGCGTCAAGCGCAGCCCCTACGTCCTGGCGAAGCAGACTCGTCATACCATACGCTACACCATCGTGAACAGTCCAAGGCGACTGCGATGCCCCTGTGCTGGTGCTAATAGCCGTTTGCGTCGCGCTACCTGTATGCCAGCGCTCAGCACGTGCAAGCAGCTCGACCGACATACTCATGAGGTGCGGAGCAAGCGTCTCGAGCGCTGATGTCTGTGCCAAGTGCGTGCAACAGCGAAGAATCCGCACGCGCAAAAGGGGCGCATGCACCCGCGAAAGGATCGGCAGGGCCGCTGGCGCATGGGATGCAAACATGGCCCGGCGCTCCCAAGCGTCGAGGAATGCTAACGCATGGCTTTGCATCACCACAAGACGACGGGCTGTCTCTTGTGTGAGGAGCTCATGACCGCCGTGCAGAAAGAACACATGCATGCTGCTAAGGGCGCCATGTCGCACTGTGAGCAGGTACTGCCACGCAGCGTCATCTAACTCTGCATACGAGCGCTCAGCGAGGGCTTGACGCCATGCATTCATAAGTGTTGGCAAGTGGGCACGCACAAACTCTGTGCCGAGCGCCATGAGAGAGCCGACGAGCATCCAGGCAGATCCCACCGCAGCTGAGGCATTGGGCAGCGCGTTCTGCTCGCCACTGCGCGTCAACAGGTCCGTAGCTAGCGTGAATACATCTTCCACATCGTCATTGCGCATGTACAGAGGGTGCTTAGCCGAGATGCGTGCCAGTGCGGCTAAGGCAAAGCTGTGGCCCACAAGTCGAGCACGAAGTGACACGCCTTGATCATGCTGCGGCGTACTCAGAGCTGCCATGTCTCGACGCATGAAGGTAAGCAGTTCTGCATACGTCGGAGCCAGAAGAAGAGGTTGTACATCACAGGCAATACTAAGCCACCACGCTGCACGAATCTGCACGGCTAGAATCGGGTGTGCCAACAAACGCATGTGTGACTCGTATAATGCCTCATGGAGAGTGGGCGACAGCTCGCCAAGCTGTGCAACAAGCAGCGCTGTTGCATCGAGCGTAAGTGTCAGCATTGCTTCACTAGGTGCTTCATGGGCAGGTGTCGCAGGCGGCCACATGCCGAGTATGTTCGAGCCCATGTAAGCAGCTGCGCGCTCCTGTGCGGGCTCAGGGAGTGAGCGGAGATGCACATCCAGCACACGATGAACTGCCCGGCACAGGTATGGGCTCTCATGCGCAGGTATAGGCATGTTTGTGGCAATATCACGAACAAGGTGCATGAAAACTTCCTGCAAATGCTGCTCGAGCCACGCACTCCCGTGGAGGGCAAGCAAGGCATCATACATTTGCAGCACACCAACGCGTGCCTTCCACGATCCTGCGCGGCTCAGATGCACATGTAACAGGTTCATTTGCTGTTCGGCTGTGTACAGAGGAACAACGACGGGATCCTTTCCTTCGTCAGCAGGTGCCATCGTCTCTGTTTGAATGAGCAACGTAGCAGCCAAACGTGCAAGGGCTGTACGAGTTTGCCGGTCAGCACTGGCCAGGACTTTCACAATGGATGCGAGCTGCGTCTCAATATCTGATCTAGTAGCATCGCGGAAAACCAACTCAAGACAAACAGCACTCGCACGCACAACAGGGCCTGCCTTGTCGTGAAGTGCTTGCTTGAGAGTCTTTAGAGCATCCTTCAGCATCGATGCAGGGAGCTTGTCATGCGCTAAGATCGACTCGAGCAGTCGCAGCGCATAATAGCGCACAAGCACCGTATGAGACGACGTCCGGATAATCCGCAGACAAATTGGTACAGCCGAAAACTGAGATCCTACACCATGGGGATGCGACATGATAAGCTCGCGAGCGACATGCATAGCAGCCAGGTGTGCATTGGTGGGGATATCAGCAGCATATACATCTCGTAGAGCACCCATGACCTCGAAAAGTGGTGGCTTCTCCGCCTCACTATGACGATACAAACATACAAGGCACCGTGCAACAAGACATCGGACACTTCTTCCAGGCTGTAACTGGTTCCACGCGCTGCTGATCGAGGGCTGGCCGCTTCTTTGAGAGCCGCAAATGCAAAGACATCGCTCCACAAGTGCGCCACTTCCACGAACTTCCCCCTCCAGAAGCAAGCTGTCGATTCGCACAAGCCAAGAAAGAAGGAACAGGTCAGTGCGGTCTTGACGCACAGCTTCTTCCCATTCCTTTTCATCTGGAAGAAGCGGCAGATGTCCTTTTACATCTGACAGCGAAGATGCATGCTGCGTGTGTTCTGAAGGTGCTGATGATGCTGGTAGTGTTGCCGACTGCGACTTTGACGGAGACGAGGGCGAGTCCGCTGCCATCGATGAAGTGCAAGCGAAGAAGTCCCTGGGCTCTTCGCTACAAGGCCAACACTGCTGCAGATTCGCTCTGGGGTTCGCCGAGGAAGCTGCGACACTCCAGACTCGTGTCAATGCTGACCTGCGGAGGTGTGTCAACGTGAAACTGACTAATCAATGTTGGATTGGCGACAAATCCCCAGTTCTCTCTCGTGCGCACCAAGAACGCGCCACCCAACGCCAAACCGTGGTGGAGTGTGAGAGTGTGAGAGCGGTGGCGTTGATCGATCGGCGTGTGTTATCTGAAAAAGCTGATCGGTAGCCCGGTTCTTGCTCGTCGGCCAGCTTCCGTATTGCAGTGATCGATCGATTGAACCGCACGTGTTATTGCTTGCTCGCTGCTGCACAGTCCAGATAAAGATCATGTCTGGTCGATCGCAGGATTGTGTTCGGACGCCCGCTGCTCTAGCGCAAAGTGGGCTCATGTGCTGCGAGTTGACATACACTCCTCTTCTCAAGGGCGCGACAGAGCTGCAGAGTGTTTTACCGGATCCAGATGCGACATTCTGTCCAGACCGTATGAAGTGGATTGCATGCAAACGCAGTGAAGACCCGCTTCATACCCCCGCTTGCTGGTCCGACATGGCAACAGATATTATCGACCAAGGCCCTATCTGGTATACGGAATGGCGCGATCCATGGCTGTTGCACAAAAACATTAAGGACCTTGCTGATCGTGTGGTATGGAAGACACGAGAATATGATGCTGCTCTGCCCATGGAGCTGTGGACAGCATTCAAAACATCTCGGGAGCGAGCGCCTGCTCCTGGTCACACGCCCGATTCAGAATTGGCGCGTGCTCTGAGTTTACTTGTGCGAATCCTGGGTAATGCACTCCACGGAGAGAAGCGGCCTGTCCCCTTAGACTCCAAGACCTTTGCACAATCATTAGGTTGGGATCCCTCTCTCAAGGCCATCATGGATCACCTAGGATGGCATCTGGCGCCATTAGATGAGGACATGCATCGCTCAGCCTTGCATCCACCTAGCGATACAGCCTCTTGTTGGCCAGTATATGTGGAACTTGCGACATGGTGTGCTCATCTAAATGGCACGCCCGCAGCTCCTGAGGGTATGACTTGGCAGATCCAGCCTTTCATATCGCCTCTCGTTCCTTCTAACGTGGCTAGACCTGATGAACGGATTCATTTTGCTAGTGCACGTCTTGGTGTTTCAACTGAGGAATCAGCCAAACGTATATGTGACATGTATCGACTTAATAGCTCGTGTTTTCCTAGTCGACACCAAGAGCTGTTTCTCGCGCTCGAATACGTGGAAGACGTCCGGCATTTGGGTGAGCCAATCACCACACTTATGGTGATGGAGCAAAGCCAAGGCATGTGCACGTACAAAGATGTGCGTGCAAGCTACGAACGACTGGGAATTCCGACACCTGTTGTTGCGCCTGGATGTGTTTCTCTTTGGGATGAAATGCCACCGCCACCACCTATGGCACCCGATGAAGCCTTGAGAGCCTATAACCGCGCTGTTCATGAGGCACTTTTGCATGGCACTGACGAGGAACTGCGTAGTGCACGCCGTGCGCTACGCGTCCTTGCTCGATATCATTCACCTGCGCCTGAACTTGACGAACGAGAGCGCGCAAACCCAGTCCAAGATCCGCAAGATGCATATGAGCTACTTCAGACTAGCCCCGATATTGATGATGGACTCGTCTTGATGGGATACGAGGTTTATGTAAATGAGGCAAAATCACGCGCAGAGCTGCTGCGCATGGCACTTGAAGCGATTGCAGATGCTCGCCAAAGCGATTACTTGCATCGTTTCTTGCGGGGTGAACAAGAGTCTGGATCGCCAGTTAGTCTACCGCGCGGCCTGTATAATATTGGAAACACGTGCTATCTGAACTCTTTGCTCCAGTATTTGGACTGGATCCGTCCTGTTCGCGAAGCAGTAAGAATGGCTTGCGAGTCCGCAAGTCGAAATATCGCTAGTGCGCAGCAGGAACGCGCTCTTACATTTGCGCAGCTATTAGACGCGTTGTTCTCGACTATGGCATCATCGAACGAGCCCGCATTATTCCCGAGTAAAGAGCTTGCATATTTGGCCCTCGTTCCACTAGTGTGGGAACAAGCGTACGATTGCACCAAAGATGAGCTCATGAGACAAGTCACAACACAACAAGACGTATGTGAGTGTCTTGATAATATCGTCTCATTGCTCGACACTGCATGTGCATCTGAAGCAACGCAAGCTCCTGTACGTCGGCTGTTTTCAGGTGCTTCACTTCAAAAACTTGACCCTGCGCCAAAGGATAGCAGCGGTACGGATGGCACTAAGCAGACATTCACGAGCATTCCAGTTACAATTTTACCGGGGACACGAGATGTGTATGATGCTCTTGACACATTTTTCAATGAAGAGTTTGTATTTTTAGGCAACGATGCGAAAGTTCGGCGAGAGATCACACTCCAAGAAGCTCCAATACTCTTGCAAATACATGTACAACGAGTGCAGTATGACCGCACAGCACAAAGGATCGTGAAGAACCAAGCTGCACTAGATCTTCCCGACACTATATTTCTTGATCGATACATGGACTTGTCTTTATCAAAGTCCGAGCGTCGGCCCACACTCACATTGCTTCACACCCGCTCTCAGGAACTACGACGTGAAAAGACGAAATGCACAGATCGCATCCAGCTGCTCGAAGACGAACATCTGACTGGATTGGAGCGTGCCGCCAATGCACTCGACTCGCTTCAAAATACCACGCTGGATGACGATGAGTTGCATTTATTGTTGCAGGAGCATTCGCCTGAAGAGCTCATGAGAGAAGCGTCTCATATGCGTGCTGAAGTGCATCAGCTACGGATGCAAGCAGACACATTGCGAACAGAGCTTCAAGGTGTTTGGGCAGACGAACGCCATGTACCATATCAACTTGCGAGCGTGTGCATGCATCGAGGTGAAGCTACACACGGACATTACTTTGTTAACCAACGTGATTTTGCAAAGAATGAATGGATCTCATTCAATGATACGAATGTTTCTACTATCACAGGGAATGAAGTGTCGAGAGAGTACGTCATCGTTATAATTTCTTGGCTAACCCCAGTCCCACCGGAGCTACATCCTATCTCGTGGTGTATGTGCGCCAAGATATGCAATCCACACAACATATATTGTCAAACCCTCGTACAACGTCGACTTAGCCGCGCCCATACCGAGCCTTGCGGCCCATGTCGAAGGGCAAGTACTTGTACCGAATCATGTGTCTGGAGCTGTTAGTCGATGTATCCAGTTTACGTACTCAATTTGACGGCGCATGGTTATCACAAAGAGCGTAATAAAGTAGAGCACCAAAATAGGCCAGAACACTGGAATATCAAACATACGGAACATAGTTGCGCCGAGCGAGACTAGAATCGCTTGCGTCGCGCTAATCCAGAACTTGAACTCCGGTAGGCGCCGGATAAATGGACGAAACTCATCCTGATCTTTCTCCTGCGATGGATGAAACACATCACTCATGAGACCAGAGCCCATGCCCGTCGAGGGTGTCGGGAGACCTGGCTCACCTTCTTCCACGTCCTGCGCGGGCAAGTCTGATTCGTATGCAGGATCAAACGTGGGCGTGAGAAAAGCAAGAAACAAATTCAACAGATAAATAAACAGAGCATAACACACAATGTACCAGCCATGCATAAGGATGACCCGCAACATGAACAGGAACAGCAATGCTCCTGTGACACCCCATCGTTCGAGGGTAAAGGGCGCAGTAATGTCAATGTAGTGCTGCAATCGCCGATTCAGGTTCGTCACTTTCGCAATGAAATTCTTTGGTGACAGCGCAGAGAGAATCGAAGACGCGCCATCTCCAGACATACCCCCCTGGTCCTCGGCCCGCATCATTGTGCGTTGATGCTTGCTGAATTTGCCTGAACACGCGCTACGCCTTGTACAGACTCCGAAACACGGTCGAGCCTTTTTGGCTCTATCACGTGAATCCTTGCACCACCGCTCAGCCGACTCACTTCCCCTCAATCTCGTCCCACGGTGGAGCAATTATCCTCATCGGCCTAGCGCTCGGGAAGCCATGTCGACGAATACCTCTCCAACGACATATACCGGATGGAAGCCAGGGCCAGATGATACATCCGTACCGCATGAGCCCTCCAGCATCAGTGCAATAGACATGTGGACAAATTATATCAAAAATCGGAAGCCGGTCGTACTAGACGGATTCCCTGACGATCCGGAATGGCGCGGCGAACGATGGACTGACCTGGCTTATTTACGAGACGTTTCCGGTGATGCAAGTGTCAAGGTTGAGCCAATCCACCCAGAGTTCAAATGCTTTGGTACTTCAATGCCTAGGAAGACTATGAAATTCGGACAGTTCCTTGATCTCGTGCAAGATGCAAAACAAGCTGGTCGATATTACCTGACAACGCAGTACGAGGAAAACCGGGATGACAGTGAATCGGATGATAATGAATGGCCTTCTTTAGACCCGATACTTCCATCTCCGACTCATACGTTAAAAAGCGATTTGCCAATGCGTCCACGCATTCTAGGGGACTTGGTATTGCAGCAATGCAACTTCTGGGTTGGCAGTGGCATGGAGCCCAAATCGTCCGGGCTTCATCATGATTTCCACGATAATTTATACATTCTCTTGTCCGGACACAAGCGGTTTGTCCTCTTTCCTCCTGATGCGTATCCTTACTTGCATCTGCGCGGACATGTGGAACAAATTCACAAAAACGGCTTGCTTGTGTATGAGGAAGCCGGAAGAATTCGACCAGATGGATTAGATGTCTTGGATGCTGCGCACTGGCGCTTTGCGTCCCGTTCTCATCAAATGGGTCAAAGGAAAAAGCGTCGGTCCACGAATGATGAAGCGCATAATTCTTACGCAGAGGCGAAGATGGCTTTGCAAGAGCTGAAAGCAAATTACGAGGAGGACGATGACGATGACAATGACGAATCACTTGATGATGACCAGGAAGACGATGATGAAGGCGGTGTATTGGATTCTGTCTCTGAAGCGGGTAGTGAACTTAACGTCTGTGATGATGATGAACAACTCTTGGCTGATTTAGAGTTCAAAGAACAAGAACCGCCAAGCTTCTCACGCATCCCAACCAGCGTGTTGCACAAGCACTTTGGCATTGAGCCACCTATTGCTCCTTCTAGTGCCGAAAAAGAACACATGTTTGTGCCTCTACAAGGGTGTCCAAAGCCAATTGTCGTTGAACTCAATCCTGGACAGATGCTTTACCTTCCTGCAAGCTGGTTCCATGAAGTTACTTCCTCTAGTTCTGGAGTCGCCCCACATATGGCACTCAATTACTGGATGCATCCGCCGGACGGTGAAGAAAATCAAGTCTACACCGACACAGAAGTGTGGGAATCGATTCAAAACCGTGTATATGATTCTATATAACATAAATACAACATAGGGCTCAAGGCACCTCTTGTTTCTTAAGCTTCGCCATGAGGATATGATCGTCTTTGCCGATACGCCTTCCAAGTAAATCCAAGAGCTGCTGGACAAACTCTGCATACGACTCCCCTAGGTTAAACAGGTTGAACCATGGGTCAAGCACAACTGGGTATTGGCAGGTTTCGCCCCACTGCTTACCATTGAATCGGTCACGTAAGAAATGAAGCACATCCGGCAGACTCGCAATGCCAGCGCTAGTGTGTCCCATTTCAACACCGGCGTAGGTTGTAAATCTAATCTGAGCACCCTGCTGACACCAAGACCGTGCCGTTGCTTGAGCCATCGCATACGGCACGACGATGTCGTTTCGCGCGTGGAACATGAACACGGGCGCTGAAGGTACTTTAGAACCATCTTCACCAAGATTGTACTTATTAAGCGCATACATGGCGCCTGAATTCTCAAAGAACGTAGAGCCACCTTGGAAATAAGTGTCAGAGATGAACCGTTTGTAGGCTTCCTCAAGAAGATTTTTATACATGCAAGAATGTTTGGACTTTTCCAAAACTATCTTGCCCAAGGGTGTTAAATTGTCTTGAACCCATTGTAGGTCATTGTCCACAGAAGAGATCCCCCCAAGTGCGGCAACGGCAAAGCCAGCACCGCCGGTTCCGTCAATATATCGCAACCAATCAGCCATTCTTGTCACAGTGCCACCCATGGCCCATCCCACGACATTCAGTTCAGATGCATAGCTCTTGTGTAGACTTGCAGCCCACCCAAGAGCCATTGCACCACCTGAATAGCCATATCCTGTAACTTTGGCATTACTGCCTAGACCAATTCGGTCGTAGTTAATAGTCGCACGAACAGCATCCAAAATAGCATGTCCCTCAAGCGGCCCTGCACCAAATGCATTTTGGGGACCCTCGTGGTCGGGAACAGTAACAACCCATCCCTCATGCAGAAGCGTCGTCAGAAAAAGTGATTGGTACGCAACAGCAACGTTCTGGGAAATGAAGTGACCGGACTTGAGCTGCTTACTAGGAGCACATTCTGATGAGAATGAGTCTTCATACAAAGCGGAGACCATGACCTTGTCTTTGTCGTAGTTATAGGGTACAAGCACAGTGGTGACTGACGTGGTAGCTTCGCCATCAGTTAAGCCAGTTGTACGGTAAAGCAGTTGGTAAGCGTTGATTCCGAGATTGAAAATGCTAGCAGGAGAGACATCAACCTTTCGCGAAGCAAGGACTTCACCTGGGCTAGCACTCTCCCAGCCTGAAGGTGGATGATAGAAGCTATCCTCAAATGAGAAGCGACGGCGAAGCTCCCATCTCCTCACTCCAGAAACTTGCGTAGCACCAGCAACGAGCGCAAAACATAACCCAAGCGCAGCAAAAACCAGGATCTGGCGAGGGAACATTGTAAAACAATAAAGCGCAAACCCCCCGCGCAGAAACGTGGTTGTCGTCTGATCTAATAAAACCCAATGTGATCCGCGTAGAATATGCTCAGGTGGATTGTACTTAACCCTGGCAAAAGGCATGTATGACGTCATACGCACTTGGCTTATCTGTAAGGAAGCTATATAATTGGCCAAAGCCATATGTTAAGTGCGCAGGAATTACGCCACATTTCCTCGCAATACGCCAACTTACCTCGCAAAACCGTCGTCCAACCAATGTTGATTTAGGCCACTCTGCTGCCTCGAATTCTGCCTTATTACGTTTCGTAGCTTAACACTGAGAAAACTTATCGGTACATACAATATTTGTACTTGCTATTTAACAGAAGATGGCGTAGCAGGAAATTTTAAAAAATCTCTCAAGGACATCATTACTTGGACGTGAAGTTATGATTGATGATACTTTCTTGTATGATACGGTCGGTTCGACCAACAGATGTGCCAAAAAAGTTTAATATTGAGTTGAAGACTTCAGTCAGCCGTGCGCCCAAAATGTCGGGTCGCCATAAAGGATTCAAGTCGGATTTCCACTGGCAGCCATTCAAAAATTCTCGGCCGCTCATTCTGTCACGTATAAACTTTAAAACAAAAGGAGTGTTTAGAACTTCGGTAGACACATGGCCCATCTCGATTCCAGTATATTCCTGGAATAGCAAGTTTGCTCCGCCCTTGCACCATGCATTCGCTGTTTGGTTGGCCCGATCAAACGGTATGACTTCATCATGAAGCGCATGGTACATATACACAGGGACCTTGGGTGTGAGTTTCGAATCAGTCCCCATAGTAAGATGGTCTAAAATGGGAGCAATTCGCTTGTCCGTTAAAAAGTTTTTCTCGTTTTTCACAAAGTCTTTCCCGGTTAGATTCACATTTTGGAGTCCGACTACGATATCACCCATACAATGTTCGCGGGTGAACTGTAGAGCAGCATTTCCTGCCGGAGTTATCACTGATCCAACATAATCATTCACTTCTGGATAAGAATCAACAATGCCTGCGACACCGGCGACGGAAAAGCCGGAAAACAAGCTACCATCGAGACCATAGAATGTACCAGTAACATTGGATGGGGTTCCTCCAATGGACCAGCCAACCACGTTCAATTCTGTGGCGTAAGATCCGAGCAAAGATGCGGCCCAGCCACCGGCAATCGCACCGCCCGAATAGCCCATGCCAACAACAGCAGACTTTGGATCCAGCTTTAGTTGTTCAAAATTTAGCGTTGCGCGAATAGCATCGAGAGATGCGTGACCATGAATGAAGCTGGAGGAAAATGCAGAAAGAGGACCCTGATGGTCAGGAATTGTTACTGTCCAGCCATCATTCAACACAGAGGTCCACATGAGTTCCTCAACTGTTTGAATTGGATTTGTTTCGAGAGGTGCACCCAATTGAATCTTATAGCTTGGTGCACATTCAACGAAATTACTGTCCTCGTAAGCCATGATCAGGACAAGTTTGTTAGGTCTGGCATTCTTCGGAACAAGCACGGTTGTGACAGAATACGAAGGTGATTTATCATCAACTCCAGAAGTACGATACAGCAGCTGATATGCACCATCTAAGTTGATCTTTTGTGTCTTAGTGAATCCCGCTTGGATATTTCGCGACGCGAGAACAGTTCCAGGCTTGGTTTCATCCCATCCTTTTTTTGGTACATAAAAAGAATCATAAATCGGAGACGGAGGATGGGGGGAATCTCTCCGATTCCGTCTCATGCCAGTTCCATGAATTTGTATATGACCGTGTGTCATTATTGCCAAACACAGCAATACCATTAGAAGAGTGCACGGATACATGATAGAGTAGTAGTGACTTCTGGCCTAGGCACACACCAATTCCATCATTGCTTTTATCGGCTAGTAACTTTATTATGAAATACCAGACAGATTGGACTAAGTCTAAAAGTGAAGTGAGTCCCTTGCATAAGTGCATTATAAAATCTTTATTCATACCTCGGAGGTCACGCCAATACCTCCGCAGGTACAATGGGACTTGATGACTTGATGGCCAACAGTATGTATGGTGCGACAGTGAAGTTCATTCGTGGACTTCTGCCTAATATCGTCTACAAATCCAAATATTGCTTTTACTACCTGCGATATGACCTTACTTCGTCCAAGGTGCCAATGCGTACTAGACACAAAAAAGCAGCTATGAACAACAAGGGACGAATTGCAAAGATGAGAGTAATTTTTTGATCGAAGGCACTGGCGCAAATTACACCTAGATTAGTTCGCGGGAATCCGATAGTCCATGTCGTGCGGATTACGTCTTTGCCTCCCTGAGTATTTGAAGTCATATATCCCAAGCACGCCTGCGTGCATCAATGCATGAATGAATTCAACCCGCGTACTATGATAGTGCATTGGTCACGCCCACGCGCATATAGCCAATCTGGGTCTTGAAATTTAAAGTATTATTTCCTTGTTTGCAGTGCTGAAGCGTTAGAGGGGGATTACACTGTCCACCTTGCAGATAGGGGAAAGGATACATGCAAGAGTAAATTCCAATGTGGAGAGTCAAAAATTCGGCGTATAAAACCAAGGAACCTGTTCGGCACGATCATACCCTCAACCCTTGGACCAACTTCCCTTTCGTCGTCGCTTTCTACTCCCCTTTCAAATGCGCGCTGCCACTTTCTTTACGATCGTCTTCCTCTTCATCACAGCCCTTACCGTATTGGCCGGCAAGTCGCACGTCAAGAGTCTGGATCGTCGCTTGAGCTGCGCCGACTCTATCCAGCAAGCTCCTCACGAGTGCCTGGACTTCGTATACGGTTTGATCAAGTGCGTTAAGGATTCAATCAAGACTGTTTCACTTTGCGTTGATGACTACTGGACTTATGTCTCCTCGTTCGACAACTGCGTGTATGACTTCATTGATTGCCTTGTTCCCCCTGGCCTGCGCTGGAGCTAAGTTTCCTGCTTGAATGTGCCATTTCTCCTCCCTATGGGTGCATCACACTTATGGAAAATTACATTATCTAGAAGTTCACGGCTCCATAATTAACAAAGTAACGTTTGAGACACCAAGTTCAAGCTTTATGAGATTTTCTGATGCGAGACTAGGGTAGATATTGTACTAAATAGATCTTTGATGGGGATTCGGACCTGACTTGAGACTGTTCTTCTAGAAACGAAGTGCGACATTCCCTCAATAAAATAAGACGGCTACTTGATTCCTACTGTTGGAATGTGAAACTAGGCATGTATATCGTAAGCTGATATTGTGCAGGCTTTAACTGATTTGTCTGAACTAAAATGTTAATTAAAACTTCCTAGTCATTTATAATTCCAAATGATTGAGACTCTAAGCCTGGGAAGCGAAACCTAAACGGTTGTTGTCGTGGTCGAAAACAATCGACGCAGCCTGGAAGAAGGGATCACCCATAATCCAAGTATCAAAAGGAAGAATAGAGTCAATGCCGATTACTGACAAAAGACACTTGCCATTGGCAGTACCACGGGAAACCTGATCACGATTTAGCTTAAAATCTGTGCCACCGTACGTAATGATGACTTCAGGAGAGAAGTCGCAGTCGAAGAGACCGTAGCCGATGTTTGTACTACGATCTTCAGCATAATGAACACCGTTTGTTCTCTCAACTAGGTCTTTGACTTGCGAGCGAGAGCCAATAATAACCGTCGTACCGGAATCAACAGCTGTACGAATTTTTTTCCCGTTGATTTTGGCATCCGCGATATAGAATCCAAAGAGGGGATTCACTTTGACCCAAGTCAAGTCACCATTGAACTTAGAGTGATCGATATCCCCAAAAATTAGAGTTGAACCTTCGCCAGGCTTAAGAGTGAACTGGAAAACATTCTGCTTGAGACTCTTTTGCTGCATCAAGGCTTCGATGAGAGTCAGATACTTGGAGTCAAAATTGCTAATGCTTGGAAAACTGAGACCACCGATACCGCTCGATTCTCGCTCAAAATCTTGTAGAAAGTTTTCGTTGGTGAGACCAAAAGAGAGATTCCGCGCTTTGATACCACCAAGCTCAAAGTTATCGACGTAGACGTTGCCTTCTACCTTTGTTCCATCACCATATCCCGTTTTGAATTGATCTTTCGCTTTAAAAGAAGAGTTTGATTGTGAAGGTTTGTAGGCATCAGGCGCGATAATGACATTAGCAGAGCCCGTGTCGAATTGGACAAGCATTCTTTGGGGAGGGGTCCCTATGCTGATCTCGCCAATCCATTGCGTTTCACCAGCAATATCGAACATTTTAATCGAAGAAGTGCTATCGCGTTTTTCGAGCTTGGATCCGAGAAGGGGATGATCTTTACCCATTTTGAGCTTGAAGTTGTTCATACCGAACTCGTACTTGTTAAAAACTTTTTTGATGCCGGCAGCCAGTTCGTGAAAGTTAGTTTCACCCTTGCTTATACCACGGCGAGACATTGGAATAGATATTCCCTCATGCTTCTGAGCAGCAACAAGGGAGGCAATTGCTGCCACGCCGGCAAACAGCTTTGGTAAAAGCAGCATGGCCGATGGGATTCAATCTGGGTAGGAGGCGCACGCCTTATGAATGACACGAGTAATTTTGACCAAATGCAAAAAAAAAATTTCTTGGCGTCCATTGGGTGCACGTTCAAGCTAATCAGCAAACCACATGTTACTCTGCGTACAACCCAAAACCGGCTACGTCGCTTACATTAGTGAATCAAATACCGAAATGTTTCCAACTCGTTTTAAGGACTAAATCTATCATATATTACATAACCAAATGTCAATACTACGGCGATCAGAGTCCGTAGAACAGTTAATAATCAACGAGAATAAAAGGATAAAAGATGAATGCTCTGCCTCGCACCTGAGAATCCCTTCTTTTATACAGTATGCAACGTAACAAACGCGCAGATGGAACATTATGCCGACTTTCAGTGATGCAAATAGATTTGTTCGGACATACCGAACGTTATAGCTTACTCATTCTAAAATGTTTCTAACTTTATTACTGAAACTGACAGGATCGTACCAACGTGTGCGTTTGAACACATTTTTGGACGCGCGTATTGAAAGTATCATATCAATACAACAGTTGACGCTAGTCGAGAATTACACTTACTCAAGCACTGCGTGCTTTTCCTGAGAAATACCGATAGAGCCCTTGGACTATAAAAGAAGTAGGGAAAATTGTGTCGTTATCGTAAAGATCGATCTTAACACAAACGTCAAACTGCGAGTTTCGAGACACGGGTTGACTGGGGTCGTGCAGCGTGGGGTAGCTTTGATGCGCTGCGCACAACTCGCATGGGCCAAATGGAAATATGTTCCATAGGAAAAAAAAAGCCTTGCATGTGAAAATCCTCCAAATGCCTCTGATTTGCTCCATTTCTCCCCAGACCTGACTTTCGCGCAAAATATGAGGGTACAACTGGACTTCTGATTGGTCCGAAATTTGGGCAGCACAGGGATGCTGCATGGTAGAATGGACAAGGTAGCCGAGGATTCAAAAAATGAGATGAACGGCTTCGCGGAGTCCCACACCGATGTGCAATTAATGCATAAGATTACCGCAAATAGATACATTCCCCAGCCACATTCAGTGTACATATCATTCGGAGAGGATCATTGGTCGCGATAGAATGCAGTTAAAAGTGTGTTTATGTTACACGCTTGAATACCCGACACAAACAAGCCCTTAAAAACACATATAAATAGGCCTACTCTGAAGAAATGCGTGTTACGCCATCATGAAGTTGAGCCTAGTCGTCCTTACTCTCATCTCAGTTGCAGCCCAAGCGCTCGCTCTGGTCGCTCGCGAGAACTTGCCAAAGCCACAAAATGATCCCTTTTATCAACCTCCAGATGGCTGGGAGTCAAAGAAGGTCGGGACTATCTTGCGTTCTCGTAAAGTGAATATCAACACGCTCGTGAAGGACAACTTGAAAGAGGCTTGGCAGTTGCTGTACCGCACGACGTACAGGTCAGACGATGAGCCAACGACAACTGTTACGACAATTATGGTTCCTCATAATGCTCAGAATGATTCTTTGGTTATGTTTGGTGACTTTGAGGATGCTGGGGCCCCGCAGTGTGCTCCAAGTTACACTTGGCGCGCTGGTCTGACGTCGGATGTTAGTTCAATTTTCAATGTGGGCATTGCTATGTTGTATTTGCAAGAAGGCTACATCGTGACGATGCCTGACAAGGAAGGCAATAAAGGTGCTTTCGGATCGGGCCATGTTGAGGGACGCCAGTCACTAGATGGTATTCGTGCTACGCTGGCTTTTGATAAGATCGGCCTTAACAAGAATGCTAGGGTTGTTGGCCATGGATACTCTGGCGGCGGTATTCAATGTGGCTGGACAGCAGCCCTGAAAAAGTCTTATGCACCAGAAATCAACTCGGTTGGTTGGTACACAGGTGGAACACCCTCGAATCTTACAGCGTTAGTGGAAAGGATTAACGGTGGACCATTCGCTGGTTATGTCGCTGGTGGTTTGGGTGGTGTCATTTCAACATACCCAGATGTGAAGGCTTATACTGATAAAGTCTTTACCAAGCAGGCTCAAAAAGACCTGGAGTTTCCTCAGAAGCATTGCCAGTTTGAGGTTGTGCTACGTTTCCCCTTCAAGAACTTCTACGACAAGAGCTTTAGTACGGTCGGTAAGCGTTTCTTGTACGAGCCCGTGGTTCAAAAGGCCCTCAATGAGCTCACTATGGGCACAAACCCTGAATTCACACCCGACACACCTGTTTTGATGGCGCATGGAATCTCAGACGAAATTGCCCCTTATGAGGCGGCTCACAAGACGTATGAATCTTGGTGTAAGAATGGTGCAGATGTTGAGTTTTTGAGCTTCGTGAACCCTGTATCTGCTCATGGTGTTACAACGGTTACAAGCAGTGTCCCTGGCTTCCTTTGGAACCGAGACCGGCTCCAAGGTAAGCCTGTGCAGAATGGCTGCCGAGAAATCAAGAACCACGACGCGGGCATCAATTCTAATGCTCTTGGCGAAGACTTCGAGTCTGCTTTGGGTCTTCTTAAGGGCCTCTTGGGAGACAAGATTGGACCGAATGACGAGTACTTGAAGGATGCGCTTCACAAGTGAGCAGAATGATTCTGACAAATCATCGTAGAGTTGCATGGACTTGAAAAGTCTGTCCTATAAACGAGATGCGCAGGCCATAGATTCTTATTGCATGTAATGTTTCGGTAATACAGGAAAGTTTGATGATACTGTTCTAGCTGAAACCCCTCTATACTAAACACTGAACTGTGTGTTCCTCCTTATAACGTTGTTCGTATGAGGACTATCATTTAGAAGTACCACAATGTGTGTTAGTCATAGAAGACGTGGGGAGAAATGTGCATGAATAGACGACAAAAATCCCTTCTATAAATATTACTCACACGCCAAACAGATTGGAAGCGTCAGACAAGTGAAACATGTGTTTGGACAAACGTTACAAAGTCACTGGTGCACGTTGCACAAAAGTCCCAATTATATGGCACTTGAAACAATATGCTCATAGGAAGATCTGTGGGTCACGTCGAAAAAGCGCTTTTAATACGTTGACTAGGATGGATCCGGCAAGCAACCAAAGGAATTATCCGATATCATCCTATAAGGAAACCATGCGCTCGCGAAACAATCTTTTGTATTTTTTAAGAACCAGTCGCCCGTGCGCACGGAATCACAAGTGGTTTGGCTAGACGAAAGTCACATGAGCACACATGCTAAAATCAAGTCGATCGAATAAAGCACCAGCCTATGGCTTTCTGATACGTAACACTAAATGAAGTTCCAAAGCTTAATTTCAATAAAGCTTACTCGTTGAGGAGAATCATGGCTTGGCGCATCGTCGCGCTATTCCGAGGCAAAGAACAAGCATCTATTAGACGCAACAAATTGATGTGAACATTTTGATTGGTCATAAATGACATGAACTAGTTTTCAGGCCGGAGTAGTTTTGCACTAGCTTTAGGAGCCAGGCGCGAGAAGAATGCTTAAATAGTCGATAAGGTGGGACAATGGACTACATAAAAAATGAAGCTAAGCCAATTTGCATTTGTGGCTCTATTCTCCGGATTTGTAGTGTCCAGCCCGACTAAGAATTTTACATGCAAGCCCCAAGATTTGGTGGGACGTATCTTCGGGTTCACTTCTGCATACACCGATGGTGGTTATAATACCAGTGTCCAATTCTTCAGATTTGACAACGAAGACAAGGAAGGCTCGCCGTTGAAAGCGTATGGCCAATACAGTCAATATTTCCAATTTTATGAGTGCAAAGCACCGAACGGCAAGCTCCGAAGCAGTGACTTTGTAGGTCATGGACAGTTGCGGAGCAAAGAACATCCAGGGCTTTGTATTACAGTCCCCAATGCTGCGACGAACGTATCCATTTCGGATGATCGGATCAAGTTGGAACGGTGTGCAAGCAAGAATTCCACGAGAATGTGGCAACAAATGTTTACATTGCCTACAAAAAAAAATCTGAGCATGGAATGTGAGGCGCATGAATTGAGCATGTATGGCGATCCAAACAAGAACAAAACGAACAATTATGTGTATCTGACAGGAGTGATCGTCGACGATGACAAAAACGTCAAATTTATGAATCCATCGAACTTTTCGGGCAATTACTACACTCCATTGATTGCCACGGGAAGTGCAGGCAACTTACCTGATCGGTGCATCAATGGCGGCATAATTTGAAATTAAGGAACCAAATATACTGTAGCCTTTCAAACATCTACTGGGATTCGTGAATATATATTCAAACCTAATTGCCCAAGATTACTTGTTCAACCATATGTAGCAAGTTCATGAGAAAAAGGTGGTATATATTAGTTTCAGCTTCGGACTCCACCCAATCACTCAGTCGGCTTTATCCCGGCACTTCCATATAACAATACTCCCATTTATGTCAACGCATCAGAGATGTCGCATTGGTCGAGAACTCTACGATAATGCGATAGTGAACACCTGGGTGCACGTTTTATGACGTGCGGAGAGCAAAATACGTGAAACATTGGGAGGCATATCGATACTTGCCACGAAACCAAAACAACCTCATCATGTGGACGGCGTCTGGATTGGTGGCGTTGTTAGCCACAACGGCCCTTGGTGCCGAAGTCGCCAAGCAATGGAGCGTTGGCTGGGTCAATGATGTCAATCCAGATGGAAAGTTCCCTCGCCGAGCGATTGGTATCAATGGCAAGTTCCCCGCCGATCCCCTCACTGTCAACTCGGACGACTTTGTCCACATCAACTTTACCAACAAGTTTGGTGATGGACGCCCGTCCACACTGCATGCACACGGACTCTTCTTCACGAACGTCAACTACTACGATGGTGCTGCTGGTGTGACACAGTGCCCGGTCCCGGACGGATACTCGTTCTACCACGAAATCCTGAACACGCCAAAGAGTGGCTAAAACGCACCCAAGCAGTGGGGAGCATACTGGCTGCACGGCCCCTACTAGGGCCAGTATGCAAACGGTCTCTGCACTCCGCTAATTATCCACCGTGATGAGGGAGAGACAGACGACTATGACGACGACTACACAGTGGTGATGGCAGACTGGTATCATCACTAGCACGGATACATTATGCGACATGACTATATGACGAATGGTGGTGACTATCAGACGCCCGACTCTGGTCTGTTATATTTTGCACACACGAAATCCAAACATACGGCCAAGACGTTGAAGGGCATCAGTGAGAATGCAACCCTGCCGTTCGAGCCTGGTAAAACGTATCGATTGTGGTCGATTCACATGTCAGCTGCCTCAGTATTTGATTTCTGGCTGGAGGAGCATGTCATGGAGGTGATCAAGGTAGATGGCGTGGACGTGGAACGGTATCCAATTGTGTCAGTTCAGGTGGCGATTGGGCAGCGATACAGTGTGCTGGTAAAAGCGCGGAACGAGACCGACAAAAACTGGCGCATCCATGCGAATATGGAGGGCGGCACGTTTCCGAAAGTGGGCTCGCTCAAGCTCAACTTGACAGGCACGCTCACTTACGGCCAAAAGGATGCCAAGATGGGAGATGGGGAAAAGAATCGCCGCACGGACGTCAAGCCATTCGACGACACAAAGCTCGTGCCAATGGAGAAGATCGAGTCGAAAGAGCCTGACATGCGAGTGACTCTTGAAGTCAAGATGAAAGAGGGGCGCAAGCACGGCAAGCCGATGGGCCTGATCAATGGAACGACATATGTCGCGCCAAAGACGCCCACGATGTTGACCATGACGGCGAAGAACACGACGAATCCGATG